ATATAAATGTGTATTTGATTTTAGAATTTGTCGGTGGAGTAAATGATTAGATAATTTTTAGGGTTAATTATATGCAGTCTTGTGGAAATAACCATAAAAGAAATTTGATGAAAAAACTTCAGCTAAGTTTATACTTTAATCATGTCTTGCTTTAGAAAATATCCATTCTAAAAATATAGTGCATAGAGATATTAAACCAGAGAATTTACTTTTAGATGAAAAATAAGATATTAAATTAGCCGATTTTGGATGGTCTAATTTTTTAAAGCCAAATGAAATAAGATAAACATTTTGTGGAACTTTAGACTATTTAGCTCCAGAAATGTTAGAAAAATCTAGATAACATGATCATTCAGTAGATATATGGGCTATGGGTGTTTTATGTTTTGAATTATTAACTGGTTTAAGTCCATTTGCTCCATAAATTAATATAAATAATTAAACCTTTGTTGAAAAAACTACAAAAGACAATATAATAAATTTAAGATTTTAATTTCCTCCTACATTTCCACCTTTAGCATAAGATCTTATTAAAAAAATATTAGTCAAAGAACCAGGAAAAAGATTTACTTGTTAATAAATTAAAGAACATTAATGGATTGTTTGTAATCATCAGACATATATTAGAAAATACATAACATGTTAAAATTCCGACTTCTTTGACCGTGTAATAGGAAAAAAAAATTGTTAAAAATCCAGAAATTGAAAATCTATAAAAAGATGGAAAATTGGCCTTTACCAATGATTAAATCTACAGTTTTTCAAGACCTGATTCAGTACTATCAAATTTAATAATTTCAGATTATCGTTAAAGATTTCTTACAAGGAGATAATACTAATAGTAAATTAGTTGAAGCATTGAATAATAAAATGAAAGAAAAAGAGACCAAAATATAAAATTTAGAATTTGAAAATTAAAAGAAATAGCAAGAAATCAATGAACATCTATCAACTATTGAATTAATGAAGAAATCTGGATAAGCTAACTAAGAACTTTAATCTATGTAACATAAACTGAAGTTGTCAGATGAAAGATATGCATTCATGAAAGCATAATATGAATAATAATTATAAAAGAATATAGAATTAGAAAAAAAAGTTAGAGAACTTGAATCTTAAGTATCTTTTTTGTTATTTATTTAATAGAGTAATTAAATTGAATAAATGAAAGTCAAAATGAATAAATATAAAGAAGAGGCAGAATCATTTAAAGCAAGAGCAAAAAAAGCTGAGGAATAAGTCTAATAAATGATTATCTCAGGAATCAACGAAAAGGTTTTATTTTCTTATCATTATTAGGAATTCCAAGAATAACCTAAATAATAAGAGTAAGCATCTAACGTTGATGATCTCTTAAAGAAATTATAAAACAAATATGATCCGAAATCATGAATTATTAGATAAATCATTATTCAACATAATTGATCAATTTTTATTTTTTCATCCCAATTTTTTTCTTTAATTATTGAAAATCTTATTACATTATAATATAAATTATCATCATCAACAAATATGAAATTGAATTGAAAAAGGAATTTGTACACAAATTTCATCTGTATTGCCAGAATTAGATTTTGAATCAAACAGATAAAATTTTAAAAGATAATGAGAGAATCTTATAGAACTTGATGAAACAGATTAAAATCGATTAATAAGATTTAAATGATTAATTAGAAATTATATTATGAGGACTTAATTCTTAATTATTTATCAAATTTGAGTATTATTTTTATTTATTTATAATAATAATAAATCTACAAACAATATTACTAAATATTTAAATCAATTCTAATAACAATATTATTTCTGAAGAAATAGATTATTTCTTATTGTTCAATCAGAAGATTAATTTTTAAGCTGTCTCCTAAAAACATCTACTATAAAAATGATGTAAATAATTGAAATAGTCACCTTAAAAATTTAAAATTTAACGTTATTTCTCTTGAAAATTAAATGATATTAAATAAAGGATAAATAATTTTAGCAATTACGAAAGTATCTTATAAAATAGCTCAAGATAACTAAAATTCTGAAAGAATTACATCATTAACTATAGGTAAATAAAATTATACGTTCAATTTTCCAATTAAAAAATTAGTTATGTAATGCTTCAGTATATAAAATAATTTTTAAGTTTGATTCAGTTTTGAAGTTTAATTAATAACTTATTAAAATAAGAAAAATTCTAATTCATAGATTTACACAAAAAATAACAATTGATATTTTTAGTTTAAGCAATCCTTTTGCTGAAATTACAAATGTTTTTCATAATAAAAGGTTTAAACTAGTAGAAAGAATAAATAACAGATAAGAGAATAAGATATTTTTATTTTTTTTTATTCTTCTCATTTATAAATAATAAATAAATAATATATATTAGAAGAAATTAAATTCGTAAATTTATTCATAAAATTGATATGAATATTTTTATAAAATTAGTTGTATTTCTAATAGATAATTCTTGATTTGAATTTTCAATATGTATAATTCATTTTAAAATTCATAATAACTTTATTTGAATAAAATTCATACAATATTTTGTTATATTTTTGTTAGTTTATTTATAGAAATAGTGAATTAAAATGAATAGTTTTTATTTAATTTGATTCATATATTATTTTATTAAATTAATAAAAAAGTTAAATGAATTATGATTACATGGGAGCAATAAAAGTGAAGGATGGAGTATTTTTAGGGGATTAATTTGCATCTTAAGTATATATTTAGGATTTAATTAGGATCTGGAATTTATTGTTACAAATAAAGTATCAAGGATAATGAATTGTGCATCAAAATCTATACCAAATCATTGGGAATCAATAGGAATAGTTTATATGTCTTATCCATGGGCAGATAATGACCAATAAGTAATTTTTAAAATTATTTAGATAATTTTTTAATCAGATGAAAGTATAAATGCTGCAATAAAATTTATTGATGATGCTTTGATTAATGGGGAGAGCATTATTGTTCTTTCTGCAAAAGGACACAATAGATCAGTGGCAGTTTTATGTGTTTATTTAATGAAGAAATATAGATGGACTCTTTATAAAACATTATAATATATGCATAATAGAAGACCAGATTTAGAAATAAAAGCACATTTTTTTAATTAATTACAATCAATAGAAAATCGATTGTAAAAGTTAGGGTTTGGAGCAAAAACTTTTAATTGGGATGAAATATATATTGAAGGAGATAATGATGAAATAATATTGAGGAATACTTATTTAAATTCTTAGACTTAAGGAGTAGCAGAATTCAAGGACAATAGTACCAAGCAAAAAGAATTCAAGTTTTTTTAAAAATTTAATTAGATTAAAATTCGCAGATAAAATAACTTTGTATATACCTCCATATGATAAAATAATATTCTCAAAAAGTAAAGTAACTTAAAAAGTTTTTAAACCTATAATTAAAGAATCTGGATCCTCAAAATAAATTGATCAAACATTTTAGTTTCCATAGTAATAACAATAACAATAATAAAAACTAAATTACGAATAGAGTACATAAATTTAAGATAAATTTAATCAAAAACAAAAATAAACTGATCAAATAAAATAAAACCCTTTGTAAATATCTCCAATTTAACCTTAAAGACCATAATCTGTATAATAAAATTGTAAATTCATTCAAATAATTTAGAATAAACTAAAATATTGTCAAATAATTTCATGGATTCAAGAGATTAATTTTTGCCAAAATCTCAATAACAAAATTAATTAGCAATTACTGGAACACGTCGTCCATAAACAGCTCCAAATTAGTTAAAAGCTCCTAGAGTTTAAACGACTCCATATAAAGGAAATTAAAGTTCAGGTTATAGATATGAATCAGGTCTATAACCTAATTCTTAATTTAAACCTATGAAATAAAGAGCATAATCTCCAAAGGCAGTTTATAATGTTCCAAATCCATATATTCAAAGAGAGTTCAAAGCAAAAACATGGAAAAAATGAGTTTTCTATTTTCATCTTTTTAATTATTTAAATTTATTTTCAATATTCATACTTATTAAATACCTTATTGAATAGGTTAGCTAGATTTAGAATATAAATAATTTATTAAAATAAAATTATGAATCTATCAAAATTTTACTCTCATAATAAACAATTAAATCGAATCAGGAAAAAGTAAAAATCTCCAAAAACTATTAATATGGATACACCTCCAATAAAGAGATCGGTTACTTATAATAGTGATACAGATTTAATTTATAAGATTGTTAATAATGAAAATTTACTTGATTTAATTGGTTAAATATAAAAGCAAAAATAAGATCATTATGCCAATATTGAAACTAATTAAAATTTGACTTTACCTCAGATTTAAAATTAATCGGATAGATAGCATATTGTAATATAGAGAAATTAAAAAAAAAAATAAGATAAAGAATATATTCCATTTACATATCCTCTAAATCCTAAAAAAGTAGCTTATTATTAAGAAAATAATTTATATGGTAAATTCATAGAACCAACTGAATATAAAAAAATCAACTATGAATCCATAAAAACTATGTAGAAATTTATAATATTTTAGCGAAACTGCAATATCTGAATAATTAGCCAGTGAAAGTAGATTAAAAAGATCTATGACAGAACGAAAGGAAGAAACACATAAAAATAAATTTAAATTAATTTAGTAATCAGCCAAAGATAATTTAGAAAATGAGAAAATGATAAAAAATTATACTTTTTCAAAAGTAGACTAAGAAAATTTAGAATCTCTGTATAGTAAACAAGCAAAAATGAATAAAATAATTTAAAATGCATTAAAAATTAAATCTCAATCAAGAGATCCAGCTAATGCTTCAAAATCTGTTTTGTCAGAAAGAATACAATTATAATTATAGTTAAAAAAATAATACGAATTATCTTTAGATTTAGTTTTCTAAGGATATCTAGTCTATGATGATAAATAGTTTGAAAAAAAATAAGCAAATTGGTCATCTTTATTGCAAAGATTAAGTTAAAAACAATATTCCAATAGAAATGTGAAATAAAGTTAAATCCATTAGAGGAAATAACTCTTTGTAAATAAAACTCAAGATATATAAGATAAATGTTCAGAAATATTATAAGAATGAAATATAACTAAATATATTAATACTATTTTTAAAATTATTTATAAATCATATTAGAATGTATTAATTAACATAAGCAGGGTGGCGAAGTGGAATCGCGTTGGGCTCATAACTCAAAGGTCGGTGGATCGAAACCACTCTCTGCTATATTTTTTATTTTAATTATTTCAATTCTTAATAAGAAGTAATAGAAACATAAATTCTTTAATAATTTTATTTTAATATTTTTTTAATCAATTTTTAATTGATATCCAAATAAATAATTCTTCATTTTATTATCAATACATAATAATTGATTATTAATTGACAAACAAAGATATGGATAATAAACTTGTTAAATTTTAAATATTAATTGCTATTATTCTAAATCTCAAATCTTTGGTTGAAAGTTGATAAAATTAGATTAGAATGATTAGAGAAATAAACATTCCACACAAATCATGTATACATTATGAATACTTATATGGGCTACAAATTCAGTTAATTTTATTGCTTTTAAAGTCCATCTATTCTTCCTGTTATTTTCAATTTTTAATCTTTTAAGAATTCAATCAAATGAAACAATAATAAGTTAATTATTAGGAGCAGAATTAGACAATTGGAAGAAATAGCAATCTCTTTTTAAAGCTTCTATAATGTTTTAAAAATTAGTAATAACTCAGATTTGGTTTATCCAAATGAGTATTTAATAATCTAAACTAATTGATAACAATTGCAAATATTAAGGTACAAATTATTTTTGTATGATATTTAAATCTAAATACAGATTATTTTATATCATTAAAACTCAAAATTCTAAAATATAATCCTTTGATCTATAAATTTCTATGTATAAAAAATGAGTAATCAAAGTTATAGCATATCTGTTCTATTTCTGTATTTGTAAAAGTGTCACAAATTTTTAAGTTTACCTTCGCTACCTATTGTTATGACTTTACTACAATCAGAACTTGTCACGACTGAATATATGCAAAATCATCATTGATAAGTATATCACATAAGTCGATTTAAATAATAATTTATTATAATCTAGAATTTTGTTCGTCCTTTATACTTGATATATAATATACTTTTGCTTTTATGTCTAATAAAAGTTCAAAGGTTGATTTTATCTAATATCCAGTTTAACTCGATTTAGTGTAAAATATAATTCATTATTTTTATCAAATTTTAAGGATTAATATCCTCTTTTTTATGATCAAATATTATCTTTTATTAAATTTCTATGATTTTTAATTCTATTTATATTCCAATTTTAAAATCACTTTGGTCACATTTGACTTTTGTTAATTTTTTGCATATCCTAATATTTCCAAAGATAATCGAGAGGGTATTAAGAGAATCTCGCCTAAACTACTTTTTCATTGCACATTTTTCTGAAATGTATCCATTTATATTTCATTATAATTTTTCAGACATTTCATATCTTTTAATCTTCATTTTAAAGAATTAGTCATAAACTAATAAATAATAAATAGAATTTTCAAATCAATTATTATTATTAAAAGTTTATTTGAGTTGTTAAAAATTATGATAATGTTTTAAGTATATTATTTATTATTTCTAAACTTATAAATTTCAAATATCTTTTAATTTATTATGAACTCAATCTGATTAATTCCAAATACTAATAGATCGTCTTTTCAAGACGTATATTGTTTTTTCATCCGCAGAAACTTTAAATCCTTTTGGGTTTTTTATAAAAATTACTCGAATTATTTTTCTACTTTTGAAAGATAAGATTTCTAAAGAACAGTCATTTAATAAATAAATTTTCATTAGTTATTGGCCAACAGATTAACAAAGTTATTATTATTAATAAGACTTTTTAAATAATAACTTACATCTTTGTATGTTAAAAACTTTAAGTTCATTTGAACTTGATAAAATTAATATTTAATTTATTATTTAGCATCTATTCATTATACTATGCCCAAATGATATTTTCTTCTAGATTTTATTGGTTTTAAGAGAATAAAATTTGCCTGTTTATATGATATGTTGTTCAACTCCAAATAAAAAATCCTGCGTGTAGAATGAACACATTTTGGGTTTATCTTGACATCTAAACGAATTTTATAATGTATTATTAAAAAAGTTATGAACAAAAAATTTATTTTTTTCGCAAAAACAAACCAAATTTTAATTTCTATGAAATGATGGGATTGTTAATGGATTAATTTATGATTTAAATACCAAAGACTTAAAATTTGTAAAATCTTGTTGCATTTCAAAGATTTTTAGTTTACAATACTCTTCCACTAATAGAAGGTAAGATTTATGGGTACAAATAGTTGAAATAAGAAAATTCATTTTAATAGTTGTCTTTTTAAATTCTTTATCTTTAATTTCAATGGTAATTATTTTATTTTATGTAACACAAATTAATTAAGATTCATCCTAAGTTAAACTCATTTCAAAGAGAATAATCTTTTTACTAAATTTTATAGGTTTCTTTTAGGTATAAATGTTTTAGATCTATTATTGATTCATTTATAAATATTTAGAATTAAAAATAATTATTAAAAAACAGAATAATTCAATCATTTATTTCAAAAATTTTGTAGAGAGGATAGTCTTTGTCCTTTTAATCTAAATAATAGTCAAGAAGTTCTTTCCCTGCTGTCACTTTAGGGTATGTAAGTTCTAAGTAATTTAAATTAAATTTATTTGGTAAGGGTAAGATCCAGAGTAATATGTTTTTGCTAAGTAGTCTTGTTAGTTTGCTTTTAAAATCTTTATAATACATATATCTTTCCCCTTTTTATCCATGATATGTTGTCAAATCAGGTAATTATACAAATTTATCTTTCAATAATATATTACTTATTTTATAGCCTACAAAAGATATTAGTAATTAAATTAATATTAATATGAAGTCAAAAGATAAGAAATTATAAATGAATGACCATTATAAATTTATATACCCTTATTAATTAAATTGATAAATCATAGAAAGGAGCTTATATACGCTTGTGATTCCATGAATTAAAGTGATTATTGAAAAGTATATTAAAAATTAGCAAAAATATTTTAAATTTTTGTAACCAACGCAACAATTAAACCAAACACAATGATGATCTCTGTAATGAATACATTTATTACAAGTTTAGCAATGATGAGTTTTTGGAGGTTTCCAATTCATATTGCATTTTTTACATTTATTTTGTAATTATATCTCATTTTCAATTATGAAATTGGATGGTAAATTATTATTTTAAATGATTTCAATAGGTGTTTGTTTCAATTTAATAGGGCCAGGTTCTGTATTAACAATTTAATAATGTGACAACATAAGTAAGAGTTAGATAATTAAAAAAGCTATTAATAGTGACTATCCATAGTAGTGATAGAAAAAAAAGTATGTGGAGGTTGCATAAAATAGGAATAAAATTTGTTTGTATGACAATTTTTCTAAATTCATAGGAATAATATTATTTATTTGAATTTAAAAAAATAAAGCGCTTAAAAAGGAATGAATAAAAAGAGAAAAAAATCATTAAACTAATTTCAAGAAAGGTAGGAATCCTTAACTATTTTAATGAATAATATCTTCTGTACTAATATAATATTGACTGTTTAAATAGATAGTATATTTTATTTTATTTTTTGTAATTATTTTTCAATGTATTGATTTTTAGTATATCTCATTTCAATATAATCTATTTAGAAATTAATAAATTCATAATAAATTACAATTTTTATGATTGATCATAATAAATAATATTAAAATATTAGTTTTTTTTTGAATTAAGAATCTCATAAGTTGAATTACTGTTTAATTTGTATGACTTCTTTTTCATTGGTAGCAATTAATAAATCAACTCTTTCTAAATATTCTAATTCGTCTTATAACTTTTTAACAATTTGTGAATGTTTTTTTTCTCCTCTTTATAGAAATTTAGAAAGTTTTTCTTAAACATTTTCGAATTATTGTTAATGTGTTTATGGTATCCTAGGAATAATTGGTCCTGGTTTATTTCTTAGTGTATTCCAGTTAATAGAATTTAAAAATGGATGTTTTTTAATTTAATCAATTGATTCATGACCTATTCTTTAATTATAATCAGGATTCAATAGTTATTTTAATAGATCATAAACACATTGCGAAATTTAAGATTCTGGATCATCTCCAATATCTGGCCAATCAATTTTACTTTCTAGAATATTAGAAAATATTTTATCAACAGATTCATCATTAAAAGGAGGTATTCCAACTAAAAATTCAAAAAGAATGACACCAAGAGACCAATAATCTAAAGTTTTATTAGAAGAAGAGATTCCTTTTATAATTTCAGGAGCAATATAATCAGGAGTACCAACAACTCTACGTCTCTCTTCTTCAGATCCTTTATCATATTAACTATTATTAGATCTAGACTTTTTGAATGATGCACCTCTTTATATAATATATCCAGGAGAAGATGATAAATCTTATTTAACAATATCTCTTTAACTAGTTTTTCTTTTAACCATCATTTTATTAAATCCAATTTCACTTAAACCAAAATCAGCAAGTTTAATATGACCATTTTAATCTAATAATATATTTTCTGGTTTTAAATCTCTATGTACTATATTATTACTATGAAGATATTCTAATGCTAATAGAATTTCAGCAAAATAATGTCTGGCTATATTTTCATCAAATGCCTAAAATATTAATAATTATAAATCAATACTCCTTCAATCATCAATATTTTAGCGAAATCTCCTCCAACCATATATTCTTAAACAAAGCATAAAGATGATTAATGTTAANTAATATTAAAATATTAGTTTTTTTTTGAATTAAGAATCTCATAAGTTGAATTACTGTTTAATTTGTATGACTTCTTTTTCATTGGTAGCAATTAATAAATCAACTCTTTCTAAATATTCTAATTCGTCTTATAACTTTTTAACAATTTGTGAATGTTTTTTTTCTCCTCTTTATAGAAATTTAGAAAGTTTTTCTTAAACATTTTCGAATTATTGTTAATGTGTTTATGGTATCCTAGGAATAATTGGTCCTGGTTTATTTCTTAGTGTATTCCAGTTAATAGAATTTAAAAATGGATGTTTTTTAATTTAATCAATTGATTCATGACCTATTCTTTAATTATAATCAGGATTCAATAGTTATTTTAATAGATCATAAACACATTGCGAAATTTAAGATTCTGGATCATCTCCAATATCTGGCCAATCAATTTTACTTTCTAGAATATTAGAAAATATTTTATCAACAGATTCATCATTAAAAGGAGGTATTCCAACTAAAAATTCAAAAAGAATGACACCAAGAGACCAATAATCTAAAGTTTTATTAGAAGAAGAGATTCCTTTTATAATTTCAGGAGCAATATAATCAGGAGTACCAACAACTCTACGTCTCTCTTCTTCAGATCCTTTATCATATTAACTATTATTAGATCTAGACTTTTTGAATGATGCACCTCTTTATATAATATATCCAGGAGAAGATGATAAATCTTATTTAACAATATCTCTTTAACTAGTTTTTCTTTTAACCATCATTTTATTAAATCCAATTTCACTTAAACCAAAATCAGCAAGTTTAATATGACCATTTTAATCTAATAATATATTTTCTGGTTTTAAATCTCTATGTACTATATTATTACTATGAAGATATTCTAATGCTAATAGAATTTCAGCAAAATAATGTCTGGCTATATTTTCATCAAATGCCTAAAATATTAATAATTATAAATCAATACTCCTTCAATCATCAATATTTTAGCGAAATCTCCTCCAACCATATATTCTTAAACAAAGCATAAAGATGATTAATGTTAAAATGAATAAAATGCTTTAACTACATATTCTCCAGTTAATATTTCAAATATATTTCTTTCTTATTTTAATTATGTCAATAATCTTTCAAATGGTCTATTAGAACAATTAATTATTTTTAATGCATAATAATCTCCTGTTGCTATTTTTTTTACCTAAAATACTCCTCCATACGCACCTTAGCCTATTTATCTTATAAATTAAAAATCTTTTAAACAAATATTTCTCTCTTAATTTCTATTTTCAGCATCTAATATAATTATTTCACTATCAGAAAAATATCCTTTTTAAGATGCAAAAAAACAATCTTATTCAAATTATATTTACTCTGTTGATTCTATTATTTTTAATTATTAATCACAATTTTCTATGCTTATATCTAATTCACTATCTGAACTTGCAGTTTATGCAAAACAACTTCTTTTCTTAGTTTAAAAATGACTAGACTTTTCAGATTCATCTTAATTTTTAATTTTTTGAATAGTCTATTGTTTTTACAGAAACTAACTTATCTTACCACTCTTTTTTAAATTTCCCATTATTGAAACCGTTGATTTACCAGGAGTAGAAGGTCTTTCTACTCTCTTTTTTTCAGATTCACTTGTTTCTTCATTTAGACTTGAAATGTGTCATTATTTAACTTACTTCAAACTGATGTAATCAGAAAATGAATTCAATCTATGGCTATCTCGTATTTACTGAGGACTATCCTTACTAAATTTACTTACTCTGAAAGATATACTACCAAAATTCTATATCTTTACTATCAAATACTTAACTCATATTTACATTTAAAGCAATAATCTAATCTTTAATTTATTAAGCTATTCATTTACTCTATTAAATTTAAAATACTCTAATCCTCAATACTCATTTAACCTGCCATCATCTCATTTTAAGTTATCAAATGATCTAACTTATCATCTTTTTAATATACATTTTGCATCTAATTCTTAATTTACGACTTTTTCTCCATAACTTATCAGTAGTTATAATATTCTATATTCCTAATATACCTGTCTCGTATCTTCATAACACTATATTCCCTAGTTTTTACGTATTCTCAATTCTTTCATGCTATTTTCATTACTTTTCTAACATTTACAATTTTAATCCTTGCCTCAAATGAATCTAATGTTTCTTCAAATAAGCCTTTTCACACAAACGAGCAACTTATAAGTTTAATTATACTAATTTCTTTCTTTATTCAGCATTATGTCTACATGTATAATTATGAATATCCATTAAATTTATGTTGATGCTTTCATTGCAAATACGACATATTATCAAATATTCCATTAAATAAATTATTTAAATACGACATTATATTAAATTTTAATGTTATTATAAATTATTTTAGACATTTCAACTCATCCGCTAATAATACATTTTAATATATATATATTTCATTACAATTCATTTATAAAATAATTTTTTAACACAATCAAATTTTTATCCACAAATACTTTATTAAAACTCTTTCCTTTGCATTCTTTTTCAAATCTTTAGCTTCATTTTACTTTGATAAATCTAAAATTAATTCATTTTACATTATTTTTATGCTAAATTAATTTTATTCAAATCTACAAAAATCTTACCTATTCCATTTTATTTATTTTATTCTTTATATTTTACATTTCGATTTTTACTATTTTTAACCTAAATAACATTTTTATCTTTAACTTAAATTTTTAATTATCAATTACATCAAAAAATTTTAGTTCAAATTTCCAATTAAGAAAGACTATCTTCAAAGAATAAAAATAATAACTAAAACTTGATCACAAGAAATAAAAATAATATAGTTGATCCAATATTTCTTATTTAAAAATATTGAATTATAAATTATTTCTCTATTACAGTAAAATTAATTTAATAATAAAGGTAATTCTCTCTGAATTTATTTCATATAACATTACCTTAAGAACAAGAATCATTTAAATAGAGATAAGATGTAAATAATCCTATAAAATATTTGAGTAATAAACTTTTAATATATATTAGTAAGTTAATCAAATAATCACAATTCTTTCCTACTTTATTTTTTAGTATTAAGGTCTTCAATAAGCGAATCACATGAATCTTTAGGTGTTTCATACTAATCATCAGGAGTCTCATATAATTCAAGATTCTTAATTCCTGAAAACCTTTTTGTATTTATTTAAGCAAGAGGCGATTCATTGTCAAGTTAAGAAATTATGGCATCAAAATCAAACTTTGTTTTAACTTTAAGACTTTCAAATTTTCGATTCATTCTATGTATAATATAAAAATATTTTTAAAATAATTATTCTAATTTTTGCAAATTACTTTACCTTTTTATAATAAATTTTATTTTAGATTATGTCATCTTATTTGTCATAAAATAACTTTTACTAAAAGAATTAAATTAGTTTTATCAGATTTTATAGGGATAAATTTGTGGAATAATTAATAATTATATTATAAAAATTTAATATAATTATTAAATGAGTAAGAAAAATAATATATAATCTAAATATTTTTGATAAAATAATAATTTAAAGAATGATACAGAAATACAGAATTTTTAATTTAAATTATATTTCAATAGCTTTATCAAGTATTTATAGTTTATAGAGTATTTAAAATAAATATAATACAAAATTTTTCATTATTTTGATAGATGTTCTTTAAAATGTACATTAATAATTCCTACTTTCCTCACATTAGCTTAGATTCCAACATCATCATTTAATTGATTGTCATAATCATCGAAATCATCAAAATTAAAAATTTATTTTTTTTATTTATTTTAATCTTCATTAAAGCTTTTACCTCTATCTTCCAAATCTCTAAATTCACCATTTTAAAATAATTATCCTTACAATCTTTGACCAATAGGTTATTTAATTAATGAAGATTCTCTAGAAAGAGACTTTTTAGAGTTTTATCTAGATCTTTGATAGCGACTATCTTTTAATCGACTATTAATTTTTGATACTACTGATGGAACATAATTTAATACAACAGATGATTATTATGAACTGTATTATTCTATAAGTTGAAATGATTTCTTCTTTTCACTTCTTTTTAAATCAGGTATTTTTAAATAATCACCCTATAAATTTGAAATATCAATATCATTAAAAGATTATTATTGTTAATCTGATGATTTGGTAGAACTAGTTTAATTATCATTCCAATCAAATTTTCGATCTAAATTGAATCCATTTTAATTAGCAATTTTTTAGAATAATTAAAATAAGTATTTGTAATCTGGAGTTGTTGAAAATTTCAATTTTTATACATAATCCATATATTTTTAGAATTCATGTGGAATCCCTTTACATAATTCTCTCATTTCTATTTCCATCTTTAATTTACCAACAAGTTTTGTTTTTTCTCTATCTGAAGAAGAAGTAATATTTTACCAAGGTAAATGTCCTATAATTAAATTTAAAAGGTACCTTTTAATAAGTATATGAATACATATCCAAGACTTTCTAGGTCATCTCTCCTAGATAATTCATAACCTTTATGTGCTGAAATACTAGCATAACGAGTTGTTCCCATAAATGGTTTATTTTCTTAAAATTATCTAAATTTTATATATTAATTTATTTACATATGTTAACTATTAACACGATATTTTTTGGAAATACCATAATCGACTAAATAAACTTATTAAGAATCAGTTCCTCTTCCCATAAGAATATTTTCTGGTTTAATATCTCTATGTATAACACCCCTATTATACAAAAATATATAAACCTTTTATGAACTTCTTCTATGATAGTGAGTAATTGTTCAGCTAAATTACAGATTGTTTTTAATGATAGTTTTTTAAATCTTTTTAAAAAATGTGCCAAGTCTTTTCCAAGTAATTACATAGCCATACAATTTGAATTATATTCATTTCCATACCAAAAGAGTTTAGGAACTCCTTTAAATTTATATTAATTAATATATACCGACAACCCCTCGCAATTCTTCAATAATTTATATTTCTCTTTCTAAACTCATTAAATCACTGTTTTCTTTTTCAACTTTAATAGCAACATAATCTCTAGTAAATTTATCATGACAAATATAGACAACTCCAAATGATCCTTTTCTCAAAAATTATCAAATACCTTAACTTAATTTTTCTTTCTGAACAAATCTTCCATAATAAATTCTGGTTTTCTCTTATTGCATAAAAAATTAAAATATATATTAGGCTTAAATATTAAATAAGGTTTTTTTGGTATTTTTCTTAAAAATGGTAATTGAAGAATAAATTGGGTATTAAATATCATTAAAGTTTAATAATAATAACTTATTCATTCATCATATTCATCATCATCAACAATAAAATTATTCATAGATCCTAAAGAATCTTCATCTTCTTTTTAACTTTTGGTATTTTTGGTTTATTTTTTACTTTATTTTTTAGATTGATTTTTAGTTTTTTTAGTTTTAGAAATAATTGCAATATCTTCTTTTTATTTTTCTTCTTCTTCTTCTTCAACTTCTTTTTAGAATTATTCAACTAATGGAGCCTCTTCTCCAATTAAAGGATTATAATTTTCACTCTAAAATATGATAAAATATAGTATTTACTAAATATCTTTCTGTGTATTGTTATCTTTTGGATGCTTTTTCTTTTAGAATGAAATGTCTTTTATTGTACATTTTAGTTAATTAAGTTTTAATCTAAGCATCAATAGTACTTAATAAATTATCTTTTAATGGATTAAATATTTAATTATGAAGTTCTTCTTTTAATAAATCAGGAGTAATTCTATATTATTCCATAATTGAAACAACATTCCATACTGCATCTTTATCATTTCTAAGTATTTTTAATTCTAAATATTGTTTAATCAAATTAAATAAATATTTAGAATATAATTAAATATCAGATGTTAAATAAGTAATAGGAGCAAGTCTATTTTTTATAATATGATTTTCTCTTTTGATTTTAGATGCAGTAGAATTCTTTCCTAACCAAGAAGGGAATTTAGGAAAATCCATTTTATCTCCAACAATGGTTGATGGATATACACTAGATAAGAATCCAAAAGATGGCATTAATGACCATTATTAATCTTTTCTAATTTTTTTAGATAGAATATCACCTTCAGCAATTAATTCTGCAGCTTTAGCAATATTATTTATATTCTAATGATTTGATAAAATGTAATTATCTTAAATAATAAGTGGAATTAGATCATAATCTAAGAAGAACATATCCATCATATCTCTAAGTGATAATTATTATCTTTAATTTTTATTTAATAAACTTAAAGCTGCATTAAATGTATTAAAAACACATACTTTATCTTTTTTAAATGAATAAGGTTTGATAATATTGGTTTTTGATTATATTTTTTGTAATTCCAACATATTTATACATTATCTGATATCACAATCAAAACAAATAGCTAATTTTTCAAGATCTTCAAATGTCATATTGATATGTTCTTAATCACATATATATTTTAATCTTTTTGCAATAGATTTTGATTCTGGTTTTTAAAATTTAATACTATAACAATGATTTAACAATGATTTTAATTTTTGATTGTCAATATCATTACAAATACAAACAATAGGAACTCTAGTAGATTTAATACATTCTATTAATGCTGATATTCCACCTCTATCTGAACCTGTCATTCCATCAACTTCATCCATAACAATTAAAAAGTTTTTGTTTGGTCTAAATAAATTCATTAATACACTATTATCAACTAAATCATTAAGAATAGATCTTAAACTTCCTTTATTTCTTTTATCTGATGCATTATTTATAATTAATTTTAATCCTAATGCTTCACTTACTAATCTTACCATAGAAGTTTTACCTATACCTGGAGGACCACTTATTATACAAGCTTTAGAACTATATTTAGAATAAAATTTTTACTTAATATTTCCAACAGGTTAAAATCTACCCATTTTTAATGGAATGAATTTCTTTTTTAATTTTTATTAATCTTCATTTGAATTTGGATGTTAAAATTTATATATCCAATCATTTAATTAAGTAACACTAGATTTATTATCTACTAAATCAGATAATGTTTATGGCATATATTTATCTGCCATACTTATATTCTTATTTTCATCTATTGTAAATTAATTTTTATTTTTTGAACCTGATTTCTTATATAATTTAGATAAATTTGAATCTGGAAATATTTAATCTAATCCAACTCCTATTTTATCTAATAACCAATCATTAACATCATCTTCTTTTATTATCTTTGTTCCTCTCTTTTTTGCTTCCTTATATTTATTACCTTCCTCACCTTTCCTTCCATCTTCTAATTTATCTGCAACTATTAGATAATTCGTCTTTCCTGATACACTTCCAGTTACTTTTGCTCCATTATTCTTTAAAAATTATTCAAATTTATCTCTACTACAAATATTTAATAATCCACTTAATACTATTGTTAATCCTTTAAATAAATTAGGATCATTCTAAAATTCTTATTATTTCTCCTATTCAAATTACTACTACTTACTTTCTGATTGGATCACTTTTTATTATTAATTCTAACTTTTATTTTCCCATGTAATATTTACACCTCCTTTCTTTTTTTTAACCTATCCTTATTATTATTATTATTCTATTTATATTTCAAAACTTTTCTTTATATCAGGTCCTAAATTCTTTGGTAATTCATTTTACTTTTTATTATCTAAATTAATCCTTTTTAATTATTCAACAATTTTATTTCCATTATCTGTATCTAAACTTGATTTCTATTATTATTATTAATAGTATTATTAATCTTATGCTTTCATCTATTTTTTATTATCTTTACTCTATTCTCTAATCTTTCTCTCTATTTCTAATTATTCTTCTATATTTATATCATCAATATTTATATTATCATTTTAATTTTTATTAGAATCTTTTACTTTCTTTTATGAACCTTATGAAGGATTAATTAAAACATCTTTTCCAAAGAATGAAAATAGATTTGGTTAATTTGATTATCTTTAAGCGGATGGTTTCTTTTATGATTATATTTAATTTTATTGTTTATTATGCTTAGAATCATTTTAAGTACTAAACACATCTGATAATTATGGTGTCTCTTTTTCACTTCTTTATTATTGAGATTATTTTTAAACATTCTATTATTATTCATTTTATTTTTATTATACATTTTTGCTTTTCTTTTCATACTTATAATTGTTAAGATTATACTCTTCTTCAATGTCTGATAGAATTTCTGTATGATTTGATTTACAATCAGGAGAATTCTTTATTAACCTTTTTCTTGAATTACTCATATTTTATTAATTATTTATAATCATTCTTAAATTTCTTCATTTTAATTATTAAAATGTAATTCTGTTTCACATAAATATATTTACCATGCTATTAATATTGGTTTCTTTTATTCAGGATTACTCACTATATGATCATCTAATACAGATAAAATTTCAAGCCATTTTGTTTTTTATTCTTCATTCATTCTTGATTAATTTATCTTATTCAATTAATTTTAATATTCAAAACCCCAATTCTCTCTCAACAATCCAAATTTCTATTCCACTTCTTCATTATCTATTATTATTTATAATATATTTATACTTTAAACATTTAAAAAATTATTCTAAGAATTATCACTAAATATATCCAATTCTAAACATAAAATTGAAAAGCGATCAAATGATAAATATTTCTCTCCATCACATACTAGATCTGCATTTTCTTAAAATTTGCTCTATAGTTTAACTTAATCATATTTCTTATTCTCTATATATTTATTTAAAGTTAACCACTCCTCTAAATTACACATACCATTTCCATCTAAATCGCTTGCATTAAATGCATTTATTACAAATGTTTAAATACTTTATACATTATCTCTAAATAATCTTAATACTTTTAACATCATCTAATCAAAATCTAATACTCCATCTCTATTTTATTAAGATACATCTTTCTCTACTATTGAATCCAATTCCTTTCTTAGTTAAATGTATTTATCTTATGATTTAAAATAATACAAAGATTCCAAATAAGCTAATGCTCTTATATAAGGAACTAATTATTGACTATTTGCTTCATTATTCTTTATTGTTGTTCCATAATTTGTCATACTATTAATTAAATCCAATGCTTCTAAATACTTTTTCTATTCTTCCAAACTAAAATTAGAACTATCTTCTAATAATCCTAAAAACCTTGCAAAAACATTTACTCTCACTATTGCAATATTTTTTTATATTGATATTAACAAAATCAAAAATTTTTACTCCGTTACTTTTGTATATCCAAATTATTTCAAATAATAATTATATATAAATGATGCCATATCTTAATCTTTTAATAGCTTATTTTCCTTCTAACTTTATAATTTTTCTTAGTAGAGGGTTGTAATATATTTTAGAATCAATTTTATAGGAATTACATTTGATATCTATCCAAATTTTTTCTACTTTATTTTTTCAATTAAAAATTTAGATTGATTCTTTTGAAAATCATATGAAATTGTAATCTAAAATATAATCAATTTACATACTCTCTATCCTAATTATGGTTCTTTTCCTACCGTTGTTGCTTAAACTTCTTTTTATTTACTACCACTAACTGTTTTAGTATCAGCACATTTCGTCTAATTATTCTCCACTATGTCATTTTCAGAGTTAATTTTATCTATTTTAACTAATTGCATTTTTCCTTTTAATTCACTAATATTTAGTTTTAACTATAAATTTTCACTCTCTAGTTTTTAATTCAATTTACTAATCCCATCAATACTTTAATAATTCTCTTATAATTATTAACTTAATTCTTCAATTTAATTATTCAATTAAGTAATCCTAAATTTTTAGAAATTTATAAATTGCACTATTTATTTTTATTTAAATTCTTATGGTCTATGTGTTGACTATTTCAAGGATTATCTATGTACTATAGATTATCTTGTAGTTTATTGAGATTATGGTTTGATATTTTTGAAATCTAAATAATTTATTATGGTTACCACTAGATTTTATTGAAGAATCAGATAATATATCATAATTTAAAGGAGTATTTGTACCTTCAGTTTAATTTTAAACTATTTCATCTAAATTAATTTAATAATCATTTTATTAATTAAAATTATTAAACTCCAAAGCCAAATTAATAGTTTCTTATGAAATATCATCATATTTATATTCAATTAAACAAAGATCTGTTTAAGCAACTGAATCTTTTATAAAATTACTTAATAAATCAAATTCTACTTAAATTTCTACAGATCTAACTTCAATTATTTTCTCTTAATTCATTTCAATTTAATTTAATGAATAACTATCTTGATTCAAGGTGTTATTAGATGAAAGAGATTTCTTACTTACTTATTATTATTAGATAATTAATTAATTTAATTAAGTCATGGATTTATCCTTTCCTAAAGGAGATTCCGATCCTTTACTTTATTTTTTATCAGAATTAACTAATTTTTAAATTTTACTTTCATAAAACTATAATTTAATCTACAAGGCTTGGTTATCTATATCAATTAATCTATACTTTTTTGCTTTATTCTCAAATTCAAAATTTTTTTATTTTAACTATTTAATTAGATTTCTTTCATTATTTAATTAATCCCTCTATTCTGCCATAATTTTAGAACTCTCCATTTTAATTCTACTACATTCGTTTTTTAATTCTTCTATTTGCTCTCTCAAATACATTATCTCAATTTTTTATTATTTAATTATTCCTTCTAATTCAGTATTCTAATAGATTTCTGATTATTTAAATGTGTTTGCTTATAATTTATATATACCCATATGATTTAATTGCACTTCTCTCATAAAAATCTAAAATAATTATGCTAATTCTTTAAAATCTTCTAATAATTACGATGTTATAAATAATTCCATTTTAGATAATACCTCTTATTTGTTTAAACCATTAATCGAAGCTAAAAATTATTTTTCTGCTTCTTTTATCAATTATCTTTTGTTTTCATCAGAATTTATTGTTACTCCTTTTTCAAATGGAACTACAGTTGCCAATTTCCTTTAATATGTTGTTCCAGATGGTTTTATTTTAAATCCAGAAGAATTCTAAGTATTTCTTAATTAATTTTATGATTATTTATTTCTCTGATCTAAAAATTAAAATGTTGCTATCAAATATTATTTAAACCTTACATTATCGATTTCTTGTTTATTCTAAAAACTCTGTCATAATTTTTTTACAATTCTAACCTCCTCTTTCATTTTCACACAAGCTGGTATTATAGTGACTTCGAGATGTTTAACTACCAATTTTATAGGTTTATTATCTCTGAATAGATCTACTAGAACTAGCTCCAAATAGAGATTTATCATTTAGATAACCATTTCTATCCATCATTTTCCTAGTTTAACTAAATTAAAATATTTCTAATTATCATATTAAATTATTTTAAGATATTTCTAATTTTAGTGAATGCTTCAATCTTCAAAAATTCAACTAAAAATGCTTTAATATAGACTTTTTAGATTTAATATACATTTTTAAATTGAATAAAATTTATTTACTTATAAAATTATAAAGATATCTTTGATTATCAATCTTTTGTATTTTTATATTTATTAAGATGAATCATAAAAATACACACCGATATAGATTTTCAATCCTTTCAATAATTATTATATTATTTTTTTGTTAAATTAATAATTAATAAACACTTTTTTTAAGAAAATATTTTTCTATTTATATTTTATTTATTTTAACTCTATATTTATTTGTTTTTGCTGAGAAATAATTTAAATATATATCATAAAATAATTATCTAACAAATTTTAATATATGAAACAAAATCTAAATAAGATTTTTGATTTTTCTCATGATTGCTATTTTAATGAAACTAAATTTTCCTCTTCTTATTAGCCTAAAGTGAGCTTTTAAAAAAATAAAATAAATTCAATCTACTAATATTCAAGGAGAAAAAATTATATAATCTATCAATAATTACTAGAATTCTTTAAATTATTAAGTAATAATGTTAAAATAAATTTGAAAACCTGTTAATTTGTTAAACTTTTAATTATCGTCTTTCTTAAATTAATGTTTGAAGATCCATCCTTCACTTTTATTGCTCCCATGTAATCATAATTCATTTAACTTTTTTATTAATTTAATAAAATTATATATGAATTAAATTAAATAAAAAGCATTTTAATTCACTATTTATATAAATAAACTAAAAAAATAATTACAAAAATATATCAAAATATTGTATGAATTTTATTCAAATAAAGAGAAGTTATAATGAATTTTCACAAAGAAATAACTCCAAACCAGTTGAATTATACATATTGAAAATTCAAATCAAGAATTATCTATTAGAAATACAACTAATTTTATAAAAATATTCATATCAATTTTATGAATAAATTTATGGATTCAATTTCTTCTAATATATATTATTTATTCATTATTTATAAATGAGAAGAATAAAAAATAACAAATATCTTATTCTCTTATCTTTTATCTATTCTTTCAACTAGTTTAAACCTTTTATTATGTAAAACATTTGTAATTTCAGCAAAAGTATTGCTTAAACTAAAAATATCAATTGTTATTTTTTGTGTAAATCTATGAATTAGAATTTTTCTTATTTTAATAAGTTATTAATTAAACTTCAAAACTGAATCAAACTTAAAAATTATTTTATATACTGAAGCATTACATAACTAATTTTTTAATTGGAAAATTGAACGTANCTGGTCTTCTATTATGCATATATTATAATGTTTTATAAAGAGTCCATCTATATTTCTTCATTAAATAAACACATAAAACTGCCACTGATCTATTGTGTCCTTTTGCAGAAAGAACAATAATGCTCTCCCCATTAATCAAAGCATCATCAATAAATTTTATTGCAGCATTTATACTTTCATCTGATTAAAAAATTATCTAAATAATTTTAAAAATTACTTATTGGTCATTATCTGCCCATGGATAAGACATATAAACTATTCCTATTGATTCCCAATGATTTGGTATAGATTTTGATGCACAATTCATTATCCTTGATACTTTATTTGTAACAATAAATTCCAGATCCTAATTAAATCCTAAATATATACTTAAGATGCAAATTAATCCCCTAAAAATACTCCATCCTTCACTTTTATTGCTCCCATGTAATCATAATTCATTTAACTTTTTTATTAATTTAATAAAATAATATATGAATCAAATTAAATAAAAACTATTCATTTTAATTCACTATTTCTATAAATAAACTAACAAAAATATAACAAAATATTGTATGAATTTTATTCAAATAAAGTTATTATGAATTTTAAAATGAATTATACATATTGAAAATTCAAATCAAGAATTATCTATTAGAAATACAACTAATTTTATAAAAATATTCATATCAATTTTATGAATAAATTTATGGATTCAATTTCTTCTAATATATATTATTTATTCATTATTTATAAATGAGAAGAATAAAAAATAACAAATATCTTATTCTCTTATCTTTTATCTATTCTTTCAACTAGTTTAAACCTTTTATTATGTAAAACATTTGTAATTTCAGCAAAAGTATTGCTTAAACTAAAAATATCAATTGTTATTTTTTGTGTAAATCTATGAATTAGAATTTTTCTTATTTTAATAAGTTATTAATTAAACTTCAAAACTGAATCAAACTTAAAAATTATTTTATATACTGAAGCATTACATAACTAATTTTTTAATTGGAAAATTGAACGTATAATTTTATTTACCTATAGTTAATGATGTAATTCTTTCAGAATTTTAGTTATCTTGAGCTATTTTATAAGATACTTTCGTAATTGCTAAAATTATTTATCCTTTATTTAATATCATTTAATTTTCAAGAGAAATAACGTTAAATTTTAAATTTTTAAGGTGACTATTTCAATTATTTACATCATTTTTATAGTAGATGTTTTTAGGAGACAGCTTAAAAATTAATCTTCTGATTGAACAATAAGAAATAATCTATTTCTTCAGAAATAATATTGTTATTAGAATTGATTTAAATATTTAGTAATATTGTTTGTAGATTTATTATTATTATAAATAAATAAAAATAATACTCAAATTTGATAAATAATTAAGAATTAAGTCCTCATAATATAATTTCTAATTAATCATTTAAATCTTATTAATCGATTTTAATCTGTTTCATCAAGTTCTATAAGATTCTCTCATTATCTTTTAAAATTTTATCTGTTTGATTCAAAATCTAATTCTGGCAATACAGATGAAATTTGTGTACAAATTCCTTTTTCAATTCAATTTCATATTTGTTGATGATGATAATTTATATTATAATGTAATAAGATTTTCAATAATTAAAGAAAAAAATTGGGATGAAAAAATAAAAATTGATCAATTATGTTGAATAATGATTTATCTAATAATTCATGATTTCGGATCATATTTGTTTTATAATTTCTTTAAGAGATCATCAACGTTAGATGCTTACTCTTATTATTTAGGTTATTCTTGGAATTCCTAATAATGATAAGAAAATAAAACCTTTTCGTTGATTCCTGAGATAATCATTTATTAGACTTATTCCTCAGCTTTTTTTGCTCTTGCTTTAAATGATTCTGCCTCTTCTTTATATTTATTCATTTTGACTTTCATTTATTCAATTTAATTACTCTATTAAATAAATAACAAAAAAGATACTTAAGATTCAAGTTCTCTAACTTTTTTTTCTAATTCTATATTCTTTTATAATTATTATTCATATTATGCTTTCATGAATGCATATCTTTCATCTGACAACTTCAGTTTATGTTACATAGATTAAAGTTCTTAGTTAGCTTATCCAGATTTCTTCATTAATTCAATAGTTGATAGATGTTCATTGATTTCTTGCTATTTCTTTTAATTTTCAAATTCTAAATTTTATATTTTGGTCTCTTTTTCTTTCATTTTATTATTCAATGCTTCAACTAATTTACTATTAGTATTATCTCCTTGTAAGAAATCTTTAACGATAATCTGAAATTATTAAATTTGATAGTACTGAATCAGGTCTTGAAAAACTGTAGATTTAATCATTGGTAAAGGCCAATTTTCCATCTTTTTATAGATTTTCAATTTCTGGATTTTTAACAATTTTTTTTTCCTATTACACGGTCAAAGAAGTCGGAATTTTAACATGTTATGTATTTTCTAATATATGTCTGATGATTACAAACAATCCATTAATGTTCTTTAATTTATTAACAAGTAAATCTTTTTCCTGGTTCTTTGACTAATATTTTTTTAATAAGATCTTATGCTAAAGGTGGAAATGTAGGAGGAAATTAAAATCTTAAATTTATTATATTGTCTTTTGTAGTTTTTTCAACAAAGGTTTAATTATTTATATTAATTTATGGAGCAAATGGACTTAAACCAGTTAATAATTCAAAACATAAAACACCCATAGCCCATATATCTACTGAATGATCATGTTATCTAGATTTTTCTAACATTTCTGGAGCTAAATAGTCTAAAGTTCCACAAAATGTTTATCTTATTTCATTTGGCTTTAAAAAATTAGACCATCCAAAATCGGCTAATTTAATATCTTATTTTTCATCTAAAAGTAAATTCTCTGGTTTAATATCTCTATGCACTATATTTTTAGAATGGATATTTTCTAAAGCAAGACATGATTAAAGTATAAACTTAGCTGAAGTTTTTTCATCAAATTTCTTTTATGGTTATTTCCACAAGACTGCATATAATTAACCCTAAAAATTATCTAATCATTTACTCCACCGACAAATTCTAAAATCAAATACACATTTATATNCTTTTTCAATCCAATTCATTATTGTTGATGATGATATATTATATTATTATGCCATAGCTTAAATTCTTAATTTTGATGGTTTTGGTCCTAATTTTTTTAAAACCATAACTTTTTAGTCAAATGTTAAATGTTTCTTTTTGGCTCCACCATTTTTATGATAATTTTGTTTTTTCATTAATAAATATAGAGAAAATTATTGATAACCAGATTTTCAATAAATAAAGAAAAAAATTGGGATGAAAAAATAAAAATTGATCAATTATATTGAATAATGATTTAATTAGTATTCATGATTTTGTTTTTTATAATTGTTTAAAGTGATCATCAATGTTAGATGCTTATTCTTATTAATTAGGTTATTCTTGGAATTCCTAATAATGATAATAAAATTTGATTTCTGAGATAATCTTTTTTTAAACTTATTCTTCAGCTTTTTTTGATTCTGCCTCTTCTTTATATTTATTCAATTTAATTACTCTATTAAATAAATAACAAAAAAGATACTTTACTCAAATTCTCTAATTTATTTTTCTAATTCTATATTCTTTTATAATTGTTATTCATATTATGCTTTCATGAATGCATATCTTTCATCTGAAAACTTCAATTTATGTTACATAAACTATAATTCTTCTTTAGCTTATCCAGATTTCTTCATTAATTCAAAATTCTTTAATTTATTAACAAGTAAATCTTTTTCCTGGTTCTTTGACTAATATTTTTTTAATAAAATCTTATGCTAAAGGAGGAAATTAAAATCTTAAATTTATTATATTGTCTTTTGTAGTTTTTTCAACAAAGGTTTAATTATTTATATTAATTTATGGAGCAAATGGACTTAAACCAGTTAATAATTCAAAACATAAAACACCCATAGCCCATATATCTACTGAATGATCATGTTATCTAGATTTTTCTAACATTTCTGGAGCTAAATAGTCTAAAGTTCCACAAAATGTTTATCTTATTTCATTTGGCTTTAAAAAATTAGACCATCCAAAATCGGCTAATTTAATATCTTATTTTTCATCTAAAAGTAAATTCTCTGGTTTAATATCTCTATGCACTATATTTTTAGAATGGATATTTTCTAAAGCAAGACATGATTAAAGTATAAACTTAGCTGAAGTTTTTTCATCAAATTTCTTTTATGGTTATTTCCACAAGACTGCATATAATTAACCCTAAAAATTATCTAATCATTTACTCCACCGACAAATTCTAAAATCAAATACACATTTATATCATCTTCAAAATGATTATACAATTTTAATATGTATGGATGATTAAGTGAATACATAATTTTTACTTCATTCTACATTTACTCAACCATATTTGTTTTCTTTAGCATAGCTTTCTCAACTATTTTGATAGCATATATAATATTATTTTTCTTATGTGTCACTTTCTTAACCACTCCAAATGCCCCTATTTGAATTCATAAAAATATATATCAATACCCTAGCCTAATATTTTTAACTCTTCGAAATCTTCTCTCTTAGATTCAGGTTCCCAACCTGCTTATACTGTTGGAGATAAAAAGAATAATCTCTCTCTTACTTTATTAAGAACAGGTGATGCCATATTATTTATAAATTATAAACTTATTAAATTTTGAATTTCATATTACAGTTATCCTAGGCTTCTAAATTTAATAGAATTATTCTATAAATATTAACCATTCTATTATTGTCTTCTAAATCAACTTTAAATTAATCATCATTTAATAGTAATCTAATCAATAAAAATAAAATTAAATATCATTGACATGATTCGGATTATAATTAGAAAATATTATTAGAATAGTGTAAATATGTATCTGATTTTTCATGATGGTTGAAGTTAATTGTTTTAAGAGATAATTTTAAAAGAAATTCGATAACTTGAATATGAATTACTTAAATTCAATGTTTATAATTAATATAAAATATTAATTCAATTAATAAGATATTTTTTATTAAATAATAATGATTAATGTATTGTATTTTGATATTTCTTGATAACATTTTAATGTAATATTCATTATTTTTAATTCAAACTGATTTTAAGACTGAATGGGATGTACCATGTAGAAATAAAAGAATAAGATGCAAACTCTTGTATTATAAGTATGTTTATTCAAAATAAAACATAGATTTAAGAAACAGAAATACGTTCTAAAGAATCACCCTAAACTCCAGAAACAGTGGATATGTCTGGTCCTCGATAATAAAATATTATAGTCTTAAAGAAACTGCTTGCTTCGTCAAGGTTGAGTGTTGATCAAATCATTAATCCAACTTTGAAAAAAAGCTCGCATTCTACATTAAATAGAAAAAGAAGATCATAATTAAATTGATAATAAGGTTGTACATTGTTAATATATTAATTTAATATTAATTTATATTTTGTCATTGATAAGTCTAGTTTTGTTCAAAAACCGAAGAGAAGATTTAGAAAAATAATTGATGGACAAAAGTGAGCATTTGTATTAAAGTTTAAGTACATTCTAGATTTGTATCAAATAATATTGGTTTTATCGCAATACCAAAATAAACCAAGTAATTAATTTTACATTATTTAAAATCATATATCTGATGAGAAATATGAATCATAAATTTATTGAAGTAATTTTAATTAAAGAGAACTATTTAAATTAATTATATAAATTGTTTTCCTTCTACAAGTAGCTACAATTGTGAAGCAAGTATTGTCTTTTGTAATTTAACTTAATTTTATATCTAAAGGATTATGAGTATTGACTGATGATAATAAATATGATAGATCTTTCATCGATCTTTTAGAAAATACAATTATTGATGGAATATAAATTATTAAACATTTTAAAATATTCAAGTAATGAAAGTTGGCTATTAATTTTTAATAAATGATAAAATTATTTTAGATTATTAATTATATATTGATTAAATAAATAATTAAGAATGTTATGATCACTCTTTAGTAATAAAAGTAGTTACAATTAATAAAAAGATTATGTGAATAAAAAATTAAAGTATTCATGAAAATAGATTTATAATATATATATATTTATATTAAAAAGCAAATTCATAATTAATAAATTTAATTATGAATTAATAAGAAAATGCGTAGAAAAATGTTTCAACTAAATCGAAAGAATATAAGGAAGAGTGTAGATAACTTTTAGAACGAATTGTGGCTCTATAACTTAAAGTATTTAAAGCTCCAGACCTATATGTAAAGGAAGTCTTAAATGTTGTTGAATTATACAAACAAGTAAATTCTACATCTATTAATTAAGTAATTTGAGTTAGTTAAATAAAATCCTGGTTAAAGTAATGGTAAATTCAGTATTATTGCTTAATTTTTATCAAAAGTGGCTATTTACTATAAGACAGATTTAAAATTTTATATTGAAGATCTAATGGAATTAATAAATCATTTCTAAAACACTTTAAATCAAGGTTTAAGAAAGAGGATCATCTTTTGTTTATTGAGATTAAGAGGAAAAAATTTAATTGAACCTTATCGTATGATTGTTTTTTTGATGAAATTATTTAATTGTTAGGATAAGGATTTAAGAAGAATTATTTTTAGATTCATTATTAAAGATATAAAATAATTTAATAAGAAACATAGAAATGAAACATTAAATAAATAAATTCAAGTATTCCTTTTATATATGATTAGAATTTTATAATTGATTTAATTAAAAAATCATAGGAAAATATAGCAAAAAGAGCATTACAAATTATGATTGAATTATATAAAAAAAATATTTGGAAAGATAATAAATGTGTAAATATTATTGCTTAAGGGTGTTTTAATCAAAATTATAAAATTAAATTATTAGCTTGTTATTTTTTAATAGAGACAACAGAAAATCATGTTGAAATAGAATCCTCAGAGGATGAAGCAGATAAATATATTTAAAAAAAAGGAAAAAATAAATGTGTTAAGCCTACTAAAGCAAGAGAACATAGAGTAGAAAGAGAAAAGAAGATGGCAGATAAAAAATAAAGGAAAAAATTATAGAAACTTAAGAGTAGTGGAGGATTCTTTGCTTTAGATTAAATATATTCTCCTTAAGATTTTGCAGAAAGATTATTTGATAATTTAAAGAAACATGAGAATGAAAGATTTTCAGTTAAATTAGCAATGATGCATCTCATATCAAGATTAATTCATAGACATAAATTACTTATAATTCCATTTTATACTTATATTTAAAAACATTTATATCCAAATAGTAAGGATATAGCAAAGTTATTTGCTTATTTAGCAGAATCTATACATGATTAAATTCCAAAAGAAGATTTATAACCAACAATTAGACATTTAATTGATTAATTTATAAATGATAGATGTTAAGAATTGACTTTAACAATGGGTTTAAGAGGAATATATGAAATATTATAAAAACACCCTAAGATATTAGATAAAGATAATATAACTTATTTAATTCATTATATAAAATATAAAAATAGAAATGTAAGTTAAGCAGCAAGATCAATATTGAATCATTTTAAAGATACAAATCCTTAGTTATTGGATAAGAGATTAAGAGGTAATAAATGGAAAAGTACAGAAGAATTGGATGGAGAATTTGATGATAATTTTATATAATAAATAACAATAGGTATAGATGGAGCTGAATTATTGTAATAAGAAGAAGAAGAAAAATTGAATAAGAAATTTGATGTCCCTATTTTTTGTGATAGAATTTTAACAGATGAAGATTTTAAAAGAATAAGAGCATTAAAGAGAAAGAGAGAAGCTGAAATTGAATAAAATAAATTATAAGAAAAATAACAAAAAACTGAAAACATAGAAGAAGAAGAAGAGGATGATTAAAATGAATATGAAGATGAAGATATTGATGAAGATGAAGATGATATTTCAGAAATAAGTGAAGATAGTGTAGAATCATAAGATAATGAAGATGAAGAATGGGAAGATGAAGATGTTGAAGATGATAATGATAATGATGATAATTTGGAATATGAAGATGATGATGATGATAATATTAAACCTGATAGTAAAATTACTAAAGAATAAAATAAATTAAGAAGATAATCATTATCAGAGTTGGATGAAGATTCTGTTTAAGAGTATTATTCAGAAGAAAGTTAAATATCAGATGAAAATCCACATGGTTATGTAAGAGAAGAAGATATTATGAGATATAGAAAGACGAAATCTGAATAAAAACATGAAAAGTTAGAAGAATTAAAAAATGGAACTAAAGAAAAATGGTATTTCTATTTTACATATAAATATAGGTATTAAGGTCCAAATAAAAAAAAATCAGAATTTGCATCTACTTCAAACAAAGAGAAATTAAAAAATAAACCATTATAAATGATGAGAGCTAAAAAAGTAGAATAAAAAAATAAAGAATCAAGAATTAAAAGCAAAATTAAAGATTTAAAAAATAAACTAGGACATGTTAGAAGTGGAAAATAAGCTTAAAGATTAAAAAAGTAAAAAATTAAATGATTCTATGTGTATAATATAATTTATTTAAAAAATATCATTAAATGAACTAAGAATTAGAAATGATATAAAAAAAAAGAGAGATGTTTAGAGTTTAAATTAGAAGAAAATAAAATGAACATATATTCTAATAAAAGCGCTAATTCTTAAAAGAAACATCAAATTCATAAGATTGGTAAACACCTCTTGATTAAATATTTCAATAAGCTATCTAATCTAATATCATTACTACTCATTAATAAACATTACAACTTCTATTTTCTAATTTAACAAACATGTTAAAAAATGATTATTCAATTAAATCAGATTTAAAGTCATTCTTATCCTTTATGTTTTTCAATTTATAATATTTGTAATTAAATGAATCATAAAATTGGATTACGATTGACCTTTTAGATATTATTATCATTTGCCTATAAGATATCTAATAAACTTTTTAAGATTCGGAAGAAAATGAGAATATACTCAATTTTGATCAAAAACTCATTGAATTATTAAATAATATTCTCATATTCATAGCATCATTATCAAGTTAAATAAATATGAGTTAATAATCAGTTTAAATTTAATAAATAGTTTTATTTATCATCAATATTTTACATTATTTACATGATTTAAATTAATTTGAAATTGTATGTAAACTGATCATAAATATAATCTTAGAAAGATCAGAACAATATATTACTTTAATTTAAGAAAGTGTTTTTCCTCAAATTATATTACATAAATATGAAGATTTAAGTCTTTAGCAAAATTATAGAGTTCTATACTAAATTTATTTATATTTTGGATAAATCACTGGAATATGCCCTTTAAAATATGGTACTTAATTATTTTAAGAGACATTTGAATTGTAAACAGTTATAAAATGTCAACCAACAAACATAGATTAAAATTATTATAGTTGTGTTGAATAATATTTTTATTTTCTCTAAAATATCACTTAAAATATAGAAGAGAATAAACCAAGAACTTATCAATTGTTTAATATTTTGATCGATTAAGAGATTGTAGCAAAAGTAGCTAATTATTTATTGTAACTTAGATATGAGTTTTAGATTATACATGGATATGGATATTAGTTTTTAATTAATTTGAGTATGATTTAATCATCTTACTCAATGGAGAAGTTGATTAGTCAAAATGTTTTCAAATTAGTGTTATTTTAAATTAATGATCAAATAAATTTATAATATTTAATATATCCTTTGTTATCAAATTTATTGACAACAAACAAATAATAAACAAAATAGATGATTTTTGATTCAGGCATTTTAGGTAAAGTGTATGTAGGATTTCAAACTGCTTTAAATGGTAATTCGCAACATGGATGCTTAGAAATAATTTAATGTATTGTAAATATGTTCTAGAATATCACTCTATTATAATAATAGTAATTAATTTAAAAAGGAATGTTAGAATGTTTATTAGAATACATAATATAATTAGAATTAGATTAATTAGATATGAAGACAGTTGAAGAAATATATGGAACATTAAATGAATAGAATTAAATAAATCCATAATTAAAATTTAATGAATAGTTCAAGAATAAATCTAAGATGATATATGAAAATTTAGATGATGATTGCGATATAGTATTTTTTATTAATAATATAATAAATATTACTGATTGATTGATTGTGATTACAAGTTTATAATAATTTATCAAAATTTTGTTAATTATCAAAATAATAGAACCAAACTAAATAGATTAGTCTTCTTCTTTTAATTGTATGTTTAGTAAAGTTTAATAAAAAAATATAGATTAAATTTTGGTTATGAATAGAATTGAGATATCTTATTAGTCTTAGATTGATGATAGTCCTATAAAATGTCCTTCAATTAAAGAAGCGAATCAAGATAATAATATTTCAATGGTATTTGAAAAATAAAATTATTACAATATTAAAATAAAGAATTAATTAAAGATATATATTAAATCTTTATTATATATGATTTTACACTATAAATATAGCAATGGGATATCCAGCAGAGAATTTTGAGTCATTTTTATAGAAGTTCTTTAGAAGAAGTTTAGAGATTTTTAATATGAAATTAAAGATTTTTAATTTGTAATAAAGATAAATTAAATACTGAGATTAATATTGTCATTATTTATTTTATAAAGTAGTAGAATTTGCATATGAAGTTCATTAGCCATTTCCAATAATATTACCATTTTGATTAACAATTTAAAAATGGTTAAAAAATATGATAGATGATGGCAGTTCAATATAAAGCAGGTAAAGGAAGAACAGGAACTATGATAAGTTGTTATTTATTATTTTCTAAATAATATGATTCATCAAAAGATGCATTAAAATATTATGCAACAATCAGAACATAAATTAAGAAGGAGTAACAATACCTAGTTAAGAAATGTTGAATATTTTAATATTGAATTATAATTGAATTTATTATATACTAAATAGTAATAACATAAATAATATTATATTAATTTAAGCATTTGTATGATAGATTAATTGGATTACTAAATTTTTGGTAATTAGAATTATTATTTTATTTGATCCTAGAACCTTTATTAAGAATATAGAATTAAATATAGTTTTGTAATTCTTAAATTAAATTAGAAAATAGAAGAGAAAATAATTTAAGCTTTGTTTCATACTTCATTTGTAATGTAGAAATTTAATAGATATGAATTAGACGGAGTGAACAAAAATAAATAATTTAATAACCTCTGATTTAATTTATAACTAGATATACTATTTGAAAATTTATATTTATTCGTAGAGATTGTATAAAATGATAAATTAATACTTATATTCATTATAAAAATAATTTCTCATATTCTAATCTATAATTATCATATAGAGCCATGCTTTCATTATCATCATTATCATCTTGAATTTATAATTTCCAACAGCCATTACAATTATCATAAGTGAAAAACATGGCTTCATTTTCAATAACTTGAATACTTTTTGGAATATATTCTCTTTAAGGAAAGGAAACCCTTACATGTTAAATATGCTCAAGTAATTATTTCACTATTGTTCCTGTTGCTAAAGATATTATATAAATTCCTTAAGGTAAATGAACAAATAAATAACTCACCATAAAAGGATAGTAATTATCTACTATATCAAACTCAACTCTATCTGTTGAAGCTTCTATAAAAGGTCTTAACTTCTTTAATTTAAAATTTTGAGTATTTATTGCCAAAAATTCTATTTAGAATATGTCTGGATTTATTATATGTGGTTTTATTATCTCTAAATATATATATTTATTGACTAAAGATGGCTTTGCTAAGGCTATGAACCCCTCACTTTCTGTTGCTTTGTAATCTTAGGTGTATCCTTCAATCATTTATTTTGTAGCTATTATTGTATATTTTTAATAGGATACCATGATTAACTCTTATTATTTCAAAGATTTCAGTATCTCCATCTTAAGGTAGTTCATTATAACATATTATCAATTCATTAACTCCATCCTTTAATGGTTTTTCTGATAATTTAATCCACTCATCTGGAGTATTAAATAGTTCTGCATATTTTTGATATCCTTCTTGAACTTCATTCTCTGTATTTTCATCTGGAAAGTACTTCTTTCTTTCAGTACTATCCGGAGTAAATTGAGTTTCAGTCATTTATATTTTATATTTTGATTTAGGTCTAAAAGATCTTTTTCTTAAATCATAATATCCTGTATCATATTCCCATAGATTAACATACCCTCCTTTATCTATTGTTAATATTTTCTCTGGTTCTTCTAAAAATCCTATATATACTATTTCTTATCTATGATTTTCAAAAAACTCTCTGAACACATGAGGATTTTTACCTTCATGTTCTTCTTATATTTATAGATCTAAAAAGTTTTCATTTGGAAATTACTCATCTTCATTAACAATTATTCTAGTATTTAATATGTTATGAATTGGGAATTTATAATTTTATCCATTAAACATATCAACATTACTATTATATTTCATTATTGTTCCATTGTTACTTCCTACCATTAAAGTAGGTTATAAACAAGAAAATGTTATTGATGGATGAAAAATACTATATGTTAATATCTACTTTCTCTCATCTTATTTCTTATTTCTAGCCAAAAAATCATTATTTAGAGTAAAATATTATACATAGAACATCGGTTGATAACCTTCAGGCAACTATTCTATTCCTTTTAATTACTCTTTTGGAATATTCACTTTTAAATTGTATCCCATATAACATACTCTTATCAATCCAGATTCATCCAAAATTAATAAATGTCCAACATTATCCATTCCAAATTATACATCTGTTATTTTTTATTTTGTAAAGGATGGTACTATTCCACTAATTATAGCTGGACCTGATGATGTATCATAAAGAGCTACTTCTCCATTAGACATTCCAATTATTAACATGTCTTTAAAAGGTGATAAAACTAAATGAGTAATGCTTGCTTTGATATTGCTATAATGGTTTTTAAATGTTTAATGTACAAAAGTCACCTTTTCCCAATATTATATTTCATAAGCTTTAATTTTCTCTAATCCCAAAGTTGGAACGCATTAAAATTCTTCAGGATCAAGAATATTTATATCTGATTCATCTATTTCTTCATCCTACTTAATGTCTTTTTTATCTTCTTCTTTGTCTAATTATTTTAATTATTTTTTTTCACGCATAATTTTTAATAATTCATCAGTATTATAATTTTTTTTTCCTTTTTTAACTTTATTCCATTATATCTCATTTTTGTTCTTGAAATTGAATTTTAAATCTGTAATATTTTTTTCCATATTTTCTCCTCTTAAATCATAATACAATTTTTTAATTTAATCAATAGGATTAGTTGTATTTCTTTCAAATTTGACTGAATTAACTATAATATTTAATGCAACTGATTATGCTAACAGATTGACAATAGCAATTTCATTAGCTGCTTCTCTTTATACTTTTCTCATAACTCTTGCAAATATCTTATCTGCTTCTTCTTCCAAAAATTCTCTATCAATAAGATAATTTTATGTTCTCTTTAAATTTTTGCCTTTTTAATTATAATCTTTTCTTTATTATTTAAGCATATGCATACGATTTTCTCTTTCCAAAATTTTTCTTAATGCATTATCTACAATATAATCTACAATTTTTCTACATATAAATAAAGACTCAGCATTTTTCTAATATAAAATGAAATTTAATATACAGTATTAAGATATTACTTAATTTCTCCATTATATGGTCTATCTTGAAAGTCAATATTGGATTATTCTTCTTTAATTTGTGCTATTCTTCTTACTCCATCTTATAAAAATCTTTAATGATCTCAAAATTTACCTTTTATTCTTTTTAGCAATATTATTTAAATTGTAATTCAATCTATATTCATCTAATTTTTCTTCATCCATAATAATATTTTTTTTGAGTATTTCTAAAGGTGGAGCATTTCCTAATTCTATTTATGTTAAAAAATCTAATCCTTTTTTTTATAATTCTTTATGAAATGCTTTCTCTTTTAATATTCTTTCCTATTACTCATTCAATTCAAACTTTTTAGTATTTATTTCTCTTAATTTTTCAGCAGTTTCTAATTTTTATTTTTCTTTTTCTTATTATAATTTCTATTAAACTTCTTCATAGATACGATCTCTTTATCTTTATTCTTCTTCTCTATCATCTAAGATTGCATTTGATAATAAAATCTTATCTCTTTCACTAATTAATTATTATGGTATTCCTTTTCTATTTAATGCATTTTCAAGCATTCTTTTAGAACTTATATCCTTCTTTTCAGCTACTTCTCTTATAGCTTCTAATTCTAATTATATTTTTGCATATTCTTCATTTTTCTTTTTTTATGCTTCTATTAATTTTTCCATTTCAATCTTCTTTCTTACTATTTTCTCTACATCAAATTCTTTTGCTAATAAAAATTATTCTTTTAATTTATCAACTTCATCTTTATAATCTTGTTCTATTCTTCTTTTCAAAGCTATTAATTTATTTTTTTCTTCATATTCATCAAATGATGGTTAATTTATTAATTCTTCTAACTTTGTTGCTAATCTCTTCTATTCTTCCTCTATTTTTTATAATTTTCTTTTCTAAATTACTTATTCTTAATATTCTGCCTCTAATTTCATTTACTACCATTATTTATTTAAATTCTATGCTTTCATTAATTCTTCGTAATCAGCATTTAATTCCTCTTCTTAAGGAACTTAATATAATTACTATTTTATGTCTTTCTATATTTCACTTTCTTTTTAATTTGATACTATTAATAAAGCTGCATCTGCAAATCTTGATGGAGGCCTTTTCCTAGACATTATTTTATTACTCTATTTTCTTTTTTATTATAAATATATATATATTATATTATATTATCACAATTTTAACTATTCAATCATTTCTATCATCGTATTTCTACTTTTATCCTTTAACCCTTTTTCAATCTCGAAATTATTTCAATAAAAATTCATTCAACATTAATATCCTTTAAATATCTATATAAAAATATTCATAAATTATAATTACTTCATCTTTTAATTTCAAGTATGTTTAATTTAATATTTAAAACTAAATTAACACTCATATTCTTTTATTATTCAAATAATTATTTAGTTCTTAACAAATCTTGATTTATAATAATTTAAGTTAATTTTCTATGTTTTATTATTATTAATTAAAAGAATTTTGGTAAATTTCTCTTTACTAGCATTATTTCATTTCTATTTTAACTTTATCTTGATCTATAATTTGTTTTTATTATATTTTAAATCTTAACCCATTTTTGTAGCATATATTTTTCATTGCACTGACACAATTAAATTATAAACATTAAAATTTTAAGCAGTTTCCATTTTTTAGAATTATTTGATGATTGAAATATTTGTCACTTACAATAAATAAAGAGAATAATTTTTTGGAAAATAATATTAATATTATTATGCACAAATTTCACTAATTAATTCATGACAAATTTCATTAATTATTATTTTCATCAACAATCTCAATTACAATTTGAGTCTTAATCATTTCAATTACCTTGATATCAATTAGACATCCAAAAATAAATACCTTCGTTTTTTAATAATAATAAATGAAATTCATTCTTATAATATAAGCAAATAAACATATGTCTGAAATAAAAATTGCAGAAAGTTAAACTTGTAATATTGATAAATATACTATAAGAGTATTATAACTATTTTCTATACTTCGCTAATTGAATACGTATACTGAAATAATCAATTATAGAAAAATTAATATTAGGAATAAGAAAACTCATTTTTTACCTAAAATTTTAGATTTCTCAGAAAATTATAATATCTATTAAGGACCTTTAATCTTCAGCTCCTTTAGTACTTAATATAAGTAAAATTTCAAAACTTGATTATTTTATTGAATGATTTCTTGGATTAATCAAATTTAGAAAATAGTAAGAATCTATCGTTTCGATTAATTTGCATTTTAACATGATGAAGCACATATTTATCTCAATGATAAATCCTTTACCATAAGATATTCTACCTATTTCTAGTAATAAATTCTCTAAAGTTTTGGGAATTATACAAACGATACAGATATTTATTATTCAAATTTATTTTATTTATTAACATAAAGATTAATATAGTTGAATTATTACTTTGAAAAATGAATAAAAATACTTGCTTTGTTTATAAATTTAAGTGCTATATGCATATTGATGTTTTACTATAATTACAAAATTATTAAAACAAGAAGTATAGTTATAAGATAATTACGAACCAATTCAACAGCAATTAAATAATAATAAAGCTTTTAATCATTTTAATATATTGGATGATCCTGATTATTGAGAAACTTATTAAATTTTATTGAAAAAATCTCAAATTATATTTAAATTATAATATTTTTCAACATTTGTTAGAGGAGATAATTAATGGAGCAATAATTATTCTCTATTTGAAAGTTTTGCTTATTACGATTGTTTAAAATACATCATTCAAAACTCAAAAACCAGATATGTAAACTTTACCATCTAATATTGATTATTAAAGAATTTTATGCAAAAAAGTTAGTAGTCGATGCTCTTATTAATTATTAATAATTAGAATTTCTGATAAACTAAACTCAAAATTATTCATTCAAGCCTAACATTCCTTTTTACAACTGCAAGCATTTAATTTTAATATAACATTGCAAAGAATTTTAGGATAGGAAATAATAAAATTATGATATAACAAATATTAAACAAATTTTTTTAATTTTAGAATCTCAGTCAGTATACAAGATAAAATAATTAAGTAATTTTTATTATAAAAACTAGATTGAATATGAACCAAAAGAAATAGGAGTTTTATAACATTCAATAATTCAGGTTTTATATAGACACTCAACTAATAAAATCTAAATTTAAAGAATTCAAATTCATTATTAAATAACTAACTCTCAAAAAGGATAAAATAGCTTAGTAAATTTACAAATTTTAAAAATTAAATTAAATTCATACAATAACAAACTTAAGAGGAAGATTTTGGGAGTAGAAGAAATGAAGTATCATCCAAATAATTATAACAAAATATGAATGCAAATACACCATAGTATTATTATTCAAATCTAAAATTAAAAATGAAAAAAAGAAATTGAAGATAATAATTAATATTAAATGTAAGCACCTTGGTATCAAAAAAATGATATAAAATCAATAAGAATATCAATCTGATATATTAAAAATAGAAAAAATTCACTAATTTTATGGTTTTAATTCAGACAAATACATAAACTTGAATTAATCAAAATTAATAAAATTTATAAAACAATTATTTTAGTTGACCCCNGTTATAAGATAATTACGAACCAATTCAACAGCAATTAAATAATAATAAAGCTTTTAATCATTTTAATATATTGGATGATCCTGATTATTGAGAAACTTATTAAATTTTATTGAAAAAATCTCAAATTATATTTAAATTATAATATTTTTCAACATTTGTTAGAGGAGATAATTAATGGAGCAATAATTATTCTCTATTTGAAAGTTTTGCTTATTACGATTGTTTAAAATACATCATTCAAAACTCAAAAACCAGATATGTAAACTTTACCATCTAATATTGATTATTAAAGAATTTTATGCAAAAAAGTTAGTAGTCGATGCTCTTATTAATTATTAATAATTAGAATTTCTGATAAACTAAACTCAAAATTATTCATTCAAGCCTAACATTCCTTTTTACAACTGCAAGCATTTAATTTTAATATAACATTGCAAAGAATTTTAGGATAGGAAATAATAAAATTATGATATAACAAATATTAAACAAATTTTTTTAATTTTAGAATCTCAGTCAGTATACAAGATAAAATAATTAAGTAATTTTTATTATAAAAACTAGATTGAATATGAACCAAAAGAAATAGGAGTTTTATAACATTCAATAATTCAGGTTTTATATAGACACTCAACTAATAAAATCTAAATTTAAAGAATTCAAATTCATTATTAAATAACTAACTCTCAAAAAGGATAAAATAGCTTAGTAAATTTACAAATTTTAAAAATTAAATTAAATTCATACAATAACAAACTTAAGAGGAAGATTTTGGGAGTAGAAGAAATGAAGTATCATCCAAATAATTATAACAAAATATGAATGCAAATACACCATAGTATTATTATTCAAATCTAAAATTAAAAATGAAAAAAAGAAATTGAAGATAATAATTAATATTAAATGTAAGCACCTTGGTATCAAAAAAATGATATAAAATCAATAAGAATATCAATCTGATATATTAAAAATAGAAAAAATTCACTAATTTTATGGTTTTAATTCAGACAAATACATAAACTTGAATTAATCAAAATTAATAAAATTTATAAAACAATTATTTTAGTTGACCCCTAAATCCACTTATACGAAAGGAATACAAACTAATGTTTGTCATTTTAGTATTAGCGAAATCTTAAATGATCTCATAACAAGATATAACTCTTATTAAATCTTAAAAATAAAATCAAATATTAAGACATTTTTCAATAAAAAATAATGGAACATAAATATGATACTCTATTAGATAATTTGATTATTAAAACTGATATAATCTATTTTCTGTCAATTATTATTATATTCTATATCAAGGATATTTATTAATGATTTCATTTTTAATTGTAATTCAAGAATTTTTTTTAATAATTATTTTATTAATTTGATTCTAAAGAAAAAATGGTATCAGTATCATAAATACTTAGGATGGAGAAGATGAAATGTAGAAATAAGCTAGATTAATGGCCGAAAAATATAAGGATGGACCTAAAAAGAAAGGAGCATTAGTGAAAAAAACTCAAGAAGTATTTCTTAAATATTTACACATTAGAGAACATAATTTGATTCAGCTACACATGAAATGCAAAAATAAGCTTAACAACATCCTCCTAAATGATGATTCGATAATTATAACAATATTAATTAATAATTAAATCTCTTTTTCAAAATTTTTTTTAATGAAATTTTTCTTAGATGATCATTAAAATATTTAAATTCATCTAATTGAAAATCCTTTTTTTAATTTTGACAATTTATTAAGAATGGATTGATTTTTAATTGACAAATAAGAATTTGAATAAAAATTCAATAACTAAATATATTTTAGAAATATAGCTATTTGAAGATTACTCTTTTAATACTTTGAAATTAAATTCAAACTTTATTTTATTGAAGTGAATTTTACAAAATTAAATTTAAGATTTAAAAAATTATATCTTAAACATGTTACTTTAAAAAAAATTAATACTTTTAAGTTGAAACCTTTTTAGATTATAATCTAATATTTAGTAATAAATTAGCTATTAGATATGTTTTTTTTTTTTAAATTATTATTTCAAGAAGCCTAAAGTTATTTTAAATCTATAATCCAATATTATAATTTAGATAAATTTAAAGATACTAAAAGATGCATACTTTACAATTCATAAATTTTTGTAATTAATGATTATTTTATAGTTTTAATTTAATATTTATCCTATTCAATCATAATGAGCCATTCTAGAATAGAAGTTGCCTTCTTATTTTTTAGTAGGATGAAAGCATAAGCATAAAACACAAGTTATGCACAAAATCATAATAAAGCATACACTAGCAGCCACTGCTCCAATATAGACACAAATATCTTTTGCAAATCCTGTAATAGCTTTATAACATGAATCACTTGTTAAGTTAAACATAAAAATTACTCAGGAATTCCTGCATTTATATCAGAGAAAATGTAAATTGGATAAGGAGAACACCATCCTGAGCAAGAGAATTATTCTTCTACAGATTTTAAATAATCAGCTTCTTCATTATAGTCTGATTTATAATCAGTATATTATTGGCACTATTAAATACTTGTGGGCTATATATTACAAAAACTATACTAAATTAGAATCTGTGGTTGAATAAAAATGAACTGCTTATGAAGTACTTGATGTCATATTTTGTGTAAAATAACATTGGCAACCAATAGTATTTTGGTATATTGTCTTGCAAAGTACCTCTTCAGCTTCTACATAGACATTATTTAAAGTAGCCGAACCAGATATATAGTCTGATTATAAGCATTACTCATCTAAAAAATTATATAAAACTATTTTAACCAGAAAATAGATCTAACCATTAAGACGATGTTCCAAGACTGAGCCCGATAATTGCAAGACCTAGAAAGGCTAGTGCAAGTATGATATTTCCTATATTGAAGCAAAATAATAGTGTTCCAATTCTTTTCCATCCTCCAATTATTCCACAAATTCCAAAAAATATTAATATACTGCTGAATATGTATAATGCTATTAATATTCCTTCTGAAGGTTTTGACTTTTTTAATTATACACAGATACACTTGTAAATTCATCCAAATAACTTAAGAATTAAGTCTGATCAACATTTATTACAATTGTTCCAATTAATGCAGCTAGACCTACAATTAGTATAATCCAGGCTTAAAACTATACAGAAAACTTTAAACAACCCAAAGGTAAGCACATTTTAATAAATAATTTAATGAACAATCAACTATATCATTTTTGAATTTATATTTCCATTTTTAGTATTTATAGATTATATATTAAAAATTCTTGGCTTTAGCAATATTTTTCTAATTTATTTCTCTAAAAATTATATTAGTTATTTTATTGTCTCTGTTTTTTATTAAAAGATTATATTTCAATAATTCATTATAATACTCAAATTTATTGAAAGTAAGAATAAATTTAAAATTATTCTAAGTTTAAATTTTTTGAAAAATTCTCCATCTCATTTCATCTGATTTTTTTTATTTATACGAAAAAAATTGTTTTAAAGAAATATTATTAATTAATTTTAAGTAAGTAGTAAAAATTAAATAAAGGAACTTTATTATCTAAAAATATGTACAAACTTATTTTTTACTGTTTCTTAAATAAATTTTAAAATTTTAAGGTGTTTCATAAACATATCATTCAAAAAATTCAAAAGAAGGTGAAAAGTGAAAAATAATCAAGGTGAAAGTTTACCTATAGCGAAATCCATAAGTGATGAATTTAGATGTGATTTAGCTTCTCATATTTCTAGCCATATTCAAGTTGTGTAAAGATTGGAGATGATTAACTCAAAATTGAAAAATTACATGTTCTTATGGAGTCAATCCTTTAGGAACAGAGTTGAGATACAAAGATCTTTCAAAAGTTTGTACAGGTTTATTAATGAAATGCTTATCAAAATTTATTGTGCTTTCTTTCATAAAAGTAAATGTGAAATTTAGAACATTTGGAAAGAAAGTATTTCTATTTACTTTTTTTTTATATAATTCTAAAGTATATGGCTGCTTTAAAAAATAAAAATGCACTAAATTAATAAATGACAAATATAATCTATAATTAATTATAATATTTGATGTCTTTTATTGAATTTTTTTACCACAATGCCAGTGTTGCTGTATTAAATCAAGAAGCATTATCCTATATAAAAAGTGATTAACCAGTTGGAATTTTAATAGATATGTGGCGATTAATAATTTTAGTTATGAATAATAAAGACACCTTGTTTATTAATTCAAGTAAAACTTTTTGTAGTGAAATTATAGCATTTGATTTTAAAGACAAATCAATGTATGATGATCACTAGAACGAAATAATTCTTAATTTTTTTTAAGTATATGATTATTCAGTGTCTTAGAGTTATATTGAAAATTAATTTGATTATAATAGATCAGCATATGAATTATCACCTATAATAGTTTCAGGTACTGGATAAATATTATATAAGAAAACTATTTATTTGTATTTTTAGACAATTTTTGGGTTGTAGCACTTAAAATATTAAAATAGATATTCATTTATTTTGCTTATTTGATCTTACCTTGGATATTAATTAATTTAAATTTTATTGCATTTTTTATACTTGATTATGTAGAAGATAAGCCATATTATTATAAGATAAAAGAATCATTTATTTGGTTTGGTGGCTAAAATTAACATGAAAAGGAGAATATTTGTAAGTAAGTTTATCGGTTTGTATTTGCCATGGTAAGTTTTTTAATAGTAATAATATTATTTTCAGACTTTATTTATTTGATAATTAATTCTTTGGCAAAATCAAATTTTAATACAATCTAAGATATGAAANCAAACTTATTTTTTACTGTTTCTTAAATAAATTTTAAAATTTTAAGGTGTTTCATAAACATATCATTCAAAAAATTCAAAAGAAGGTGAAAAGTGAAAAATAATCAAGGTGAAAGTTTACCTATAGCGAAATCCATAAGTGATGAATTTAGATGTGATTTAGCTTCTCATATTTCTAGCCATATTCAAGTTGTGTAAAGATTGGAGATGATTAACTCAAAATTGAAAAATTACATGTTCTTATGGAGTCAATCCTTTAGGAACAGAGTTGAGATACAAAGATCTTTCAAAAGTTTGTACAGGTTTATTAATGAAATGCTTATCAAAATTTATTGTGCTTTCTTTCATAAAAGTAAATGTGAAATTTAGAACATTTGGAAAGAAAGTATTTCTATTTACTTTTTTTTTATATAATTCTAAAGTATATGGCTGCTTTAAAAAATAAAAATGCACTAAATTAATAAATGACAAATATAATCTATAATTAATTATAATATTTGATGTCTTTTATTGAATTTTTTTACCACAATGCCAGTGTTGCTGTATTAAATCAAGAAGCATTATCCTATATAAAAAGTGATTAACCAGTTGGAATTTTAATAGATATGTGGCGATTAATAATTTTAGTTATGAATAATAAAGACACCTTGTTTATTAATTCAAGTAAAACTTTTTGTAGTGAAATTATAGCATTTGATTTTAAAGACAAATCAATGTATGATGATCACTAGAACGAAATAATTCTTAATTTTTTTTAAGTATATGATTATTCAGTGTCTTAGAGTTATATTGAAAATTAATTTGATTATAATAGATCAGCATATGAATTATCACCTATAATAGTTTCAGGTACTGGATAAATATTATATAAGAAAACTATTTATTTGTATTTTTAGACAATTTTTGGGTTGTAGCACTTAAAATATTAAAATAGATATTCATTTATTTTGCTTATTTGATCTTACCTTGGATATTAATTAATTTAAATTTTATTGCATTTTTTATACTTGATTATGTAGAAGATAAGCCATATTATTATAAGATAAAAGAATCATTTATTTGGTTTGGTGGCTAAAATTAACATGAAAAGGAGAATATTTGTAAGTAAGTTTATCGGTTTGTATTTGCCATGGTAAGTTTTTTAATAGTAATAATATTATTTTCAGACTTTATTTATTTGATAATTAATTCTTTGGCAAAATCAAATTTTAATACAATCTAAGATATGAAAGACTTAAATGCAATCGCTTGTTATTATGAGTAGGATCAATTCTTATAAAATTTATTTGCTAGAGATCGAGGTTTATCAAGATAAATTGGTGTTAGTTAATTATAATGTATGGAAATGTTAAATGACTAATTTGTTGATGTTGTAATAATGAGTGAATTTAATTTATTAATTTTTTTAGAGTAACACAAAATATTTTTAAGTAAATTAAGATATTAAGTAAAATTAAATACAAATATTGCTCATCATATTTTGATAAATAAAAATGATCCTTAATGGTTTAGAAATGAATTAAATGAAGCAATAGATGTTATATAAAAGTAAAAATTGGATTTATTGATAAAAGAAAAACATTTACCAACAAAAATATATAATTCAAAAAATAAATCAATAATGCCTTATCAACCAACCCTTCAGTTAATATGTGCTATACTCTCTATTTTATTTATAATTGTAATTTAAATAACTTTAGTTCTTTAAGAACTTAATATATTAAAGAATAAATTAAAAATAAAATCCTTGTCGAATAAAAATGGAGCTAAAGTAAAAATAATTTGATTATTTTTTACTATGAATATTAATAATTTAAAAAATATAAAGTTTAAATCATCCACCATTTAAACTGGTGCATTATTCAGACTTTAAACAAGCTGTTGCATTCCAGCATTCTAATGGTTCATCAATAATGATAGGATTTCCATCGGAATCAATAGTATTATTATTGCATTATACATAAGAGCAAGAACATTTTAGTAATTCACTATTGAAAAAATTTTAAATAATTTCTCCATTCATTTGACATTCTACATCTAAAAAACATTTATCAAGAAGATAATTTAACTTTAAATGCTCTGTTAAATTTTGTGCACAATTACAAGGAGATGGAAATGGATTACCTAAATTTATAGAATCTGAACAAGCCATTCCGTAACCAATACCCATAGATTAAAATCTGGTCATACAGAAATCATGATACATACATTGTTCATCTACCCAATCTATTGGTTTATTGCATTTCTGACAATCTTCAGTTGGTTCAAATAAATTTTCTTTACAAAATTCTTTACAATTATTATTAAACCCCCCATAATTTTTGCCACACCAATTTCCATATTAAAATGTTTCTGATATTTCCCAAAGTTATAATATTGAATTCATACAATCCTTTACTAAATTATGATTTCTAGATAATGATATTTTTAATGATGATTCAATGAAATTAAATTATTCCTATGTTCCTATATAACATCTATCATCTATGACTGTTTGTAGCAAATTCTTTTTAATTCGAAGTTGTTTTGTTATTGAAATTTATGTTTGGGAAAATATTGAAAATAAAAACAATATATTAAACATTTTTATAAATATATGTAAAAGGTTTATAATCGAAATAGTAATTAGAAAAATCAAGAATGAGCAATAAGTAAATTTGATTTTTTAACTTTTTCACACTTAATATACTGGTATAAACATGAACCTAAAATCATTTTTATACAAGATGCAGATTCATTTTGAATGAATATATTATATAAAATATCAAAAATTAATCATAATTATCTAAAATTAATTTTTAACTATCAATAGAAATCTACAATATGTAAGATAAGTGCAATTTTTATGAAAATTTTAATGGAGAAACATAATTACGTTCTGAAATTATTTTAACAGTAATTGTATATTTATTTTTTAACTTATAAATAATAATAAAAGATTCACTATTGTCTCAAAAGAAAATGAATGGATTTTTAATCAAATTATTTGAGTTTATTTTAATTAATTTATTGTAATATGTAAAATAATAACAATAATAATCTCAACTTTGAATTTAGTAAGGATACTAATAACCTAAATAAGAAATTATAAGGATTTTATCGATAAAAAGATCAAAAGTTTGATAATTTCTTTGATGAGTTAACCACAGAATATAAATTATTTAAAGTATGACAATCCATAATATTTAGAAAATGACTCACGAATGTTAAATGAATTGTTTTGGCAAAGCTGATTTTACTAGAAAATAATCTGATGCATGCGCTAGATAATGTTTAGATGGATATTTATTTATAAGAAAATCTATAGGAGATAAAATAGGATAATGTGATGTAATTATTATTAATATTAGCAGCATCAATTTTAGCAATAAGAATCAAAATGTATGAGTTCATCTGATATGGATTGTAATAATATAAATATATTTAAGAATGTTATTCCAACTTAGTGAATTCATTAGGAGTTTGCTTATAATAAAATACATAATTTGCAAAAGAATAGTACAAGAGTGTGTTATAACGTTTTTTAAAAAAATGAAATAACATAAATTATGTATATTACAAAAACAATTGTGAAAAAAATTAAAATCAATTTTTAAATCTAAAGGATTTAGTTTTTTTTTTTGAATTTTAAGGTTATGCGTCAAAAATCATTTTTCTAGTTAACATATTTACGACTGGAGATTATTTAATTATCTACTATTATGCTAATTTTCTTTTTTATTATTTTGGATTATCTTATCGTGATTAAAATATCTTATATTTAATGGAATCTTAATAGTTTGGATGAAAGATATTTATTTTTTCACTAAATGAGTAGAGATCTTTGATTTTAGAATTTTATGAGAAACTTCTTATTTTATACTGTTCGTTTTATGAGAAAAATGAACTTACAGTCTTCTGGCCATCAATTTAATCTGTTTTAATTATATCAAGAGGTGTAAATTAAATATTAGGGATGGTAGTAGAATTTGATTTAATTTGCATTAATTATAAGTGTTATTAAAGTTGATTGATATCTAAATCTATAGCCCAATTTAAAGATTTCTTGATATGAGTATTCTATTACATCAATTATTAATATAATTTATCCATATTTTATTCTCTAGTTTGAAAATAAAGAATTTAATCATCCTATGCTCTAATTATAATAGAATAAATTACTTGTCTATAGAAAGTAAATCATAAAGCTTGAAATGAGTTTTTTTGAAATATTGACTAAGGTTCTTATTATTATTTATGTTGACTTACCATTCAGGTTAAGTACTCTTTCTTTGGAATAATAATTAAGTTATAGATTATTATTATTATTATAATGATTCATTATTTTAGGAGTCTTAATCTTAACTATGAATCTTTATAATGTAAAAATATAATACTCACTCTTTTAACTATATCATTATTAGTTAACTTTCTATTTGCAATTTCTAGTTGTAATTTACATTCAGTGAATATCGATTATATAAGCTATATAAAAACTCCTTATTTCCCATCATACATATTAGATAAACAATTATAAATGGTTGGTTAAAATGTTGATGCTTTTGATCTAAATATAGATTTCTTAGCCAACAAAACTTAATAAGCTTCAGCAAGTCTGGCAATAAATCGATGTAATAATCTATTAAATCATAATTAAAGCATACTTAACTTCGTTTTCATTATTCAATTATTTATTATTAAATAATTTTAGAAACTTTCTTTCTGTTATATCATAATATTCATATTGATCTGTTAACTCTTAACTATCTTTAGTTGGTAACTGATCTAAATTAAATAATTCTTTAAATAATTAATTTAAAGTTTCTTGATCAATCTACATTATTTATTTATTTATTAATGTTATTAATTTAGATAAATTTTACAATTAACAATATTAATATAATTATATAAATACAGTTATGAATTAAGATAAAAATTAACAATAACCTGAAGCAAAGAAGAAATCGATTCCATTTTCCAAAAAGTTTAAAAGAGCAAAGAGACATTTTATTAAATTTTTAAAAAATCCAAGTACAATTTAAGCCCTCTATTTTTGCATGTAAGTAATAATTAATTATATTGGAATTGCTTCATTTATTTTACTTATCTATTATTTCTTTTACTAGAGGTACTTATTTATTAATCAAAATAGTTTTGTCTATTTCATTATAGTTTTATCAATATTTTGTATTTTTTATGTGACTTACTAAGGAGTAAACATTATTCATTACAAAACAATAATTGAAATTTAGACTTTTGATGATACAAATACTTTGACATAAAAAGATGAATAGAAAGAATCAAAAGGATGGAAATATTATTGTTAAATAGTTGGACTAATATTAGCATCATTATTAATGTCAGATCTTCCAATATTGAATTTTTAAATTGTGAAATAAGTTAAATAAATAGAAGATTAATTAAAATATGAGGATGAATAAGATGTTAAACGAAGAAAATAAGCAAGCAAAGCTTAAGATAAATCTAATTAGCCTGATATTAATTAGTTAAATTTAGAATATGGTACTAAAATAACTGCTTTAAAAAATAAAAAAAAGAATAGATTATGGTTAATTCCATACAAATTTGGATGTTCTGCAATATTTGGTTATGTTCCAATAGTATTTATATTAGCTGTTTGGTTAATTTGCAATTAATAATAAATTGATGTATTTGGTAAATTACAAAATGCAATTCTTACTTCAAGTTATGGATGTTTAATTTGTGCAAGTATAATTTGCTTATATGAAATTTAATTTTTTGATAAGACAGCCACCGGTATTTATGAGTAAATAATTTAATATTATTTTTTAGTGCTACTAAATGGTTTATATGCAGATTAGTTGAATTATTATGTAAATCATTATTAATAGGATATTATATAAAATTTAGCTTATATGAAACAATACCTCTCTTAATAATTGGAGTAGGATATTTATTCTACAGTATATCATGCACATTTTTATTTACTTTATTTGATTATGAAAAAAAAGGAGAATAATCTTAATAATAATCAGAAAGACAAGATCAAGAATAATAAGAAATCAATAAATAAGAAAATATTAATTTGCCTATAGAAAAAGGGTTGGCTTATGTAATGAAGTGTTATCTCAAATCATTTCTCCTTAATATTTATGCCAGAACTTTATTTTTACCTTATAAAGAAAGTGCTTTAGGTATGAAAACTCTATCATTCTTTTAAATAACTTATGGAGTTGATAAAAAAATGTTAAGAGAAGAAGTAGCACCTGATAATTGGAAAAATTTAATGATCACTTATGATTAATACAAGAAATTTGGACTTCCAAGAAGATCATATACTCATATTGTATAATCTTTAAGATTTTTTGAATTTTTCCATTTGGCTCTATTTTGTATTTGTTAAAACATCATATAAGGATAATATCTTGAAATAGTAGAACCAAAAAAATTATCATTATATTATTCAGGAAAGATACTCACAGTTTTCAGTATTATCATCTTATTGTTTTATTACCTTAGAGCTGGATATAGAACTATTCATGAAAAACAATTAGATATCACAGGAATTGATGAATGATATTATTAAAAATAATAAATATTATTAATATCTATTATTAATTTTATTTTTGTGTAGTTGTCTTATATTAATATAATAAATATAAATAATTTATGAGTTTGGATTCATCTTAAAAGTGTGATGAAGAAACTGGTTTAAAATCAATGGCTCCCGAACCATTGGAACTTGATGAAACTTACCAAACCCCAGTTGATATTAGATGGGGAAATTGCTATCCATTATTTTAAAAAAACAATATACCAAAAATTGTAATTGGCCCTCATTGTAATATTTAAGAAATATTATTAAATAGGGCCATTATTTATTTGTGCGTATTCTTTATTTGTTGCAGCTAGTATTTTTTTAATAGGTTGGCATTTTACCAGTACTTCTTCTGAATTTATTAAATGGACAACTTTTGTAGTCTGTGTAAATTAGTGTTTGAGTTATGCTTGGGTTGCTTTAATTAACCCTGGAGTAATTAATTATGATAAAAATAATACTATTGAAAATAGAACAAGATGTGCACCATAATTAGATATATAAAATGATAGCAAAACTTGGTTTTGTAATAAATGTAAATTGCTCTAAATACATGGCACAGTTCATTGTAGTGACTGTGATGTCTGTATTTTAGAGATGGATCATCATTGTCCATGGACAGGAAAATGTATTGGAAAAGGAAATATTAAATAATTTTATTATTTTCTTGCTAGTACTTTAATTTTTATGATTTTTAATATTATTGCTTCTTTAACATAGTTAGATGGAGCATTGAATCGAACTAGTAGGAAAATAAAATAAGGAAGTTGAACAAATTTAATATATTGTTAATTATATGGCTTGATAAATCTACAATTTCTATTCTTAGACAGCAAAATCAATTTTAATCTATTTGTTATTAATACAAATTATATTTTTTAAATTTAATTTAATTATAACGCAATCTTAATAGTATTACAATATTTGTTTTAGGAAGCACTTTATGCATTTCTTCAAATTGAGAAGAAAATCAAAACTATTTAGAATTAATAAATATTTATCTTCTTAATAATACATATACAAAAAAAACGAATTAATTTTAAAAAATAATTAATAATCTCATACAGTATTTTTGGATCTTTAATTTATCGCTATCTTCTAATTGATCAGAAGATATAATAGAACTTGGAGAAATTGAATATAATTTGATTAATTGATATACAAATAAGTGACATTCATTAGTGATTAGTGTCAATTATCAAATCTAACAATTTTTTTAACTTTGGAAGCTTATTTTTTAAGAGGATTTACAAAATCTTCTGTGTATAAAATTCCTTCAACATATTAATAAACGTTGGCATTCTAATTAGTAATGATAGAAATTACAAGAAGTTCTTTAATAGATTGAGTCACACATTTTTTCATTGGTTAGATTAATTTAGGGGATTGATAAGTTGGAAGAGATGGTAATCGAGAGGTTATGTTTGTATACTTTTTAGGTTAATAATTATCTAGTATATTTTAGGATTTAAAGAACAATTTCTTTAATTTATAGGCTTCCTCCTTTGTAATTTTACTCATATATATATTTATTAATTTTATAATTGATCATTCACAGAATTACAATTAGATTGGATTTTCTATTTTTATATAATCTTAAATTGTCATTGCAACACTATGGGTTCTAAGTCCAGCATTAAAATTAATCTGATCGCCTTGTGTAATTAAAGATGGATCCAAATAAGTCTGAATTTTGAATAAACTCCCAAAAGGAGGGACTGCTCCAGTGACACATTTCGTAAGTTCATAAACTTATTATTCATTTGCTAAATCTAATTATTTACAATCTAAAAGTTTTCTTATTAATTTCCAAGATAATTTCTTGGAAGCCGACATCACACATAAAATAAAAAGTTAAGTTTTTTTATTTTATAATAACATGGCTTTAGCTCCACTATCTAGAGAGACTCCTCTGACTTTAGCTGATTCTTCTGATGTTTTAGTAGGTTCATGAATCAATAATTTGAATTGAATATTATTAGAATTCAATAATTATTAGATAGCTTCGAATGTCTATGTATTTTCTTACATAATTATTAAAATAATCTGTATGAAATAACTAAAAATTAATAATCAGTTTGTCACTTAAAAGAAGATATCACAAGGGTCATTTGGAATAGTAATGTAAGGAATAGATTAGAAAAATGGAAATTAAGTGGCTATAAAAATAGAGAGGCCAGAAAATGAACATTTGAATTCTTTAGACAAAGAAGTAGAAATTTTAGAAAGAATATAAAATATTAAAGGAGTGCCATAATTATATTATTATGGTTGGGAAGATGATTACAATGTTATTGTCATGGAATTATTATAAAAAGATTTATCTTCGATTCTTAAATAAAGGAAAAAGTTTAGTTTAAAATCTGTTTTCTAATTATCAATAGAACTGGTTTAAATATTAGAGGAAATACATAAATAAGGTGTATTACATAGAGACTTGAAACCAGAGAATATGATGTTGGATGATAAAAATACAGTATATTTGATTGATTATGGGATAAGTAAAATATATATTCGTAAAAATGGGATTTTAAAGTATTATCTTAAATTATGCAAAAAAGTCCTTTTAAAGATAAAGTGCCTTTCCTAGGTACATCAAGATATGCTTCAATAGCAGCACATAAAGGATATGAATTAGGAAGAAAAGATGATTTAGAATCATTATTTTATGTGATGTTATATTGTCTTAAAGGGTATCCGCTTATGAATATTATTAGTTTAGTAATTTACCATGGCAAAATTTAAAACATATTGCTGATGATTAAAGAACTAATAAAATAGGAGAAATTAAGGAGAATATTGAACCTAAAGAATTATTTAAAGATATACCTAACGAATTTATTAAAATATATGAGTAATCATATTTTATTAATTATTTTAAGTTATTTAAGGAAACTTACGTATGCATCTGAACCAGACTATAAGACTATTATTAAATTGTTATAATAAGGAGCTAAGCATGCAAATATTCTATTAGATAATAATTATGAATGGGATACTTAATTGAATAATTATGATAAAAATATTAATAGATATGGGACTTTATAACCTGAAGAATTACCGAACAAATAATTTGAAAAATTCTCATCTAATTTACTTAATTGCAATAATTTATTTGCTTAAACTCCTTCCAAATTTAAATAATTATAACCTCCAATTAATAAATAAGAATCTAATTAAAATAGTAGCAATAATGGTAGTGGTAATTAAAACTAAAGTAATTACAATTCTGTTGGAATTATATATTAAAGATCAATAGATGAAATTAGTGAAGAACTATAAGAACCAATTCCAGATGAATTTAAAAGTCAAAAGAATATTTAATTATAGACATTACCAGATGTATTAAAAAAACCAGGAATAATATTTAAAAATATTTAATTTGATGATGATGAATAAGTAAAAGAAGATAACTTTTTATATGATAAATATCGTAGTTTAAGTGCTTAAGTAACTACTATTTTTTAAAATCATAAAAAATGATTTCACAAATTATATTAATTTTTGTAATTTATTTATAAACTCATATTAATATGTTATAAGTAGAGAATTCTTTGACTTTAATATTTATTTTATTTTTTGATGGACCCGGCAAAATAATATTTAGTTAATTGTGTTCAAGCTCTTCTTAATTTACCTTAAACTCCTTAAGGATTAGCATCAGGATAAACATTAGATAAATTTATGATTGGGTAAGAGAAAAAATCTTTAATTCTTCAATATATGTAAGGTTAAGGATTAAAATTATTTAATCCTAGTAAAGTAGGTAAATTTGAATGAAATATTTAGATGAATTAAATCCATAAACTAAATTAATTGCAATAACTAAAATTGATACAGATGTCATAACTGAGGATAATTATTTTACTAATCTTACAGTCTAATTATTATCACCTAATGTAGTAACAGAATTAAGTAATCATTTATCATTGATCTATTAACCATTAATGGGAGCAACTGTTGATGAAAAAATCAAAAAAAAGTTATCAGGATTCAAGTAATGAAATTTGAATTAAATTCTTAGACAAGTATTATAAGGACTGCAAGAAAATGATTTTGAGAATATACAAAGTGAATAGAGAAATGTGAGTAGACCAATTGATGAAATAGAATAATGGCTAAGAATATCATAATCTGCTACAAGTTCAGAAAGTTAATAAAGAACAGCAAATTAAATTTGTTAAATTTACTAAAAAGTTACTTAATATTGGAAGGATTTCAAATCTATAGAAATTAATAAATTTATAGATTTGTTGGATTAAACTTTATAATGTCTTGATGAATTATACACATCATAATTGTATAATGAATCTAAATTATAAGGAATGTTGTCTTCTATTTATAATTCAATCATTATTAAATTATAACATTTAATCTAATAAGGATAATAAATATTTACTAATTCTTAACAATAAAAACTTTTATTATTTGAATGTTAAAAAATGGTAAGAATATTTGGAGAAAATTTGAGAAAATATTTTGAATATGATTGGAAAATCAATCCTAATTTATAAGAATTTGAATAAATTGAAAAGAGATTGAATGATTTAATTGAACTTAGAAGTATTTATGAAGAATTAAAGAGAAGTAATATTGAATAAGATTTCTTTAAGGAATTATTTGAAATTAATCCATTTATGTCAATAGGTTAAGATTCTTTATTCAATGTTGCTTACAAAAAAGTACTTAATAACTTAGAAAGTGCTGAATAAGATATTTTAAATTTATTGAGATAATAAGTTTTTAAGTAATAAGTAATGAAAGAAAATCCATTATAAACAATTAGAGAAATGCAAAGATGGACAGGATTACTTTCAAGAAACTCTATTTAAAAACATTTTTTGATGGAACGTGATTCTTTAATAACTTCGATTACTAATATGATCTCAAAAATTGAATAAGAATTTAATACTAGATCAGGAGCAGCTTTTCTTGATGATGCAGAAGAAGAAAAATTACCTTATTAGATTGGTTTTACTAAGAATATTCATTAAATTGTTTGGTGTAAATCATTAATTGGTAAAGTGAAGAGAATCAATTAATTGATCTAACAGTTATTTAGTGATATTAAAAAATCATCTTAATTTATTGTTATGTGTTAAAATCTTACAAAATAAATTTAGTAGTTTGAATAAGAATTATTTGATTAATGGAGAAGAGAAATAGATTAACAATTAAAATAGAATGAATTATCCTTATAAATTTCAGGTAAATTAATGGAAATAGATATGTAAGATGGTTTAGTTAGAGTTAATTATTCAGATAAATTAGTTTAATTAATAAAAGAAGTGAGATAATTATGTGAGTTAGGTTACAGAAAAAATATATCAAATGAAATACATACAATAGTGGAAACAGGAAAGAAATTTTATAAAGAAGCTCTAACTTTGAAATCAATAGCTAGCTTTTATAATTAAATGTCTGATTAAATAATAGAATGTTAAAAACCAATGTTAGTAAATTAAGCAGTTAGATTTGAAGATACTGTAAAGAATTCAAAAAAAAAAAACAGTATAACTTGGGAAAATACTTAAGAATTAGAAAATTATGTTTAGAAAGTTTAAGAATCTGCGAATGAAATAATGTAAGAAAATAAAAAATTAAGAAAGAATCATTAATAAATAATTGATAATATTTGTTTATTATTTTAAGTTGATTTAAAATAAAAGAATTTATGGAAAGAGAAAGTAGATTAGATAAAGAAAATAATAGAATAGACATGCTAAACTATTGATAGTAAATTTACAATAGGATGGAGAACTCATATTGATTTTTAATTATACAAAGCTTTAGAATTTTAGTATAAGAAAGGATTTTAAGAGATGGATCATGCTATAAATGAGATTTAAGCAGATTTAATTATTAGAAATGGTTAAGTTGTATTTAAACCATCAATTGAAGAATTAAGAGAGAAATATTACAATGAATTGAAAAAGTATATACAATATCCTTCTTAATTTATTGGTGTTGGAGGAAATAATGATATTTATATGTTAATGCCAGAAAGAAATGCAATATTTGTAATATAAGTATATGAGAAAAGTGAATAGATATTTGAAAAATTAATAAATCTAAGTACTTAATATATGTGTTGGTCTGTAGTTGCCTTATTAGATGCTGAATTATTATAAATTTAATTAGGTAATTTAGAATAATGGGAGAATTTTATGAAAGAGGTGAGATTGAGAAGAAAAGAATTGGAAAAGATTAATGATTTTTAAAAGATTGAATGTTTTAACATTAATATTAGTCTATTTAAATAATAAGTTGATGAATTGTTAACAAAATTAGTAGATAATATGTTAAATGAATTAAAGAACTAAATTAAAAATAATATGGTGGAAATTGAACAATTTTTAAGTGAAACTTAATAGAAATTATCATAGAAACCTTAAAATATGAATGAAATGAATGAAGCTTAAAAGAAATATATTGATATTAAAGCTTAAAAATTTGAAATGACTAAAAAAATGTAAGAGTGTTAATAAAAATAAAAATTAATTAATTCTCTTAGTTCATTATCTTAAGCATAAAATCCTATTTTATAATAATTATAATAAATAAGTAAGAATTGGGAAAATTTTGAGTTACTTATTGGAGATTTTGATTCAATTTTAGCTGAATAAACTAAATAATTAAAAAAGGATATGTAATCTAGAGCAAAAGAAGTAGATAGCGATATTGAGAAATTTTATGCTAGATATTCTGCTGTAAAACCAAAATAATTAAGTGAATTAGATAGACAATCAGCAAATGAATTAGCAGAAAATATGACATAATGGAGATAATAATGGAAATAATTAGATGAGAAGATTTAAACACTCATTAAAGATCATTAACATTTTGAAATGGAAATTCCTACATTTACTTAATATGATAAGGTTAAAGTGGAAATGAATGAGTCTGAAATAGTATGGTGTTATTTTGATAAATTTTAAGGGAATGTTAATAATCTAGGAAAAGAAGATTGGTTAAGTTTCAGAACTAAATTATATATGTTTTAAGAATTGATTTTATAGGAATAAGAATAATTAAAAGCTGAATTAAGTAAAGGAACTTTTACTAAAAAAGAAGCTATTATTAATTATATTTTTAATTAAATTGAACTTTATCTTAAAATAAATCCTTTGTTAAAACTTATTGTAGGAGATGCATTTGAACCTGAACATTGGACCAGTCTATTTATGATTCTTAAATAAAAGGAGATGAAAAAGGAAAAGTTATTATTTAAAGATTTATTGAATTGTGATAAATTAATTTTAGACAAATAAAATGATATTAGAGAATTGTAGGCTAGAGCATAAGGAGAAATCACATTGAGAGAAGCTATTTTTGAATTAAAAACATGGTGTGACACTTCTGAATTTGATTTGACTGATTATACTAATAATAATAGAGTTACACCACTAATTAAAGAATGGAAAGAGTTGATGACTAAAGTAAGTGATAATTAATCATTATTGGCTTCATTAAAAGAATCTAAGTTTATTTCTAGATTTAAAGATTAAGTAGATTAATTTGAATTAAAATTAGGTGGTATAGATGAATATTTATCAAAGTTGTAAGTTATTTAAAGAAAATGGGTTTATCTAGAACCTATTTTTGTTAGGGGAGCATTGCCTTAGGAATAAGCAAGATTCAGAAGATTGGATGAAGATTTTAGAAATATAATGTTAGGAATTCAAAGAGATTAAAAAGTTGTCTCTTTATGTAGTATTCCAGGAATTAAAGATACTTTAGATACAGTATTAGATTAATTAGAAAGATGTTAGAAGGCTTTAAATGATTTTTTAGAGGAGAAAAGAGGTAAATTTCCAAGATTTTATTTTTTGGGAGATGATGATTTATTAGAAATATTGGGTTAATCTTAGAATCCTTAAGTAATTTAGATGCATTTAAAGAAATTATTTGCAGGGATAAACTCAGTAGAATTCAGTAAGGATAATACATAGATTTATTCAATGTTATCATCTCAAAAAGAGTAGGTTTAATTTAAGAATTCAATATAAGTAAATGAGATAGTAGAGAATTGGTTATCAGTGTTATCTTAAAATATGAAAGAGACTCTGAGTCAATTTTTAAAGTAATGTTTGAAGGAGTAGGACATGGATTTTAATAAATATCCATCTTAAATACTATGTTTATCAGAAGAGTAAATATATATATATAAATAAAATTAGAATAAAGTTTACAGAACAAGCAGTTTAAGGATTGAATTCAAATAAATTAAGTTAATTTAAGTAGACATAATTGAAATTATTGGATTAATATACTTAATTGAATGCTTCTGCATCAAATAATTATCTTTTATAATTGAAATTAAAATCATTGATTTTAGATTTGATTCATCATTTAGATATAATAAATTAGTTGATTGATAATAAGGTAAGTTAATTGTAAGATTGGTATTGGTATAAATAATTAAAGTATGAATATAAGAAAGATGCAGAGATAATAATGTGTAAAGCAAGATTTGATTATACATATGAATATTAAGGGAATGGATAGAAATTAGTACATACACCATTAACAGATAAATGTTATTTAACATTAACATAAGGAATGTCAATGGGATATGGAGGTAATCCATATGGTCCAGCAGGTACAGGTAAGACAGAATCAGTAAAGGCACTTGGATAATTATTTGGAAGATAGGTTTTAGTATTTAATTGTGATGAAGGAATAGATTTTAAGAGTATGGGACGTATATTTATGGGATTAGTTAAATGTGGTGCTTGGGGTTGTTTTGATGAATTTAATAGATTGTTAGAAGAATAGTTATCAGCTATATCATAATAGATATAAATAATATAGAATGCAATCAAAGAGAATTCTTAATAAATGATATTGATGGGTTAAACTTGTATTGTAAATAAGGATTCAGGAATATTTGTAACTTTGAATCCAGCAGGAAAGAATTATGGAGGAAGATCTAAATTACCTGATAATTTAAAATAATTATTTAGACCAGTTGCAATGTCTATACCAGATAATGAATTAATAGCAGAAGTATTATTATATTCAGAGGGATTTAAGAATGCTAAGATTTTAGCAGAGAAAATTATTACAATATTTACATTATCAAGATAATTATTAAGTCCATAATAACATTATGATTGGGGATTAAGAGCATTGAAAACTATTTTAACAGTTGCAGGTTAAATCATATAAGAGGAAAGGAAATAAGGAATATCTATTGATGAAACAATTGAATCAGAATTACTAATAAAATCAATTAGAATTAATACTATGTCTAAATTAACTTATCATGATACTAAGAAATTTGTATAATTAGTATAAGATGTTTTTCCAAAAATTAATAGTTAAGATATTATTTATGAGAAATTAACAAATGCTATAAAGGAAGTGTTATAAAGCATGAAATTAAGTGAAATAGATAATTAGATTNTAATATACTTAATTGAATGCTTCTGCATCAAATAATTATCTTTTATAATTGAAATTAAAATCATTGATTTTAGATTTGATTCATCATTTAGATATAATAAATTAGTTGATTGATAATAAGGTAAGTTAATTATAAGATTGGTATTGGTATAAATAATTAAAATATGAATATAAGAAAGATGCAGAGATAATAATGTGTAAAGCAAGATTTGATTATACATATGAATATTAAGGGAATGGATAGAAATTAGTACATACACCATTAACAGATAAATGTTATTTAACATTAACATAAGGAATGTCAATGGGATATGGAGGTAATCCATATGGTCCAGCAGGTACAGGTAAGACAGAATCAGTAAAGGCACTTGGATAATTATTTGGAAGATAGGTTTTAGTATTTAATTGTGATGAAGGAATAGATTTTAAGAGTATGGGACGTATATTTATGGGATTAGTTAAATGTGGTGCTTGGGGTTGTTTTGATGAATTTAATAGATTGTTAGAAGAATAGTTATCAGCTATATCATAATAGATATAAATAATATAGAATGCAATCAAAGAGAATTCTTAATAAATGATATTGATGGGTTAAACTTGTATTGTAAATAAGGATTCAGGAATATTTGTAACTTTGAATCCAGCAGGAAAGAATTATGGAGGAAGATCTAAATTACCTGATAATTTAAAATAATTATTTAGACCAGTTGCAATGTCTATACCAGATAATGAATTAATAGCAGAAGTATTATTATATTCAGAGGGATTTAAGAATGCTAAGATTTTAGCAGAGAAAATTATTACGATATTTACATTATCAAGATAATTATTAAGTCCATAATAACATTATGATTGGGGATTAAGAGCATTGAAAACTATTTTAACAGTTGCAGGTTAAATCATATAAGAGGAAAGGAAATAAGGAATAGCTATTGATGAAACAATTGAATCAGAATTATTAATAAAATCAATTAGAATTAATACTATGTCTAAATTAACTTATCATGATACTAAGAAATTTGTATAATTAGTTTAAGATGTTTTTCCAAAAATAAATAGTTAAGATATTATTTATGAGAAATTAACAAATGCTATAAAGGAAGTTTTATAAAGCATGAAATTAAGTGAAATAGATAATTAGATTTCTAAAATTTTGTAGTTTTATGAAGCAACTAAATAAAGAATGGGTGTTGTTTTAGTTGGTCCATCAGGATGTGGAAAGACTACAATTTGGAAAGTATTAAAGAAAGCACATGAAAAACTAGGTTAATAAGTAAAAACACATGTAATGAATCCAAAATCAATGCCTAGAAGTTAATTATTAGGTAATATGAATAATGATACGAGAGAATTTAGCGAAGGAGTATTAACAGCATCAGCAAGATTAGTTGTTAAAGAATCAGTTGATGTTTTAAATTGGATTATATGTGATGGAGATATTGATCCTGAATGGATTGAATCACTTAATTCTGTATTAGATGATAATCATTTATTAACATTACCAACTGGTGAACGTATATCATTTTAAAATAATGTCAACTTTATTTTTGAAACATCTGATTTATAATATGCATCTCCTGCAACTGTTAGTAGAATGGGAATGATATTTCTTAACAATGAAGATATTAGTATGTAATCATTAGTTACTAGATGGATTAATAAATTAGAATGTGAAGAAGAAAAGAAATCTATCCTATTAAATTAAATTGAATCTATACTCTATCCTTTGCTTGATGAAATATTTACATATGAAGAACTTTAAATCGTACCTACTACTAGAGTTGGACTTATCATGAACATACTCTCATAATTACATAGAATTCCTAATAATAAATATTAATTTAATTATCTATTCTTATAAGGATTATCTTCTAATTTCTAACCTGATGTTAGATCCAAATTATAAACATTAATCAATTCTAATCTTGATGCTAATGAAAATGGAGATAAATATTAATATATCAATCAAAATTATGATGAATCATCTTTTACAGATGTTAATGATCCTCCTGTTATTAAAACTATTGGACATTAAAAAGATCTATAAATGTTATAGTCTTGGATTCAAAACAATGATCCATTCATTATTGTTGGAGAAGAAGGATGTGGAAAAAATCTACTTATCTAAAGTGCCTTTAGAGAACTTAAAAAATAAATCAAAATTTAAATCGCTACCATTAATTGTAATGCATAAACCAGTGCATCACAAATCATATAAAAATTAAATCAAATTTGTGCTAAAGCCACATCTGCTGTTGGAAGAGTTTATAAACCTAAAGATTGTAGTCGTTTGATTCTATATTTAAAAGATATTAATCTTCCTAAACCAGATAAATATCAAACTATTTAACTTATTGCATTCCTACAACAATTAATTACTCATAGAGGATTTTATGATGAAAACTTAGAATTTGTCTTTTTAGATGATAAAATCTAAATTGTTTCATCCATGAATCCTCCATCCACTATTGGAAGACATTAATTATCAACTAGGTTTACTGCTAATGTCAGAATATATTACATTGAATAGCCCTCTAATGATGAATTACAATAGATATATTAAGAATATTTAAAAATTCTAATATTTAAAGATAATAATCAAAGTAAAAAAGGTGCTTAATTATTGATTGAATGCTATTCTCAAATTAAACAAAAATTTACAGTTGATGAACAGAGACATTATCTTTTTACTCCAAGAACTATCACTTAAATAATATTTGCATTAAAAAGATATAATGATATCCAATCAGTATTTCCAGAAGCTTTATTAAATGAATTCAATAAAATATTTAGAGATAAATTGATTTCTTAAGATTAATAATTTAAATTTGATTAAATGATCTTACCTATTTTTAAGAAATATTATAAAGATATTTAACCTTAATAATATTTTGCTACAGTATAAAATTTACAAACTCTATCAAAGATAGAAAAAAAAGACTTTATTTAATTGATATCCTAAGCAGTATAGGTTTACTCTCGAGAGAATAGAGAATTAAATGTTGTAATGATAGAGGAAATATTATCTCTTTTAACTTCATTAAATAGAGCATTATCATCTTAAAGTTAAACAACATTACTATTAGCTGGAAGAAATGGAATAGGAAGAAAGATGTGTTTATAAATAATGTGTACAATGTTAAATCTAGAAGTTCTATAACCATATACTTGTAGAGATTATGGAATAAGAGAATTTAAAAGAGATCTAAAATCTTATATGGAAATAGCATAATCAAAGAATTGTTTATTAATTTTAGAGGATCATGTTTTATTATAATAAGGAATCTTAGAAACTGTTAATTCATTAATTTCAAGTGGAGAAATCCCAGGGTTATTTGGTTATGATGAGATTGATAGATTAATATAAAATTAAGAGGAAGTAAAGAGAGAATTTTATGGTAAAACACTTTATGAAGCATTTCATGAAAGAGTTAAAAGAAATATGAAAATAGCTTTAGTAATGGATAATACTAATCATGAATTCTAATCTAATTGTGCATAAAATCCAGCTTTATTTACAAGTACTACAATAATATGGTAGACATAATTATCAAAGGAAAGTTTATTATAATTTATGAAGAAATAGTTAGAATCTTCAAATAATAATAGTAATAATATTAGTGAATAATTAATAAGTTATGCAGTTGAAATTCATAGAAATTAGAAATCTGATCCAAGAAGTTTTTAATCATTAACTTAAACTTATAGTTTAATAATGGATAAGAAAATGTAATCAAAAGGATCTTAAGCAGATCATTTATAGAAAGGTCTTGAAAAATTATAAGAAGCAAATAATTTAGTAAATAAATTAACTTAAGAAGCTTAAGAAAAGAAAGTTTTATTATCTAAAAAATAATTAGAAGCTGATGATGCATTATAAAAGATTTCAAAAGCAATGTAAGATGCAGCAGAACGTAGATAAGAAACTGAATAATTATAAAGATATTTATAAGAAGAAGAGGGTAAAATAAAAGTATCAAAAGATAAAGTTGAAGATGAATTAAGAGATGTAAATCCATTAGTTTAAGAAGCATAAAATGCAGTTAAAGGAATATCAAAATCACATTTAGATGAATTAAAATCTTTAGCATAACCTCCACCTGCTATATATGATGTTTTATGTGCTGTTATGAAAGTATTTAAATAAACAGAAATTAATTGGAAGGGAATTAAGAAGTTTTTAGGTAATAAATAAGTAATTGATTAAATTATTGATTTTGATCCTCATATGATAACAGCTGATATTAGAAAAGATGTAGAAGAAGAAATAGCAAAACATTCAAATTCATTTGAAAAATAAAATATTTATAGAGCATCTTTAGCAGCAGGACCATTAGCTGACTGGGTAAAAGCAATATTAAAATATGCTACTGTTTTAGAGAAAATAGCACCATTAGAAAAAGAATTATTAATGATAAGTAAAAAATTGGATTCGTCTAGAAATAGATTAAAATAATGTTAAGATGCATTAAATTAATTAGATTAAAAGGTTTAAGAATTAAAGAATAATTTTGCCTCTAAAACAAGTGAAGCAGAATTACTAAAAAGAGATTTAGAAAAAGCAGAATAAACAGTTAGTTTAGCATCAAATTTATTAGATAAATTGTCAGGAGAAAAGGTTAGATGGTAATAATAACATGATTTAATTGCATAAGAATTAAAATAATTTCCATTAGATTCTTTATTATCTGCATCATATATAACATATTTATCATTACAAGATGAAAATGTTAGATATAAAACATTATAAGAATGGATTCATTTAACAAAATTATAATAATATGATTTTTTGAAATTTATGTCTAATGAAAGTTAAATTTTGAAATGGAAAACACTTGGATTACCAGGTGATTAATTAAGTATAGAAAATTCAGTAATGGTATTTTCATCTTCTAAAGTATCATTATTAATAGATCCAAATACATAAGCAACAGAATGGTTAAAGAAAACTTTGTAAGGAGCTGAAATATTGAATTAAACAGATCCTAAATTTAATAATTAATTAGAATTAGCAGTTAGATTTGGTAAGACTATTGTAATTTAAGAAATTGATTAAATAGAAGGTTTACTTATTCCTTTATTAAGAAAAGACTTATTACATTAAGGTCCAAGATGGGTTGTTATGATTGGAGAGAAGTCTGTAGATTTTAATGAAGGATTTGTAATGTATTTAACAACAAGAAATTCATCAATTCATTTGCCACCTCATACTGTTTCTTTAGTATAAGTAATTAATTATACAGTTACTAGAAGTGGATTAGAAGGTAAATTATTAAGTATAATTATTAATATTGAATAACCAGATTTAGAATAGAAAAAATAATAATTATTAGAAAATGAAGAAAAATTAAAAATGTAATTGGCTGATTTAGAAAAGACTCTATTAGATGAATTAGCAAATTCATAAGGGAATATTTTAGAAAACAGAGTTTTAATTGATAGTTTAAATTAAACGAAATCTAAATCATAAGTTATAGCTTAGAGTTTATAAGAATCTTCTAATTTGTAATAAGATTTAGATACTTAAAGAGATGTTTATAGACCTTTATCTTAAAAAGGTGCTTAAATATTCATTCTTATTTAAAGTCTTTAAAATTTAAATAATATGTATAAGTATTCATTAGCATACTTTATTTAAATATTTTAAAAAACACTAGATATAAAAGAGAATTTTGATTCGAAATAGAAGAAGTTAGAATTTGCAGGATAAAGTCTATTGAGAAATATATTTAATTAGATAGCTGGTTCATTATTTAAATAAGATAGATTAATATTTGCTTTACATTTAGTAAAAGGATGTAAACCAGAATTAATAGAAGATGAGGAATGGTAATTTATGATTGGTAATTAAATACCAAATGATAATGTTTAACTTCCTAAATGGGCATCTTAAGATAGAAAAGAAATATTTGGTTAATTATAAAATCTTAAATTAAATATTAATTTTAATTCTAGTGAATGGGAATAATGGAATAATAGTTAAGAATGTGAAAAAAGCTTTCCATAATCTGCTAAATTAAAACCTTTTTAAAAAGTGTTAATTGTATAAACATTTAGACCTGAAAGAGTTTAGAGTGCATTAAATGAATTTGTATGTCCAAATTTAGGAATTCCAAGTGTTAGTGGTTAAACATTCAATTTTTAGATAGTTGCTTAAGAAGAATTAAGTGCATAAATTCCATGTTTATTTGTAGTTTCTGCTGGTAGTGATCCATCTAAAGAATTAGAAGAATTTGCTGAATAATAAATAGGTAAATAAAACTTTTAAGAAATGTCTATGGGAGGTAATTAAAATGAATTAGCATTATCATTAATTAAAGAGGCTGCATAAAAAGGTTAATGGCTATGTCTAAAGAATCTTCATTTAGTTATTAGTTTTCTTCCTTTATTAGAAAAGACTATAAAATAATTAAAACCTAATCCTAATTTCAAATTATGGCTTACAACTGAAGCACATATGAAATTCCCATCAATACTTCTTGAAACATGTTATAAGGTTTCATATGAAGCACCTCCAGGATTAAAAAAGAATTTATAAAGAATAATAACTAGTTGGCCTACTCATATTAAATAATCTGTTTATCAAACATAATTACTTTTTATTCTAACTTGGTTTCATGCTTTAGTTTAAGAAAGAAGAACTTATATACCATAAGGTTGGAGTAAATTCTATGAATTTTCATATGGAGATTATAAAGCAGGAGTATAAATAATTGAAAATTTATTATAAGAATCTTAGACAATTTCATGGTAAACTTTATATGGATTATATGAAAATGCTATCTATGGTGGTAGAGTAGATAATGAATAAGATATCAAAGTATTAAGAGCATATTTAGAAACTTATTTTAATTAAAATAAATTATAAAATGGTACTCTTAGTACTGGTTAATAAATACCATAAACTAATTAAGTTAAAGATTTAATTAATTTAATTAATAAATTACCAGAAAATGATGTACCTGAATTTTTTGGATTACCTAATAATATTGATAAAGCTGTTTAAAGATATACAATATAAAGAGTGGTTAGTGGATTAAAATCAATGAATAATATAGTGGGATCTGAAATAAAATTTGATAAAGAATTATGGACTAATTTACTTAGTCCACTTATAAATATGTGGGATCAATTAAAAATGAGAGATAATATATAAGTTACAAATTAACAATTAGGATCATTAGATCCTATTGAATCCTTTATTTATTTAGAAGCATAATAAACTTGGAATCTTTATTTGATTATAAATCATTGCTTTGAAAAATTAAAGAATGTATTATATAATAATGGATTATTAACTACTGATATTATAGATATTGGACTATTATTTATTAAAGATGTTGTCCCTTAAAAATGGAGTAATTTCTGGGAAGGTCCTGATGATATAAATCTATGGTTGAAAATATTTATTAAAAAACTTAATGCAATCAAATCATGGATGGATAAAATTTAAAGAAAATCACAATTAGATGAAGTTGATTTAAGTGAATTGTTTCATCCAGAAATATATATGAATGCATTAAGGTAAAAAACAGCTAGAAAATTAAATATTCCTTTAAATGAACTTAAATTATCAGCAGATTTTGAAAATCTTAAACATCCTCTTGTAGTTAAATTAAAGAATCTATTATTATAAGGTTGTGGATTCTCTAATGGTTAATTAGTAGATGATATGAAAATAACTTCAGAATTCATCTAATTACCTTCCTTGAATATCTCTTATATTGAAAAATCTTAACCTGAAAAAAATGGATTAGGGGTAATATTCTTATATCTAATATTTCTAGGACTTTCCTATATATTTAAATGCCAGTCGAGAAAAATTACTATCCAGGATTAAATTATCTTAATCTGGACAAATGAATGATAAAATCATAGCAGGAGTTGCTATATTTCTAAGCTAAAATGATTGATTAATTATATTCATAATATATAAATTAAAAATTTATTGAATTATTTTTAATTTATAATAGTATATTCATCCAGAATCAATTTAATAATTATAGTATTTACTTAATATATATATCTCATTATATCTACTAAATTCATGAGGAATCCTTAACTTCACAACATGTTTTAATTATTGAAGGTAAAGATAATTATAATTTCTAATGTACAAAATTTGTTGTTTCTTCAATAATTCTTTTTAATTCTCTTAATAAATCATTTTATTATCCTTAAGTTTAACACATAGCAATTATTTATTAGACTGAACTATTAGAAATTGTTTCTAAGGTCTTATCTAAAACATCTATTTATTCATCATCACATTAAAATGAAATAGAACTAAAATAATTAATTAAATTTTTACGAATCTCTTTATCTTGTCAAGAAACTTGTTTAAGTTTCTTTTGTACTGGTTTCTTTTTAAATTTAATAAAGCTTTTATTGAAGATTACCAATAATTTTAGTTTTCTCTTCTACTTGAGATTAAAAACTTTCTTTATCAGAATCACGAAGTTTTGCAATTTAATCATATTTAGTTTTCCAATCTCTAACTGATTATTAATTATCTTCATCCTATTTATGTCTTTCTTTAACTAAATCATTAAAAATATTGGTTAAATTATCATATTCTTTTTTTAATTATTATTATTCATTTTTTAATCTTTAATTTTCAATTAATTATTTCTAAATATCATGATTTTTTTTCTCATTTGTTGGTGAATTAGTTGTAGAACCATCTTATATAATTGCAAAGTTTTCTTCTTCTTTTTTTTTCATTTCATCAAAAAGTTTATTCTTAGCATCTAATTCAGCTTGACATTTTTCTAAGTCTTATTATTTTTTAGATAATTCTGATTTATATTTATCAATAATTTCTAATTTCTATTAATCTTTAACTTTTAGTTAAGATTGTAAATCTGAATTAGAATCTTTAAGGTCTTAAATTTCTTTTAATAATTTATTGAGTTTGGATTAAGTTTCTTATTTTTCTCTTTCCTAAAAATGTTAAATATAATTACTCTATCTTCATTGATTTCATCTTATTTAGGTATTTCGTATTAAATATATTATTCTAAGAATTTAAGAGTTGATAGTTCAAATTCAAGATTGTTAATTTTTTCTTTGAATTCACTGACTTCTTTTTAAAGTGTCTAGAATATTTAAAGATTATGCTATACTTTAATATAATTAGCACTTTATTTTAGTTTTTCTCCTTGAGTATTAATATTTAACATAAAATAATAATAAATAAGTGGTTTTATAAACAATTGAATATGGTTGTCATTTTTGGAATATATTCTTAACTTTTTCAAATACACCTTCTTAAGCAGATGATTATCCTTAAGTTTCACTCTTTTCTGACTTTAATAATATTATAAATAAAAATACTTTAGCCAATTCTTCAAAAAGTTATCTTTATTATTCAGTTAACTTTGTAGGAATTTATATTTTAAGATTAACAACTTAATCTCCTTTTTAATTAGAATTAGGTGCTAATTTAGTAATACCCTAGTTATAAATATAAATATTATACTAATCCATTTAATCTAATTTTTTCTCCATCTTAACTACCTGGTTTAATATTGATTATCTTTTCACCATTGAGTGTTTTAATTTTAATTGAATCTCCTAAAACAGCTTAAGCAACAGATATATAAGTATTAGTAATTAAATCATATCCATCTCTTTTGTAATAAGAATCTGGTTTAACTTAAACTTTAATAATTAAATCTCCAGGTTTTCCTCCATTTTCTCCCATATTTCCTTTTCCTGTTACTCTTAAATTCTATCCATCAGCAATACCTTTAGGAATATTTATAGATTCGGTTGCTGCTTACTTTTATATTCCAACACCTTTACATGTAGTACCTATTTAATTATATATTAAATATATATTTACATGGATTCTTAATAGATACTCCTGTTCCCCTGCATTTAGTACATGCCATTTATATTGTCATAGCTCCTTATCTGTAATTAATTGAACCTCTACCACCACAATTTGTACATCTTCCAGGTGCTGTTCCTGGTTTACATTTACTACCATTACAAGTAGAACAAACACCTATCTTCTCAAATTAAATTGTTTATTATGCCCCATTAACACTATCCATAAATTATATTTCCAATTATATATATATATCTGCTCCTTTTATTTATCTTTCTGATTCTCCTCCCATATTAAAAAATGATGCAAAATCACCAAATATTGATTCATCAAATTAAAACTCTTATGCTTTACCTCCTCTTGCTCCTTATCTAAAAAAACTACTATATGCTGAAAATGGATCTTATCCTCCTGCTTAATCTTATTCATCTCCTGTCATTCCAACTTAATCATAAACCTTTCTCTTATTTTCATCTGATAATGTTTCATATGCACTTTTATTTTTTAATTCATTCATACTTATTAATCTCTGCAAACTTTTCCTTTGCATCTTTTGATGGATTTGCATCTGGATGATATTTCTTTGCTAATCCATAATAAGCTTTCTTAATATCATTTTATGAAGCATTTCTTGGTACTCCCAAAAGTTCTACTTTTAATTCTATATTGATTACCATACAGATCTTTCTTAGATGAAAAACCAAGAAAACTTACATTTGCTAATCTTTTTAGAACGTTCCTACTCAATAATTACATTGTTAACCGGAAATAAATTTTGTTATTAATTTTATAAATTTATTAAATGATTTATATTTGTGAATCATAACAAAATATATCAATACTTTGCTCAATTATTCTCAGCAATTTAAATTCTTATCAATTTTGCATTTCTTTTTTATTTATTATTTTTTATTATTCTTTCTTCATCATCATTTATAATTTATTTTATAATAATTATACAATTCATTTATATGAACTCATATTGATTAATATTAAAATATTAAGAAATAAAACTTAAATCTATATTATAATGATTTTTAACTAAATATTATAATAGATTATTGCACTAATTAAAAATCAATACATTTTTCTTTGAACATGCATATTATTTCTATTCTTTAACACATTTTCCAATTATGCACTTTTTCTTAGTTTTTCTTAATCTTTTTCTTTGTTTTTATGTTACATAAACATTTACATAATAGTCATTTTTGTGTTTTAATATTTTGGTTAATCTGGAGATCTAAATGGATTGATATTTTAGCAGTTGCTTAGATTAGAGTTTTTAGGAGATTCAGATGACATTGTCTTCTCAATTCTTTAACTATCACTATTCTTTAATTTAGGTCTATCAGTTAAATTATTATTTGAAAAACTATTATCATTATCTTCAAAAAAGTTAAATAATTTTTGAATTAATTATTTATAATCTTTTCCTTCTCTCTCATCTGTTTTTGCAACTAACAAACCTATTAATTGATGGATAATGTTCAAGAAGTGAAACAATTTATTATTATTCATCATATTTTGAGATTATGACATATTATCATACATAGATTTCTATAAATTATTTTAGCTATTAAAAGCATCAAATAAATTTTGAGTTAATTTCTTTTATTCATCTAATTATGCTTGTAATGTTTAGATTTAATATTCATATAGATCTTTATTAAAAGTAGAAGTATTATTTTCATCTTGATTTTTAATTCTTCTACTTGGTTACAATGATGAATATTGAGAAACACTTTCTGTTTCTGCTAAACTTTATTTTAATTTTGTTATAGTCTCTTATTTATCTGAAATCTCATCCTTTAACCTTTCAATCTCTCTTCTCAAATTAGCTATTTCTTATTGATTTAGATTATCTTGTTGTTTTTATAGTGCTTTAACTTTATCTAATTCATTTTAATATTACTTTTATTTCAATTCTGAATTCTGTATTAGAATATCCTTTTCATTTAATTAATCATTGTATGATTTTTCAATTTATTTCAATTTATTCATATACTCACTTACTTTATTATCCACAGTTGTTTATGATTATAAAATTTGTTATTATTATCTTAAATTTTTATTTTTTTCAGATTCTAATTCTAACCTTAATTAATTCTTATCTTTTTCAATTGATGTAATTTTCTCATAAAGATCATCTTCCTATTTTTTATATCTTTATTTCTATTCTTTAAAATCTTCTTAGATTTAATTTCCACTATCACATTATTACCTTTTATAATATAAATATACTATTACTTCAATTATAAAGTTAATTTTTTAAATTCATATTAAATCTTATTCATAACATTTTATTGTATTTATTGGATATAATCTATTTATAAAGTTTGATTAGCTCCACTATTCCAAATAAGAGCTTATTTTTAATTCCATTCTAAAACTAACTCCCAAATATTGATTTATTGCTCATTTAATTTGTTTAAGAATTAAACCTTTATTTCTTCTAGTTATTCTTCATGTTTTTTATACAATCTTTATTAAGCATCAACATATAATTCTTAAATCTATTACTTAATCATTTTCTTAGCTGTAGTGAATTCTTCCCCTTCCTTATCTAAACAATTATTTTCCAAATAGTACTTTACTTTTCTCAAAAACTATTTATTAATAAATGAGTATATTTACAATATTATGAGATTTCTCTAATTATTCCTATGAAATTCCATTTTATAATAATAATTCCTCTATACTGTCTTTATAAATTTTTAAACCTCCTATAAGTGTTCTATTTAATTCCTATTTACAAATCATTTACCATTGTGTCTCAATTACTGGCATATTTCCTTCATTTATTGTATTCACAAAATGCCTAAATTTATTCAAATAAATTACTTGCACATTTCAACAAAACTAAAAGGTGTTGTTGGTTTTCCTTTATATTATTTTAATGAAATTTTATAAGAAAACTTTTTTCTTAAAGCTGTCAATTATTCTTAAAATTCAGTTCTCAATTCTGAAAATTTTAATTAAGATAAATGTTATAAATCTTTTTCATCTTATGTTGGTCTAACCAATGTCATACAATCACGTTCTTAAAAAAATTATGTTATATGTCTTCTGATTTTATTCTTATTTTCAATAGTTTCACTAAATCCTTTTAATGGCTTCAATGCATTTTCTAAATAGTCTTTTGGTGTAATTTTATTTCCAAACTCATCCTCTAATCTTAAAGTAAAATCTCTTAAAATCCATAAAAATGAAGGAAATGTCTCAAACAGATCCTTCTAAGTTGATTCATCAGTTTTTTATAACATTTTGGTTAGATTAACCTATAATATTTAATAAATAAATAATTACAATCAATCCCAAATTTTATAATGCCATGTCATCTATAGTTCCAACACTATTATAAATAAAATATGAGCTCATCAACATTGCCAATAAAAATATTTTAACATCATGATTCTATTCTTCTTCCAATGAACCTATACCTTCTGTATCAATCAATATTGCAGGAATAGGTTCCTTTGATCTTCCAGACTCAAAATATATGATATCACTCCACATCCATAATCCCTATTAATTTTTATATCCTTTTAATACTTTTGTGCAAGCATTGACTGTACTTCCAACATTAAACCCTTGATTTTATTACAATAAAACTTAATTAATCAAATAACTCTTCCCGGTTCTATATTTACCCACAACTACTACAACTGCAAAATTCTTGCATTTCTCACTAAATGATTAGATTATTTCAATTGCTTCCTATTCCAACTTAAGTTCTTATTATACTATAGATATAATTACGTTTATCTTCATCTACTGATATTAATTATACTGCTCTTGGTCCTTTATTCATAAAATTTAAAATTCAAAAATTTATTTGTATTGTTAATATTTAAAATAATAATACACTTACAAATATATTCTAATTTTGAGTATTTTTAATAAATATCAAAATAATCTTTTAGAGCAAACGATATATATTTAATTCAAATTTATTAATAACACTTCCAAACTTTTCTATATAATTCTAAAAGTTAGAATTTCAATTAAGATAATTTAATTTTATGTTTAATGAATTAATCAATAACTTAATGAGGAACCAAATTAAAAATCAAGATAAACAAAAAGTTGATCCAACATAATAAATTGAATTATTATTATTTTATAATGTATCATAAATGTAAAATAATATACATTTAAAAGTATTAATCATAATAGTATTGTTTATTGGAGTGAATTAAGTTAGATTTGAGTACTCATTATATGATATTATAATTAATCACTCGATAAACAAAATTTAATTAATATGGCTTCTTAAAGTGAAGAAAAAGACTTGATAGGATCCATATTAAGTGGTAATGAGGAATTCCTTATTGTAGATTAAGATGAAAAATAAGAAATCATACCTAAAAAGGCAAGAAAAAATTTATCTTTGAGATCTAAAGAATTTGATCCTTAAATGCATTTTAAACAACAAGAATTTCAGACTTCGAATGCTAGTATATTATCGACAGGCTATTAATCGCATTAGAAATAACGAATATTTTTCCAAACTTAAACATCAATAGAAATGTATACATATATTTATAATCAAATAAATAGTTAGTCTTAATTTTCTAGTGCTTTGCAATAAACTGCTGATCAAGATAATGCTTGTTCATTTGATCATTTCTAATGTATAATTAATTTATAGTATAAAAAGCCTTCGATTCATTTGGTTAGTTACAAAGAAAACAATCGACTAAGAAGCACCTTACTATGTAACCGATAGAATATTAAAACTCCTCTTTAGTGTTCACTAGTGATTAGTGTATTGATAATAAATTATCTTTGAACCGAACAGATCTTGTAAATTGAAAATAATTAATAGAAAGGAATAAATATGTGGAAATTAATTAATCAATAGAAAACTTTAAAATATATTGGACAGCAATGATACCTATACTAAAAGGCTGATTTTTAATTAAGTAGAAAAGATATACTTAAAGGCTTCAAAAGATATGTTTGGGAATTACACTGTATAAAAGATATTTGAAGTTGGAAGTCAAGATTAGAAACAACGAATGTATAATTTGTTGATAAATCACATTTTCGATTTATCAAAAAATTAATACGCATGTAGAGTTGTCCAGAAGATGATTGAGTTTATAAAGTAATTAAATTACTATTTAAAGAGACTTACCTGACTAACTAGAGATATTTTTATAAATTCTTCATCCCTAAATGGACTTACTATTAAATGATTCCAATGGCAATTACGTCATTTTATCATGTTTTGAGTTGTTCAATAAAAATCAATTATTTTTTATGATTCCATTAATAGAAGATTCAGTAAACTCTTAATTAATTTTTTTAGTTATAATTTATGTCAAAGTAAACTTATGGTTGTCGAGTAATTTAGAGAGTGTTAGAGTTATATTCTTTGGAATAAACCTAAAAAATATTGGATATTTTGATGACACTTGCATCTTAATTGTGTTATTAAGAATTTGGAAATTATATTATTCAGTATCTATTAAAAAGTGGGCCTCCAAGAGAGAAATAAATCATCTGTTAGATTATTAAAGATAATTTTGAGCAATTAAGTATTAATAAATTTGGAAGTAATACAGTGGAAAAATACATAGACATTATGGGACCGAATTAAATTATAAAAAATTTATGTTCAATTTCAAATGATTAGTAAATATTAATTTAATACTAGATTTGTATTTTACAATTTGTCTACTAATCCTTATGGGAATTATGTAATGAAAAAAGTACTAATTAGTGGGGATCCATCAGTACAGTATTTAAAAGGTTTATTGAAATAATATCCAGATCTTGTTCAAAGGATTAAAAACTCTGATTTCGGATAAAGAGTTGGATTAATTATGGATGCATTATGAGGATCATTAACTTGTAATAGTATCTTGCTTATGAGTATTATTCTATCCAATTTTAATATTATACATCTTAATATATATTATAAAACTATTTAGATAAAGATTAAATCTCATTACTATTTTATCTTAAGCTTTTTTAAGAGAGTATTAACAAAAACAATGATTTTTCTAGCTTATCTAAAATTCAACCTAGGATCACAAGCCGTTGTATACATTTTTGGATTGATCTCTTCATCATTTTCAATACATTCACTTACATCATAAGGAGTGCATTCTAAATGTATTCCAGCTGGTTATTCATTGTTTTATTCAAGTATATTAAAAAAGTGTTGTATTTCAAACATAATATCTTCTATTCTTCTAATCTTATGTCCATTCTTTTCTAAACCATTTCCATGCATAGGATCTAAGAAAAAGGAGACATTTAATTTTTCATCATTCTTCCAATTAATAATATCTTTTAATTTATCTAATTTATTCTTTCCTAATCTTATTATTGCAAATACTCGTCCATCTTCATTTTTTGGATTCAACAATTTAATTACATTAACAAATTCACTTTTATTAATAGTCCATCCAATCTAACTTAAATTTAATAGAATACCTTAACTCCAATAGGATTATATATTCCCTTAATAAAATTGCAATGAGCATGTTCATATAGTCTAGTTCTATCACCTATCCAAGGGAAATGAGTATTGGAAAGATAATATTGATTATCTTCATGTAATTTTACAAACGTAGATTCATATCCTAAATGCAAACATTCATGTGAAACCCATATCTACTGACCTTTGTATTTACGAAGAGCATCTATTCCCTTTTTTGAGTAATGTGCACCTAATAATAAACGTAAAGGATCAGGATCTCTATCATCTCTACTCAATGAATTTATTAAATCTCCTCTATAATTTAAAGTCCCATCTTTTTCATGCAATTATGTTCTAGGTTTTGCAAATTATCCACAAGTTCTTCCAATTACTATTGCATTTAATATTTAACCCATACTCTTTATTATTTACATTTCATACATCATAAAAACTAAATTTCTCCTTCCAATGTTCTTCTGTGCATTCAGTATACATCTCTGCGCAATCTCCTAATTATAAGATGAATTTCTCTCCTTTACTAACTTTTATCATTTCATTCTTGAAATTATTTATCTCATCAAAACTTAAAATTCCTGGAAGTTTCTTTAGTTTTTATACAGTCTCCTAACTAATATTCTAGATTAGATTACTATAAATGCTCATCCTAATATACTGGCTATTGTTAAATTGGATATTTCTTCCAACTATCCACATTCCACTCATTCTCTTAATTCATTAATTAATTTTTAATTTTGGTTCATCATGAGTACTATTTAACCGAAATATGCTACATACCAAATAGATGGCACTGGTATCCATCTCTCTAATACAATATTTAGGTAGAGATATGTATATCTCATTTAATAATGGAGGAACTCTTAAAACTATCCCTAATTACAGCCAACAAAAATATCATAGTGTAACTCCTTAGAGAAGAAACGTAAGAAGCATTAGTCATAATACTAAAATGATACACTATCATAATAATGGAACTGGAAGAGATCTCTATATTTCGTAAAATATCTTATTTTCTATTGTAGCTAAGATTCTGATATTTCTAATACATCATTCTTAAGAGGCTTACGCAATTATTAAAGAACCTATTAAACTCCAAAAAAATTTAGAATTAGAATCAATAAATATATATGATTCTTTTATAATAAAAAATCCATTCTTCTCATATATTCTTATCGTTAAAAATTTTTTTTCTTCCCCATAAGCCTCCCAAAAATTAATTATTAATATTCTAACCTATTCTCTTTGATTTACTGATTTCCTCAAAAAAAATAGACCTATACTGAAATTCTCTTAATTCTTAATATCAATGTCTTCAAAACAACTTCAAATATTTTATCATTCTACTAAATTATTTATCTCATAATTTATTAATTTATATACTTACTAAAATTTATTGCACAGCTTATTCACATTTTAGTGTGATATTGATTTATATTCATATATTTAGATTTAACAAAATCCAAAATTTAATAACAATTTTATATCTTAAAAAGCTTCGAATCCTGAATTTGGAACGAAAACTTCTCATTTTTTAAATAAATAATTATTATAAAATTTATAAACCTAAATAAATACTGATTAAATAGATGATTGAATAAATTATGTTCATGCTTTATATTCATAAATTTCAATATATTATTGAATTTCATATTTACTACAATTTATTCATAAAATATAATATAAATATTGGCTTTTTTTAATATTAAAAAGTTGTCAAAAAGTGAACTTAAAAAACTAGCTTAAGTGAGAACAAACTAAATGTAGTTATGAAAGCTTTTTCAAGAGTGGCTTGTTAGAAAACAATTTCAATTTAATTTAAAAACAAAAATTATTAAAATATCTAATTGAAAGAATAATAAAATTTAAAGAACTTAAAGGAAAATTGATGAAAAGGATATTTAGATGAAGTTTAAAACAATTCATGATTTGGAAATTATAGCAAATTGAATTTAATAAGTTTAGTTTGAAAGTAGAAATTATCTATAATCTGAAAACTCAAACGAAAAATTATTTATGATGATTAAGTGATGTAATTCAATTTTTACTCTTTAAAGTGTTGGAAAGTCTTCTCATGAATTAAGGGTACGAAGAATAGGAAAAAATTGGCAAGATATTCGGTTAGTGATGCAAGTGACATATAAAAAAGGTTAATAAAAAAAGGAAAAATATCGAAGATGTGATATTTTTAATAATGTAGAAAGAGAAAATCAAATTATATATAGGATAATTTATAAATAATAATGGTTATCTTTTTAATATATTAATTATCAATAATAAAATTCAGAAATTTTTTTAATCGTTAAATAATTTAAAATGGACTCACTTTTTGGACTATTTGATTAGTTTCTAAGAATAAATTTGACTTATTACCCCTAAAATTAACAAGCATACATATCAGAAAGTTGGGAATAATTTTTAAGTTTATTATAAAGTTAACCACTTGATTATGGAAAAATTTACACATTAATAAATAGAATGACTTATGAAGATATAACATCTGGAAAAAATGAAAGATAAGGCTCTAGTTAAAGATAAGTAGCTCGTAATATTACTGCAGCATCTTCACCAAGAATAGTTTCATCATCTGTGTCAAAAAACAGTATTTAGATTTTTAATTAAATCAAAGGCACTAATATATTGTCAAAAATTTCATAAATGGATAATGCAGCCAGCCCAAAAATTGCAGTTTCTAATCTTGCAAGTTAGCAGTCATTAATTAATAAAAATTCATTACAATAAAATGTGAAATAGCAAGTATTTTTTATTGTTACATAGTAAATGATAGAAGAATTTAATAGAAATTTGTTATTGAGCAAAATAAAGGAATTATAATTTAACTATTCAGTTTCTACAGATAAACTTTATGCTATCGCAAAAATATTTTAATCTAAAGAGAGTTAGCCAATTTCAAAATCACCGATAAAATACCCATTAAATCAATATGTAAACAAATCAAGAGGAAGTAATCATAGTGCAGAGCATTATAAAATTATTGCTTGATTTGTTATAATTTCTTTTTTAATAAGTTATTAGAAAACTATTTATTCTAAAAAAATCTTTAGAAACTATTTTATAAGATATTAAAATAATTTCAATAAATGAATTTAAAATATTATTTATTAAGTGTAAAGTTTTTATTTAAAATAATGATGTTTAAAAAATATCTTAATGAAAAATACTAAATTCCTTAAATCAAACTATTTTATCATATTGATAGAAATTGAAATTTATCTAAAATTTACCAAAATAATCGAACCTGTTTATTTTTATGAGCAAGATCTAAATTATTAAGTTCGGATTCATTTTCATTTGGTCTTTAGAATCCTAATAGTTTTATTTAAAATATTTTGAGATNTCTGAAAACTCAAACGAAAAATTATTTATGATGATTAAGTGATGTAATTCAATTTTTACTCTTTAAAGTGTTGGAAAGTCTTCTCATGAATTAAGGGTACGAAGAATAGGAAAAAATTGGCAAGATATTCGGTTAGTGATGCAAGTGACATATAAAAAAGGTTAATAAAAAAAGGAAAAATATCGAAGATGTGATATTTTTAATAATGTAGAAAGAGAAAATCAAATTATATATAGGATAATTTATAAATAATAATGGTTATCTTTTTAATATATTAATTATCAATAATAAAATTCAGAAATTTTTTTAATCGTTAAATAATTTAAAATGGACTCACTTTTTGGACTATTTGATTAGTTTCTAAGAATAAATTTGACTTATTACCCCTAAAATTAACAAGCATACATATCAGAAAGTTGGGAATAATTTTTAAGTTTATTATAAAGTTAACCACTTGATTATGGAAAAATTTACACATTAATAAATAGAATGACTTATGAAGATATAACATCTGGAAAAAATGAAAGATAAGGCTCTAGTTAAAGATAAGTAGCTCGTAATATTACTGCAGCATCTTCACCAAGAATAGTTTCATCATCTGTGTCAAAAAACAGTATTTAGATTTTTAATTAAATCAAAGGCACTAATATATTGTCAAAAATTTCATAAATGGATAATGCAGCCAGCCCAAAAATTGCAGTTTCTAATCTTGCAAGTTAGCAGTCATTAATTAATAAAAATTCATTACAATAAAATGTGAAATAGCAAGTATTTTTTATTGTTACATAGTAAATGATAGAAGAATTTAATAGAAATTTGTTATTGAGCAAAATAAAGGAATTATAATTTAACTATTCAGTTTCTACAGATAAACTTTATGCTATCGCAAAAATATTTTAATCTAAAGAGAGTTAGCCAATTTCAAAATCACCGATAAAATACCCATTAAATCAATATGTAAACAAATCAAGAGGAAGTAATCATAGTGCAGAGCATTATAAAATTATTGCTTGATTTGTTATAATTTCTTTTTTAATAAGTTATTAGAAAACTATTTATTCTAAAAAAATCTTTAGAAACTATTTTATAAGATATTAAAATAATTTCAATAAATGAATTTAAAATATTATTTATTAAGTGTAAAGTTTTTATTTAAAATAATGATGTTTAAAAAATATCTTAATGAAAAATACTAAATTCCTTAAATCAAACTATTTTATCATATTGATAGAAATTGAAATTTATCTAAAATTTACCAAAATAATCGAACCTGTTTATTTTTATGAGCAAGATCTAAATTATTAAGTTCGGATTCATTTTCATTTGGTCTTTAGAATCCTAATAGTTTTATTTAAAATATTTTGAGATTTTTAATCTCTGTGTGTAATTACGAAGCTATCTAAGATCCTATTTTAAAATATATTCGAATCTTTTTCGCCAAGTAAAATTAGCTTAAGATGGAAATTTGTAAAATGATAATCTTGAGTGTTCGTCAATTAAAATTAATTATGCTTATTTAATTCATTTTTCAACTTGATTATATATTTAAAATTTAGCTTAATGAAAAGTTCTGAAACATTGTAATAAGTTATGTAGAATATTAACTAATATTAATTTATAATAGATATTATTTTCAATCTATAAGGTACAGACATTAAAATTCTGAGAAAGGGTAAGTATTGTTATGCAACTGAAGGCGATTTTTTATATCTGATTCACAAAAACAAATCAATAATAATTTAAAATGAAGAATTTAGCAGAAGTCTTGAATCTAGAGAAATAATTCCAATCATTCAATCGGCACAAATTCTAAATTCTTGTATAAAAACTTGAATTGACCTATCTTGGTCATAAGTTTCTCTTAAAAATAAAAATTGAGTGAAATTTTATTGATGGAATAATTTTATCAATATTTTGAAAGTGAAATGATTTATTTTTTTCCAAAAATAAAAAAAAAAAATAGATAATAAGTTCTTTGGCATCATGTTGAAAGACCAAAATCAGAGGTCTTAACTATCACAACAATCAAATCTAAATAAAACCATATTGATGAGATTCAATTTCTTCTAATAGAATTCTTAATCCTAAACTAATTTATTTCTAAAGTAGTCTTTTTTAGAATCAAAAAGGAAAATTGAATTTTTCAAAAAATACCTATAATTTTATATATATATTATATGTCTTCTTAATACATTTAAAGGTTATGATTTTTAAAATAAAGAATGTACTCTTTGAAATACGATTGGAAACTACATAAATTATTGTAATGAAAATGGTTTTATTATGATAATTTCTTATTTACAAAAAATATAAATATAGTATTTAATCATTATTTTTCAGGATTATTATTATTTTTCATTAATTTTGGTAATCCTTTACTTCGTTTTTATAATTTACTAATTTAACTATATATTTCTACCTTTTAGAAGCAAACAAGAGATTAATGTTTGCTAGCAACACTTAGTAAGGGACAGTTGGTAATTTATTAGTCTTCTTTTCTGGGTGTTTGAATTGACATCTTTCTCCATAACAACAATAACTTTTATTTTAAATATTATTTATACCCGTCTTAGCTGTAATTTTTACAAGTTTTAGTCTTGTAATTAGAAGGAACATGGGTTTTTTCTCTTACTTCATCCTTTCCATGTGCAAAGGCACACTAATTTTATAAATATATTATACCTATTAACCATAAGGACAATATCCTTCAATTGCCCAATATTTACAAATCTAAACAGAATTTAATAACGAATTTACTTCAGTTTTGACTTTAACCTTGTAGGAAACCTTTTTGTTCTTTTGCTGGCAAGGAATTACTTCATCCAAATATTCGTCTGAAATACTCTCACTAAACCTTTAACAATGTTTCATACCAACTCTTTGTAGAATGATTGCTATCAAATTCATCATATGAAATTAGTTAATTCATTTTAAATAAAGTAATTAATATCTTATTTTAAAATCTTAATAATATTATTAAAGCCAATCCAGACTATATAAATTAAAGATAATGCGTATTTAATAATATTATTAAAAATTAGAAATTGCCGGGATTACAAAATTTAAATTTTCCAGAACCATCACCTTAAAATTAAAAGTTTTTTTATGAACAAAATTCTTCAATTTCTATTGCTCAATCAATCATGCCTTAATCTTTATTGTTTAAATTTTCTTTTTAGATCGTTTAAATATTTTACCTTAATCAATATATAATACCAATTTTAAAATAACTCAATTTCAAATTAAAACATAATAATTCCCGATAAGAATTAGTCCAATAATTACTTGAATTATTTATTTAATCATTTTATTATATTCCTAGCAACTATCCTCTAAATATGTATAAAGACTAAAATTTTCTTGGTTGAAAATTTTCGAGAGATAATGACTAACTAGGTATTTAGGAAAATTAAAGAAANTATAAATATAGTATTTAATCATTATTTTTCAGGATTATTATTATTTTTCATTAATTTTGGTAATCCTTTACTTCGTTTTTATAATTTACTAATTTAACTATATATTTCTACCTTTTAGAAGCAAACAAGAGATTAATGTTTGCTAGCAACACTTAGTAAGGGACAGTTGGTAATTTATTAGTCTTCTTTTCTGGGTGTTTGAATTGACATCTTTCTCCATAACAACAATAACTTTTATTTTAAATATTATTTATACCCGTCTTAGCTGTAATTTTTACAAGTTTTAGTCTTGTAATTAGAAGGAACATGGGTTTTTTCTCTTACTTCATCCTTTCCATGTGCAAAGGCACACTAATTTTATAAATATATTATACCTATTAACCATAAGGACAATATCCTTCAATTGCCCAATATTTACAAATCTAAACAGAATTTAATAACGAATTTACTTCAGTTTTGACTTTAACCTTGTAGGAAACCTTTTTGTTCTTTTGCTGGCAAGGAATTACTTCATCCAAATATTCGTCTGAAATACTCTCACTAAACCTTTAACAATGTTTCATACCAACTCTTTGTAGAATGATTGCTATCAAATTCATCATATGAAATTAGTTAATTCATTTTAAATAAAGTAATTAATATCTTATTTTAAAATCTTAATAATATTATTAAAGCCAATCCAGACTATATAAATTAAAGATAATGCGTATTTAATAATATTATTAAAAATTAGAAATTGCCGGGATTACAAAATTTAAATTTTCCAGAACCATCACCTTAAAATTAAAAGTTTTTTTATGAACAAAATTCTTCAATTTCTATTGCTCAATCAATCATGCCTTAATCTTTATTGTTTAAATTTTCTTTTTAGATCGTTTAAATATTTTACCTTAATCAATATATAATACCAATTTTAAAATAACTCAATTTCAAATTAAAACATAATAATTCCCGATAAGAATTAGTCCAATAATTACTTGAATTATTTATTTAATCATTTTATTATATTCCTAGCAACTATCCTCTAAATATGTATAAAGACTAAAATTTTCTTGGTTGAAAATTTTCGAGAGATAATGACTAACTAGGTATTTAGGAAAATTAAAGAAAATAAAAATACTAAAATACAAGCTAAGAAGAACTTCTTAGAGAAAATCAAGGCCATTAGGTTTCTATTGTCATAATTTCTTTTGCTTGAATTATTTAGTCAACTAATTTTAATTCTACTTTATGATAAAGTATCAAAAATTTCATTTTAGTGGATTATTTATATTTGAAAGATGGAGTAATTATAAATTTAAAATGAATAGACAGAGAGTTAAAATAATGACATTTTAAATAAACCTTAAGATACTTCAATAAAACAATAAATATTTTTTATATTGAATTTAGTCTAGTCTTATCGTATCATTAATTAGATTTATTCATTAAATTTTATTTGATGAATAATCTCACAAGAGTTTGATTTATTATAATTTAAATTATTCTTATTTCTATTTGATGTCAAATAAAAAAATATTTCCCTTTAATTAAAGTTGTTTAAAATAAAATAATCACAGAAAATAATGAAAATAGCTAAAAATCTAATTAGGCAATAAAATGCATGTAAAGCGAGCAGTTGGATTTATCGTCATTTTGATTTCGAAATGTATCTAGGATTAAAAAATAATAAAATATTTTAATAAATACATTATTAAAATAAATTTGATGATATAAAATCAAAGAAATAAAAAATTATGTTGAGCTTTAGTTGTTTTGAAGACAAAGGCTCCCTACTTTTAATTTAGAATCATTTTGAAATGATAAAAATTTGAGAGAAAGTTAATAATTGAACTGAGATTGGGTAATTTAAGTTAGGAAAATGATAATTATAATAAACTCAAACGTCGTACAAATTACTTAAGTGTCGTGAAAAATGATTCAAAATTATGTGAAGCTTGTTGAAAATGAAATATTCTTTTTGTGTTTTTTACATTATTATATATCAGTAAGAAATTAATTCTTCATGTTACTATTATTATTTTCATATATTATCTGTATAAAATTAAAAACTCCCCCTAATTCAGTTTATTTAGATATTCCTTATTATATATTATTTTTCTTTAGATTCATTAAGTTTCTTGATAGGGGAAGCGAATAGATAAATCAGACAATATATATTTTTAATTTTAATTTAGACTCTTATCTTAACATAAATCATGTAATAGTTGTGTTAGAAAATAAAAATAATTATATAATGAAAAATAAATTAAATTTACATCTTTATCATATAAAATCTTAGTTTTGTTCCACAAAATTCGAAACAAATATTGTTTAAAATCATAAACTGATTAATTTTATGGCCCTTATATTATTTAATTAATTGTTATTGAATACGAATGTCAAAAAAGACTGTAGGAACAAAATACGAATATGAACTTTCAAATAGATTAGGACAAGGAGCTTTTGCTGAGGTGTACAAAGGGAAAAATAAAGTTACAGGCGAAGTAGTGGCTATAAAAGTTATAAAAAGATCACTTTTGGCAAAATATGGGTATGTAAATATTTCTATTTGTTTAAAGAGATGACATTCTCAGATAAATTCATTAAGAAGTTAGTATATTACAATAATTAATGCTTTCTATGAGAAAAACCTTGTGTCCATTTATAAATAAAATTTATGAATGCCTTGAAACATCAAATAATATATATATAGTTTTGGAGTTTTGCAATTAAGGAACATTGTTGGATAAAATAAAAAAGTCACGTAAGCTGCCTGAAGATGAGGCCATATTTGTGTTTTTCTAACTAATTCAGGCTTTAGATTTTTTATGTGACAACAATATTGCACATAGAGACATCAAACCTGAGAATGTATTCATTAAAGATGGAGTCTATAAATTAGGAGATTTTGGATTTGCAGGTCAAAAGTCTCTATACAACACTCATTTAGGAACATATCCTTATATGGCTCCAGAATTCTTTAATTCAAGTTAATATGATGGAAATTAAGTGGATATATGGGCTATAGGATTACTATTTCATGAAATTTTATTTGGAGAAATCTATTTCATAGGAAATAGTCAATATGAAGTGTCTCAAAAGATCTTAAATAAAGAATATAAATTGGGAACCCAACATTAATGTTGTAAAGAGATCCGTGATTTATTGCCAAGAATGATAGAGAAAGATAAAACAAAAGTAATAATGATTGAATATCTTTTATAGCGTATTACAGCTAAGCAAATATTGGAATTGCCATTATTTAAAAAATTCAAGTATGATAGTCGATATTTGGAGATTGAGAAGAAAGAGAGAGAATTTTGGTAGTAATTCTTGAAGAATGAGAATAATCAAACTGAAGAAGACATAAAAAAGGCCTAAAAAGAGGAAGAAGAAAAATAGCGATAAGAAGAAGAAAAAAAACAACGACTAGCCTAGGAAAAATTATAAAAAGAAGCAGAACAAAAGAGAGAGAAAATTCGTTAAGAGATATCAAAAATTATTAATATAGTTAATGAAATGAGAAATGGCATAACAATAATAATCAAACTATGCGAATTTCTTTAAACAAACTTTAGCCATATATGCAGATATGATATTTTCTACATCCTTAAGTAAGGCTATCAGTAATAACATTTATTGAAAGAGAAATTGGATGCAGCTCAAATTCTCACAAAAGAAGATCATTAAGATTTTGAATAGATTGGTTAGGAAGCGTGGGATTACTTTTATTAAAACCAAGAGTTTTATTTTTATTTTTATTAGTAGAGTGCAAAGTTTATTAGCTGATATTGAGCATGATCGAGATCAATTAAGAAAGGATTATGTTAATCAATTGAATTATTTGAATAATCTAACAAGCAGCCAATATAATGGCTATTTATAAGAATTTCAATCTGTAAAATTTTAATAGATTTATTAGGTTTCAGATCTAGATATCGCTAATGGAATTCCTGAATAATTATTTTTAGAGCAAATGGCTTCAACGGCCACTTTTTTAAATAGTGAATTGTCAATTTAGCATGAATAAAAATTTTAATAATTACTAAGAAAAGCAATTATTTGGATTCTTGCTGTTGCCTAATTTGAAGATTTGATTTCTGGAAGGAAAGTTAATATCTCAAAATTTTTGAGATGCATAGATAGTGATTAGGTTGATGAAATGAAAAAATGCTTATATTCATAATGATATATATTATTAAATAATAAATGGATTAATACGAAGAAGGTTATGACAAAAAAGAAATTGAAGTTTTAGTATGTGATCCAATTGTAAAGAAAGACGGATTAAAGAATTATGTTGTTTACACACTCAAAGGTTAAGATCAAGATGGCAACTTTGAAGTCGTACGTCGATTCAATGAATTTGATTGTTTTAGGTAAGGACAATTTCTATGTAGAACAACTCTTTAAATACGATGGCCTGGGTGCTATATTCCTCCATTACCAATTAAAAAACCAGTTGTAAGTATTCTAACTCTATCTAAAGGGTAATATGGATTAAAAGTTCATTGATGAGAGAATGCATTACCTTAATCTCTTTATGATTAAAATGGCAACTATCAATCATTTATGGTATTCTGACGAGTGCAAACTTTTCATTAGAGGCAACGGCGACATTGAAAAAGTAAATATGTGTCGATATTCTTATAGCAACTAATTGCTTTCCAAAAACCGACCCATAGGGATATCATCTATAAATATGAAACTGTTTTCAAAGATTTTTCTGGTAAAGAAATCAATGATCAATTACTCACTAAGATTTAGAATTTCTCTTTGTTTTTAAGGAGAATATAACCTTAATTAGAAACCTTTTAGTAATAAGCGAAATTACTTGTTTAATCAAGGTAGATATGTTTGTAATATTTGTAGAGTTCAATGTTAAGACAATATGAATCTTTTATTAGACTACTTAATGCCTGAATATGAAAAGAATTGTTTAACTGAATACGTTGTTAATCCTGAGAACAAACTTGTTTTTGTTTAACATAATGCAGAATTATATCAATAATATGTTTAAATAATTATTATTTTTAGCGAGCAGCTAATGAAAAGAGTTCTATCGATAATTTTGCTTTATCTATAAAAATAGAAACAAGAGATATTGATGCTATTATAGAGGCTATTTAATGCAAGGAAAAATATGAATAAATTAAACAAAATTATTTGAGTAAATTATGTAGTTTGAGCAATGAGAAAAAAGACATCGAAAATGGAAAAACAACATTGAAATCTTTATTCAATTCAAATAAGGAAGAATTCATCTAAAAAACATAGTAATAAATAGATAATGTAATTCTTGACTGAGAATTTTATAGGTTTAGATAGAAATTGAGTAATTGACAAATTTGTGCGATATTATAACTGTGATAATTGGATATTACATATTACCAAAATATAAGGTAGACTTTATGAACTTATTTTTAAGCAAGAAAAAGAAAAGAATTATTATTCATTATTGAAATAGATGGCACAGCATTAAGTCCAGAAAGCTTAAGCAGAAAGAAATTATTGGTTAGATTTAGATAAAAATCAAATGTTTCTGGAAGTTTTAAATTGATATATAAAAATTACAATATTAAAAAATATAATGAATGATACATTCTAATAGACGATTATGAAAGAAATTGAATGATATATGTGCATTTATTGAACTCATAAAGATATCTCTGGGGAATCAGCTTCTTCAAATATTTCATCATCATCTTCCTATTAACTTAGTTCTTTCCGAAGTGTTATTCCATTTTTCTTTTTTGGAGTAACTCCTTCTTTGTGGTAATTGTGAATATGCATGACCAATAACCGATGTGATTAAAAATCTTTATTACAAATTGAGCAATTATAAATTTAATAATTATTAGCATGCTTTTTGAGAACATGAGCTGTTACATAAGTAAGTAGATTCTGAAATTTGCAAAATGGACAATGAGCAAGTTTCTCTCTAGCTTCACCTCTTGAATAGCGAAATCCATCTGTAATCACAATGAATCTATAGACTTGCTACCTCAAAGTTTTGTAATAATACTGATTATGAGCCTCCATTACTTCTTCAAAGGTTTCTGCTTTCATACATTCTGTAGCTCTCCACTAACGAAATTATTCAACTGTCTTTATTATATACTCCTTGCTAAGTATTTAACTCAAATGTTTTTCAGAGATTTCTACTTAATATGGAACAAATTCTTTGAATTCTTCTGTTATTGGATCAACTGCTTTGCTAAATTATTGTAACACATCTTTCGCTTCCTCTTTACCTTACATCTATTACAAGTTCTATAGGGCTTATTGTAAGAGTTTTATTGTATGATTAAGTAAATTCATAAAAATAATATACGCTTTTAATCCATTTTGAATTTGGTTACTTATTTATAATTTTCAAGGTTAAGTTCTGATTATATAGGATTTAGCTTGAGTGTTAGTTTTAGTATTAGTACATAAAAAAATTATAAAGACCTAAGTTTATAAGAGTTAAAAAGATTTTCTGAGCAAAAATAAAGCTAAAACTCGATAAAAGAACGAGAGTTTCTAAGAGTTAATTTTGATATTTTATATTGTAATAGTCAAATCAATCATTATTTCATTTATCCAGTAGTTTGACTCTTATATCATTATCAATTATTTGTTTCAAACATTCGATTGCAAACTATGCATTTCCCTCTTTAATATAATGGTTAAAATTCTAAACTAAATCTATCTTATCTTTTTCGGTTTACACTTATATGACTTTATATTCTTCTTTATTCTAAAATTATCCTAGAAAACTTACTAATTTTTAAAAACCTCCTTAAATACCTATTTGCCCTTGATTTCCTCCTTAAAAACCAGCTGTTCCTGGATTTCCTCCTTGCAAACCTGGATTTACTCCCTGAAAACCTCCTGGATTCCCTCCTTGAATATTTCCTGGATTTGCTTATTTTCCTAATTGACCAAATGCTAGGTTTCCTCCAGGATTTCCTTATTAACCAAATGCTAGGTTTCCTCCAGGATTTCCTTATTAACCAAATGGTTGGTTTCCTCCAGGATTTCCTTATTAACCAAATGGAGGATTTACTCCAAAATTTGCTTATTAACCAAATGCTTGGTTTCCTCCAGGATTTCCTTATTAACCAAATGCTTGAGGATTTACTCCAGGATTTGCTTATTAACCAAATGCTGGAGGATTTACTCCAGGATTTGCTTATTAACCAAATGCTGGAGGATTTACTCCAAAATTTGCTTATTAACCAAATGCTTGGTTTCCTCCAGGATTTCCTTATTAACCAAATGCTTGAGGATTTACTCCAGGATTTGCTTATTAACCAAATGCTGGAGGATTTACTCCAAAATTTGTTTATTAACCAAATGGAGGATTTACTCCAAAATTTGCTTATTAACCAAATGCTTAATTTCCTCCAGGATTTCCTTATTAACCAAATGCTTGAGGATTTACTCCAAAATTTGCTTAACGACCTAATTATTGATTTCCTTCTTGATTTATTCCTGGAAAGATAATTGGTTTCAAATTCTATTATTGATTCATAATATTTTAATTAATCAAATTTTTATATAGTATTTTTAATATGAAAAAACCTAAAAATTAATAAGAATAAAATACAAATGAGAAAACCCAGGACCACTAAAGAACAATAAACTTAACATGTAATTAAGGAAGAAAAGCCTATAAGTGATAAATATTCAGTAAAATACAATTCAAAAACTCAATTGAGATTAGACGAAAAGGACAGCTTTGTATTAGGAGTGGCAGGAACTAAAATATATAGTGTGAAATGGGATGCTGAGGACAAATATATAGCATGTGCTTGTGAGAATGGAACTGTTCGAATTTTTAATGTCAAGAAAAGATAACTGTCTTATTAGATATATTCTCTTGTTAAAAACATTCCTTTCTTGTATGTGAAATGGAGACCTCAAGCATAACAATTTAAGACAAGAAATATCTTTGTAACAGGAAATACAAAAGGAGAAGTACAACATTGGCATATGACAAGTGGAAAGTGTTTGGGAACAATGAAAGAAGACAATACAGATATTTATTGTATAAATTACAATTAAGATGCTACTAAATTAGCAGTGTGTGGATTGAATCCTATAATTAGAATTCATGATGAAGAGTTAAGAGTGGTAGATGTAAGATTAGGGGTAGAACAAACACAACCTCCCGGCCATAACAACAGAGGTATTGAATCATCATAACGTAGTTTATTGTGTAAAATTTCATCCTTAAAATCCTAACATGTTGATATCAGGTGGCTGGGATTATAGAGTATTATTTTGGGATATCAGTCAGAAGAAGCCTTAGGCTAATTAAATTTACGGGCCATTAATTTGTGGGGATGGCATAGACATGAGAGAGACTTTTGATGGATAACAATTACTAACAGCTTCATGGACACAAGAGAAACAGTTATATTTTTCATCTTGATTGTAAACTCATTTGTAATTTTGATTGGAATTCTCAAATAAAGGTTAGCAATTAACCTTGCCAGTTGTATAGTGGATAGTTCTCCAGACAATTTGATAATTAATTAACTTTAGCTGGAGGATCTGAAGAAAATGAAGTTAGAATCTTTGATTCACAAGACTTTGACAATGCTTAAATATGCATCCACGATCTCTGTAGAGAAGTTAATACTGTTGACTGGGCACATCATGATTCTAGGATTGCTTTCTCTGGTGGTGATGGATACTTGAGAATATTTGAAATATAATAAATAAATTGAATTAATGTAGGAACGGTTTATGAGGGCTATTCAAGAGTTGGATACCCTTTTAGCAGAAACTGAAACCGGTAAGATTAAGCTTAGTCTTACTCTTAAAGATCTAGCATAATTGCATCACTTACAATCAAGACTTCAGGAGTGTAAGTTTCTCAATTCAATTTACTCAGAGGAAAGCAGAATTAAGTAGCTCTTTCTTTTTCATTTTAGATAATACCTTAACAGAGCTGTTACAGTTAATCTCTAAATCTAAGAAGAATTGTGTTCTATTATAGAGTCCAAAATGGATTCTATTACAGTAACTCATTTAATAAATAATCAAGTCTAACTTTAAATACTTGGATAAACTAATTCTATATATTTTGAATTAAACTATGAATAGAACAACCATGAAGAGTGTGCTTAAATAAATTAGCAAAATTATTTTAGGAAGCAATAATTTCACCTTACTACGATTTCAAGAAAAATCTATCGAGAGTGTCTCTACTGATGAGTTTATTGAGGTATATAAACCTTCTCAAAATAGTAATAACTCACTCAACAATAGAAATTACAACTCTACTAATAATTTCGTGGTGATCAGCTAGAAATCATCACATTTTAACCTACTGATCAGTTGCAATAGATATTCAAATGCAGTTTTTTATAAGTAATTAGGGTTCCACAAAAAATGAATGCTTAAACCCATTCCTCACTCATTATATATGAGGCATAACAACTTGCCTAATTGCCCCTAACAAAACCTCATCAAATTAAATTGATTTGTGATCAACTTATTACTATAGGTTATGACTATTTAAATGAGAATTTCCAGTAAACATTTCTGCTCATTATCATTTAGTAAAGATGATTTAATCAATTCAGTCAGAGCCATTGGGTAATTTTTAATAAAAAATGCTCCAATCTTATTTTAAGAATGCATTAGAAATGAAATCCAAAAAAAACTCAATACAAAATGGTAAACGGTTAATTTTATTAAAAGTGAAATAATTTAATCAACTAAACACTCAAAAGACACTAGCTATGCGATATTAGAAAACTAAACAAAATGTTTTATTCCAGTTATGTCAAATCAGGTTATTTAATTTTATTTACATATGGAAAATGTCTCTCTAGATATAATCACTTTTGCAGATTTTGTATATATCCATCTAATCTAAATTAGATGTCACAATTATGGTAACACTTTAAGCATTGCTTAAGAGAGTTAAAGGATAAAGAATTCCTATACTAGATCATTGAAGTAAGTACACCAACCAAATTAGTAATTGCATCTGATCTACAGCAAAATATCATCTATTAAAGCGGTTCTGTACCATCTTCATGGAATTTCTTGGATCTAAGCAATTAGTAAATTGATTGTTACTAAAATCTGACAGAAATAAAAATGGAAGAAATCTATAAAATAATGTTACTATCATCTTTAGACGAAGTTTAGAAAAGCAAAAAAGGTGCAATCGATGCTGGATAAATCATATATCATGATAAATATGTTGATATCGCAATATACGTGAAAAAGGATGAAAAAAATGAAATAAACTAATTCTTTATTGTATTTGATCAACCAAAGAAAAGATTTGAATCATAACGTTAGTCAAAAAGTGAAATTAAAGAATCAGAAACTCTGGCAAGTTTAAAATAAGAGAAAATTGAAAAAGCTTGTTTAGTGTTATAAGAGACATTAAATCTAAATCTAAAAACAGAGGAAATTATTGAGATGCTCAAAGAACATGCGTTGATGACGATTATTGAACAAAAAGAATAAATTACTGAAGACATTAGATAAACATATGTTTTAGAATATTATCGAAACTCTGAACAAGTGTAAACATACCGCAGAACAATAAGCGAGCCTGATACTCCTTTTGCAACTAAAACTTTAATTCAAGAACAATAATTGACTAATGCAAAAAGTAATCAAGTATTTAATAAAATATTAGAAATGGAATTATTTTAATTAAGACCTGATGATAATGAAAATTTAGCAAATTGGTGCTTTGATATCACAGTTTAAAAGGATTAAATAAAACATTATACTTGGGCAATGTTCCATTTATTAAATTATTTTGACAAATATTAGATGTTTAAGGAAACGTTTTTTCAATTTTTAGTTGCAATAGAAGAGAGATACAATAGTCGACGTAATCCCTTTCATAATTTTGAGCATGGTTTTACTGTGGCTCATGCATGTTATTATATGATAAAAAATAAACTCTTAGATGAATATTTAGATGAAACAGAATAATTTGCAGCAATATTGTCTTCTTTATGTCATGATATAGATCATACTGGTCGCACGAATGGATTTGAAGTAGCAAGAATGTCGAAATTGGCCGTTCGTTATAATGATGAAAGTGTTTTAGAGAATCATCATGCAACTATGACTTTTAAAATAATGTAAAGGGAGAAATATAATATTTTATCTAATCTTTCTTAAGAATAATTTCAAAAGGTGAGAAGATTCATGGTCTCAAACATCTTAGCAACAGACATGAAGAAACATTTTGATTTAGTTTCTTAATTAGAGATCAAGTATAAAAATGGAGAAATGAATATTATCAATACTGAAACTAAGCGTGTCTTATCTGGACTGATAGTTCACACTTGTGATTTGGCATAGCCTACAAAGAGATTTGAAATCACTAAGAAATGGTCAATAAGAATTTAGAATGAGTTTGACAATCAAGTAGAGGAAGAAAGACTGTTGGGTTTACCAATAACTCAGCATTTGGTTTGCTAAAATTTACCTAAATAAGAATTGTCATTTATTAGAGTATATATAATTTTAATATTAGAATATCATTTAACCATTATATGTATTGACGTCCTCAATTTTGAATAATGGACTAAAGGTTGCTTTGTAGTGTTTAGAAGAGAATGAGAAAGAATGGACTAAACTTTTGAATTGAAAAAAAAAAGATTTATTGATTTAATAATAATTATGTTTTATAGTAACAAAAGAGCTGATGAATCGATGGAGTGTTTTAAAGTATTGAATCAAAATTTCTATTCCAAAGGTCCTTGAGGAGTGCTTCATTACAGAATATTATTGTTCTCATTAATATAATATATTTTATAATCAACATTTAAGTCAAAACAGCAAAAACAAAAACCTTAGTTACGTTGATAGAAAATAATACCAGTTTTCGATAGTCTTAAATCTTATCTTTGTAAATAGGACAAAAAAAGTGGATTATATACTAATATAAAAGAATAAAGATGCTGGCTCTATTATATTTAATTATAGTGATATAGGATATTGTTATAGTTATGCTATTACTCATTTAAATATAGAAGTTTCAAAGAACAGATCCTTACTATTCTGAAGGGTAAGATGTAATAAAAATTAACAATAACAATTTTTTTTCTAATGAGAAAGAAAGGCTGGAATAACAAATCCAATTACTCAGAATAACAGAAGTATAATTATAATTTAATAGATTGAAAATCTGCCTACTAAATTAGAATGCCTGATTGGATCATTTAGACATTCAATTTCAATATCAATTATCTATTAATAGCATGACTTGGCAATAATAAGTGAGTATGTATATGTGACTTTAAATGGTTATTTCTTGTTATTTTGGTAGTATGATGTCTTCTAGAGAAATTTTAGGCCATATTTAGCTTTGTTATTTGACTCTAGGTATTTGAATTCAATATGTTTCTTAAAATTAAATGATCTTTAAAAAATTAGCATTAGATATTGATGAAAATCTTAACTTTTTGAATGGTTTCAAATTGACTGCATATTTCAAAATATTTTCAAGATTCTTAGTTGTATTTTTGTGATAACTATCAAAATCAAATTTTTGTCTCTTAATTGATGATAAAAATAGGAATTATGGATATTATATATTTTCTATAGTTTCATGCCTTTTATATGCTTGAGCCATTAGATTTGGTTCCTGAGCCACTTTCTTTTTTCACTTCTTCCACTAATTGATTTCTTATAGCTCGAGACTCTTATTACGCTTGCTATAATTATTCCTCTAAAGTATTATTTTATTCCATAATCAGTTCCAATTGCTCATTCAATTTATTAATCTCTTCCTTTAAACCTTAAAATTTCTTTATTACATCCAAATACCTTCTGCCCTTAACTATTCTTTTTATGCTTTCTCATTTAATTTCTCTACATTTTAAACACTCTTCACATATTTGTCCTTCCAAATTTCTATTTCTTTTAAATTTTCCTAAATCTTTACTTCCTAAGTTTATTTATCCCTTGCCATATTTTCTCCCAAGGCTTTTATTTTTTCCATTTGAGTTTTAATTTATTCATTTTCAATCAGCAAGCCTATTATTTAGGATTATGAATACTTGCAATCCTATTTTCTAAAGCTTTTACTTCATTCTAATTTCTTAATGCTTGAGATTTCAATTTTTATTGCTCAATTGATGACTTCTTCATCTAATCTTGAATTTATCTTTAAGTATCATTGTACTATTTTTGTTAATTAGATAATTCCACTTTCATTTGATCTTGAACTTACTTAAGTTCCTGAGCACATTCCAACTTAATCTATTAAATTGAGTTATCCTTCTCATAAATAGCCTATTTAACTTACTCCTATAATTAATTGTTTTTTTAATTCTTTTCTTTGATTTCCAAATTTTATTGTTCAATCTTCTCTTGGAGTTTCTTTATTTTGTTTTCTAATTCACTTATTTTAATTTGTTCCCCTTTTAATTTTAGATCATCCATACTTTTTTCTCTCACTCTGGTAGGTACTTGCTTCAGCTATTATTATAATTCTTCTAATTTAGTTTCATTAATTTAATGTATTTCCAATAACTTTTAATTGGCCTTCTCCAAATCTGAAATTTTGGCTTTGTTACTCATTTCATCTTTCCTTATTTTCTATTATAATTGGAAATTCTATTCACCCAGCTAATTATTTTTTTTAAGTAATTTTTCATATTATTAATGAAGGTCTTCACTTTCTCCTGACTTATATTTTGATTATTTTAATGTCGATATTTCCGATTATAAATTCGAAATTGTACTTTTGGCTAAATTCAATTCTTCTAAAAAAGAATTACTTGAATTATTTAGATTCTGATTGCCCTTAAGAGTTTCAATAATTTCTGTTTTTTCTTAAAGTTAGCATTAATATTAATCCTTAAGTTTTCTAATTTCTTTTTAATGGTTTTCATTAATAATTTTAATTTTTTGCTAAAACTTGTCTTCCAAAATTACCTAAGCTTCATATTCTCGACTCTTTTCAGTTGCTATGGTCTTCTATAGATTTCCATTTTCTTCTAAAAGTAACTGTATTTTGTTAGCCAAATCTTAAATCTTAAGTTATTGTTCATTGTTTTAAAGAGTTAACATTTCAATCTCTATTCCTCTTTTATTTGCAAGCACTCCTAATGAAGTATCAGAATTGCACTGCTTTTCTAAGTGAGTCAATTTATCTTTTAAATCCTCTATAAGACGATTTTTATCTTTAAGTTATTCTTCAACTTAATGTAGCTAGTTGTTAGTTTGAATGAATACTTTAATTTTTGAAGTTTGAATTTCATCATTTAATCTTTTTTCACAAATATATCGATCTTTCACTTATTATTCTAACTTTTAAATAGTGTCAAAAAATTCTGTGGATTAATTATTAGTCTTAATTTCCAATAATTAAACAACTTTATCATTTTCTTCCAACAACATTCCAATTTACAGGTCTTTCTTTTCTCCGAGCAATCTCATTTATCTAACGTCATTAAGTGCTTCTTCAAATTATTTACCTATTTATTCTGCTTCTTAAGATGCCTCATTTAATTAGGTTTAGTATCCCTGTATAACATTTTCTTATTATTTCAATTTGATTTCCAACTCATTTATTCTCTTTTCCAACATCTTCCTGGCTGCTGCTTCTTTGGAAACTTCTGAAACTTCTTTAACAATTCTAGAAGGACTTTAATGCAAAGTAATCTGACTCCCAGTATTTTTGATATGTTAACTCATTTACAACTGTAGATTTATTAATAAATTATATATAAGATAATTTAATACTATAAACAAAATTCAATTATTAGGATCATCATCAAAATGATCTTCTCCTTCTGCTTCTTCTTAAAATTTTTTTGGATATTCTTTATAATCAGTCAAACTTCGATAATCTTTATGCAACATTTTCTTTTTTCTTTTCTTCCTTGTATTTTCTAATCTCTTTCAAAACATACACTTATTCTTTTTCATCATCAATCTTCTATTCAGATTCTTCTATACCTCACCAGATTATTATCTTTATTTATCAGAAATGACCTCTTATATTATAAACTCTTCCTATTAATTTTTAAGCTTCACTCTAAAAATTATTTTCCCTTTTCTCTTTTTATACATTATTCAATCAATCGTATTAATTCCTTCAGTTTTATTTTATGACCAACAAAACCGAACTCTTAAGATTGAAATATTTATTTAATAATAATATGGTTTAACACTACTCTTCAAACTTTCTTTTTTTCAATTTAGTGCAATTCAGCATTCTAAAAATATCATCTAACAAATTTTAGTTAACCCTATACAACCTTATTAAACCTTGATTAAAATCTCAATCAATTCTAATTATAAAAAGTAATTGTCTACACATGGATACAAGTTCAAGACTGACTATACAATTTGATTAAATGGAGGTATCAAATCAGCTTATTAATTTTCTCTCTTATGAGTGCAAATTACTTGTGCCCATGATTTATGTACATTCAAAGTTTATTAATTATAAATGGATTAAATATTCTGTTAATTCTTTGATATACTGGTCTCTCTAATTTTTATAAACTCTAATAAACTACTTGATAAGCCTGGTTCATATTACATAACTCAGTAATACAATTTATATATTGTGTTTTTATTATATATCCTAAAATATTCAATGTTTTAATTAGAAATCCTCTTATGATTACTTAATGGGTGTGAGACTCAATATACTCACGTTAAAATGTTTCAGCATAATCTGGCTTTATAAAAATCCGTTAAAATATTTGGAAGTTGTAGCAATTAAAACAGAATAATCTTTCATGTTCTTTACAATACTTTATAATATTTTAGTCTGGTTAATCTTCATCCTAATTTCTTTTCGATGCTCATCTAAACAATTTGATCAGATATGTAATGCATTTGAAATTAGGATACTCTATTAATTTTTGAAGTAGGTGATTAATAATCATTAATTAAATATGTTACTTGATAACATTAAAGTATGTAGCAAATATATTTTTTAAGGTTGGCATTCGTATTCGACCTTTCATCAATAGAGAGTTGGAAATCTCTGATATCACAACTCTCTTAGTTTTGGATTAATAGACCATATCTACTATTCCTCCTATAGAGGCTGGAATCAAATAGAACTAAAAAACATATAAATTTGATTGGGTTTTTGATAGAATGATATCTCAAAAAGAAATATTTGAAACCACACTTGAATATTAAGTTCTCTCAGTACTTGATGGCATTAATTTTACTATTATGAGTTATGGAGCTTCAGGATCTGGTAAATCACATACGTAATATTATTCTTTTATTCTAGACTAGTGAAGTAAGCTGAAGATTATGGATTACTTATTCGTTCCATCAATAAGATCTTTTAAACAATCTAAAATTAGAAAAGATAGATTCTTATCAAATTTTCTTATCTGGAAATCTCTTAAGAGTAACTCTTTGATTTACTAAATAATATGAATACTAATCTAGATATTAGAGATGATTAAGAAAAAGGTGTTGTTATTCATGGAATTAAAGAAATCGAAATTGCTACCACATAGGAGTTAATTTAACTTATTCAAATTGCTAAAAAGTAAAAATCCCTCAAATAACATGAAATACTCATCTTCTCACTTTACATTTAAGATCATCCACAAGCATAACTAGTTGTTTCTAAGTTGATTTTTGCAGATCTAGGTTGGGTTGAAAGGGGAGCTTAAAAGAAAAAAAATATTTCTTTGTAGGTTCTTAATAATTGTATATCTCTTCTATATGAAGCAAAGAAAAAAAATATTCAAACTTTTATTCCATACAGAAATAGTAAATTAACTCGTTTGTTAAAAGAATCATTAGGAGGTAATTCTAAAACTCTCATTATTTCTTGTGTAAGTCCTGCTATACTTGGATATGAAGACACTCTTCAAACACTTGAATATAGTCAAATGGCTACACAGATTACTAATTAGACTTAAATTAAAATATTCTCTTAAAATGAACAATAATAAATGTTAGAGTAAACTAATAATGATTTAATTAATTAAAATGAAGAATTAAAAAAATAATTAAATAAACAAGTTTTAAAATAAAAATAAAATGAAAATATTGAAATCCAACAACTAGAAAATAATATAATTCAACATTTTAATTAAGAATCTTAAACTTATGAAAATATATGTAAAATCTAACTAGAATTAGAATAAATTAAATTTAAAATCAAAGAAAAATAACAACTTTTAGATCAAATTCAATAAACAGAGAGAAAAAAGTATATATAGTTGAGAGATGAAATTTAGACTGATTAAGAACAAGTTGAAATTTAAGAAAATGAAATAAAAAAGCTATAAAAATAAATTAGTGATTTCAATTTTCAAAGAAAAGCATTATAAGATGTAATAACATCTTTATTCATTATAGAATATCAAATAAAATGATTTAGTTGATGTTGATAAACTATATCTCAATAATCTAATTGAAAAATATATACTAAAAATTCAATTATAAGAAATTAAAACAAAGGAAATGATCTATAACCTGCATTCACAAGAACAAGAAAAAATGCTTTCCCTTCAAAATAATTAAATCACATTAAGAGATCGTATCATTGAAGAATAAAGAAAACAAATTGCTTAAAATTAAAAATTAAATTAAACTAAACGTTATACCAAAAGTGATGCAAATAATTAAATAATGACAAGTTCAAAATCAACATTCAAACCAAATCCAATTGTAAGTCTTCCAAAAGTTTCTGGTATTATATTATTTAACATTTTTAGAAAAGTATCAAGAACCTTATTTGTACACATCAAGATAGTTATAAACACCGAAATTATAAACTCCAATAAAGAATTTAAGATCAAATTCTAAATCAAAATCAAAATCAACAGAAAAATTCAAAAATAAAAAACCAAATAAAAATATAATTGATAATTTATCAACACCATCAATTCATAAATATAGTGCATTAGATAGAGCAACTCCTTCGAAATTAATTGATTCAAAATCAATGGTTTCACTTCCACTTATTTAATCGAATAGAAGTGTAACAAAATTTGTTTATGACTGGAAGTGTGGTGGTTATAAATTTATAGAAGATTAAACAATATTAACTTCATCAAGACAAACGTAATAATAAAAATAAATTCCAAATGACTCAGACAAATCTTTTATAATAAATTCTAGTAGAGGTAAATTAAGATCTTTTTAATAATAGGATCTTCTGTCTAAAAGAATTATGTTAAATCAAGTCTTCTATTACCTGGCAAAGTGAATGAGTCACTTTATGTAAAAGGTTTCATTAATAAAGAAATAGAAATGAAGATTAAATTGCATTAATTAAACTTAAAAATGAAGAAAGATTCCAAAAAAAAATGATATATCTTTTTATTTTTTTATTTTTTTAATATATTCATTATCTAAATTAAGAATTTATTCCTATTTGATTAGCTCTTTATGGACTTGTATTATAGAGACCACCTTAAAAAAGAGGAGGCTATGATCTTTAAGGTTATTACTAATATGTTTGAGGAGGTCCATATAAAGTTTATTAAGATTATTAATATTGTGGATTAAATTAAGGAATTTATTATGATTATTAATATGAAGGTTGTTAATTCGTAGAAATAGGTTTTTAGTATCCAAGGATATTTGTATTTATTGGATGTAAATAATCCTAATCATAAGGAGCTTTGCTATAATTTAAATTTAAAATGATTACTGCATACAATTTATCAAAAGGAACAATGACAATAAAAGGAACAATACTCCTATAATTGCTGTTAATAGAAGTGTATTTTATTAAATATGGATTTCATCAGGAATTACTTAATAACCATGAGATATTAAAATTTAGTTTGTGTCTTAATTGAATAACACATAATTTTTTCTAAAATTAGATCAAATATTTGTTATACTTAAAAAATGTATATGGAATAATTAAAATAGGTTATTCTTATTGAGCCAATAACTTATTTTTATCTGATATAGTTTTCATTAAGAGGAAGCATTAGTCATTTTCTCTATGGATGTAATCTTGCTTTGATAATGGATAAGCTATTTTATCTTAAAGATTAAATGAGAAATAAATATCTTTATATTTTTCAAATTATTCATCATTACATGAACATTTATATAAACCATCTTATAAGGAGCAATCCTAAAATAAAGATTTAAATTACAATTTAGAACTTTTTAATTTCTTTCAAAAAATTTTAAATAATTGAATTTTCTGTCCATATAAATCTTGTAGTACTATCAAAAATAGCAGTTCCAGAAGCTTGAAAATAAAATAAATCTATACAAGCAAACTTTCCTTCTACTCCATATGTAATCTTATTAATTTTCAAAGCCCACACTTTCTTTCCTATATTAGAAAAAGCAGTGAATTTTGATTAAGCAAAATAGTCTTACTATTCACCAATAATCAATAAAGATAAATTATCTTCCAATTTTATTGAAAATGTTGATACTGGCACATTATTCAATTATGAATGAAATCTATATTATTTATGAGATAATTAATATACTATTAAAGCAAGCTATTAGTTTACTCTAAAGTTGGTTCAACCTAAACTTCCTAAACCATAGCATTTTTTTTATTTTTGTATTTTTCATAATCTGAGCCATATGCTAAACCTATGACACCATTTTTAGCTTTAAATTCATATTTAGGATCTTCCCTTGAATTTAAATAATCAATTAGTCCTAAACCAATCTATTATGCTTTCAAACCCATTAATTCTAAAGAATCCTTATTTCATGAATTAGTTCATACTTCAGTTGCATATGAGCCTGTAACTATTACTCGACCTCCATATGTATTTTCATTTGTTAAACTTATTTTTTTTTCATTAATTTTTGTTTTCTAATATTAGCAACTTCCTTCACATTTGAATATTTCTGCATCATTTGGGCAATTAATACATTAATTAGACTCAGCTTATTTTGAATAGACCCAAGAGATAAATGAGGTAGTATCTATGGTTTATTAGAATTAAGTTTGCCCTAAAGTTAATGGAATCTCATTTATTAATTAAGAATACTGTTAATGTGTAATCATCTAAATATTTTTTAGAATCATCTTCACTTCCTTTAAGCTTATTACTATCAACTTCTGAAGTACTGAAGTGCCATTTTCTATAATTTTTAGTAGCTTCTTTCTCGAAATTAATTTTAACTTCAAATGCTTATATGCACAGAATTAAAATGCAAGCTAATTATGGATTCATTATAAATAAATTTTATCAATTTATTTCTTTTCTCATTCAAATTTATTAAGAATATATTTCTTTAATTTGAGGGATTAAGAATGCGATTTATTCTAATTATTTCATCAAAAATTATTGAGCTTCTTATATTTCAATTTCAAGTGGTATTCTATTCTATCACTTTCATTTAAAATTTAACCATTCTATATATTATATCATCTTAAAAATTCTACAAAATAAATAACTTATTAACTATTTTATTTATTTGAGAGAAAAAAATTCCCAAAATTTTACTAAACCAACTTTGTTTATAGAAATTGAATACAAGTATAAAATATTGTCTTATTAAATTCAATTAATAATTTATAAAGAAAATAAATAACCAATTCATAAAGATAAATTTTCCTTATTTCACTTTTCTCATAAGTTATTGAATGAAAATTTTTTTCAATATCTCTCTCTAATAATATAATTTTATATTTCAATTTTAGAATTAGGATGAAATTTGTGAAGCAAGCCTTCTTTTTTTGGAATAAAACATTAAATTTGAAATAGTGATTTAATTAAAAAAATATTTGGTCAAAAATAAAATACTTAGTTGTTATTAATTCTTTTTATTAAGTCATTAATATTTTGGAATATTGCAAAAGATTAATCTAACTTAAACTGAATCAACAAATTGTTAATAGAAAAAATTGATAGTATTTTTTTTGTGAAGATTATTTCTTTTATTATTCAAATAAAATAATTATAAAAATGTATTCTAATTAAGTATTATTCAGTTGTTCAAATTTATTTTTACTAAATTTTGCTCTATTTAAGCTATGAATCAATAATTTGTAATTCTTAAATATTAAGAATTATTTTGAATTCAGTTTAGTTATGAATTAAAGATATTTACCTCCTTTAATTAAAGAATTTAATGAAGATTTAAAATTTTTTTTAAGAGTGCTATTTTTTATATTAAATTTTGCACATTACAATTTGATTTTTAGGTTTGAATTTAAGCTATATATGAATGAAATTGTTTTTAATGAAATTTATAATTTAGAGGCAATTATTAATTTAAGAAATTACTGTGAATAATAAAAATAAAACATGGAATAGATTTATAGGTTAATTATTATAAGAAAGAAAAGTTATCATTTCAATTTTTGTTTTAAATTTTATTAGTTATTTAACAATATTTAGAATAATTAAAATGAGTGTTAGATCATTAATGCATTCACAGAATAGTGGAAGAAAACATAAAACTGAACCTGATAAACTTAGTAGGATTTCTTCAACTGATATGAGAGGTATTGAAAATTTAAAAAATTTTTTAAGGTCCATTTAAATATGAACCTTTATAAAATATAGCTCATCCAATATAACCTGAAGATGATTTTTCAATAAAAGATCCAACTCTAAAAACAGTTGATAAATCAAGGATTTCTTAATCTTTTTATAGAATTAATTCTCCATAACTAAGTTTTAGATCTAAAACTTCTCAAAGTGAACCAGAAGAAAGTCCTTTTGTTTTGAGTTTTCCACCAAAATAATTAGAAAATATACGCAAAAGATCTAAAAGCAAATAAATATTTTATTTTGTTGAGAAACTTAGAAAAAGGTTTAGAATAGATAGCATGGCCAAAAAGTTTTAGTATTTATATGATTAGGAAAATAATTTCATAGATGATAGTTGTAACATAAATATCATATGTAGAGGGACCTTGTTACCGACATCTTCAATATTATAGAGTTGGAATGTGACTTTTTTTACTTTATTACATGTGATGCTAATATTTGTTCCTTTATCTACAGCTTTAGAAATCCAAGACATCAATTATCTTTTTTTAGGCCTCAAATTAATAGATATTGGAATTTAATTAAGCAGTTCCTTTACTTAAAATGGTTTATTAATAACTAGTTTCAAATCAATTTCATTGAGATATTACAAATAGTTTTTATGTTATGATGCTGTATTTAATAAATTTATTTAATATAGTTTACAATAATTGGATTTGTATTTTTAAATACATTACCATAATCAATCAAATTTTATGTACTCACAATAATTATAATCAGTTTAATTAGAAGGTATTATGAGATAGAAATATTTTTAAAATTGTAAGTAAATTTTGATTTAACATTTTAGTGAGTATAATCTATTTTCTCCTTACTTATAAATTATAAATAGTCTAATAAAGATTATATTACTCATTCACATTATAACTTGTTATTAATATGGATTATTTTATCATAGTAATTTATTATTTGATTCTTATGTGTCAACTTTTAGCATAGTTATTTCTATTTTTACATTTAATTCAAATTACACACCTAATGATTAGAATGAAATGATATTTTACAGTTGTGTTGCATTTAGTTCAATTATAAGTTTTGCCTATTTGTTGACTTAATGTCTATATCTATTTAAAAATGCAAGATTTTCCTCTTAATTAAGTGAGTTTTTGGCTATTAATAAATTGGATTCAAATTTAAAGTGTAAAATTATTAATCACATTTTAAATCAACCTAAATTTTATCATAATTAGTTTGTATCAAAATTATCAGGTCAATTACTTTAAGAATTTAATAGAATGTAGAGATTTTAATTATTGACTAAATATTTTAAATACTATAATATTCATACAATATAAACATTAATAAACTTTAGTGAAGATATTATATGTTAACCAAATTAGATTATAGTAACAGAATCTGAATGTGATGATTGTTCATTGTACTTTATAGTTGAAGGAAATTTTAAGATTGTAAACAAGATGGGGATCTAATTATAAATTTTGGGAGTAATATAGTAAATATTTTTTTCAGCCAGAATAAACGTTTGGTGAAATCTCATTTTATACTTAATTGCCTAGATCTGCTACAGTAGTTAGTGAAGGAGTATGTAGATTATTAAGAATAAGAAGGGATGTATTTTTGAAACTCTTAACTTTTAGTGATAAAGTATAATAATTGATAAATATTTTGAATAGTAATATTTCTATAGTATGAAAGACCGAATTCTAATCCATAAAGATTTACCTTGTTAATGTTTTTGTTGTTCTTCATATGATCATTTGATAACCAAATGTCCTTTGTTAATTTATCGTCCAGATAAAGAAAAGGTGATAAAGGCTCTAATATATCCTAGAAGAAATTTGAGATAAAAACGTAACAAATTTGTAAATAGATTAGATTAAAGAAGATTAACAAAAGACACTAAGGCTTATGACTTTGCTAAAGATGCAGAAGCCAACTAAGATTATTTATTATAGTTGTATTCAGAACATCATTTTTAATCTTCTAATTAATATAGTCAATCTAATTTACCATATGATGATGTTTATATCAAAGAGAGCTATGCATCAGCATAAAGTTTTAGTAGAGTAAGTAGAGAAAAATCACTATTAAAAAGTACATCTCTATTAAAAGAAAAATCAATACATGATTAATCGATAATGAATGATGCGTAATTATATTAAACTATTTATTTATAGAAGCTATTTAGATACATCTGAGAAATAATATATTCTACATTAAGGGGAAATGGATGATGATAAATTCATTAGTTTAGTAAGAAAAGATTAATAGAAAAATACATTTGCAACTGCTGGTTTTGGAAATGCTGGATAATAATCAATAAAAGATTAAAAATCATTAAATATAATAGTAGAGAATGAAAGTTCAGAGAATTCGCCTTCTTTAGAAAATGCTTTAGAGTTAACAAATTAATTATAAAGAAATAAAGATCCGAAATTAACATTCAATTATAATTTTGACAATTAAATGAGTGATTTATAGAACAAATATCAACAATATTAAAGAAATGCTACAGAATCAAATCATTCTCTGAAACGATAAGATAATAGATAACATTCAGTTAGATAAAATTCTTCAAGATCTCAAACTTATAGTCCAATAGCATCAAATAATATAACAGCAAATTCATATAGATCTTAGATGAAATAAAATGAATATACATAATCAGCATCTGGTCTTCATAGAAGGTTAATTAATGATTAATTATTAAATTTTAGATCTATATCAGGAGTAAATAGATAATACACAGATAGTCCAGAGATTTAAAGTAAAAGGGGAACTAATCGAAAAAAGTCTACAAAGACAGGTACAAAAATATCTGTATTACATTCATAATTTTAACCATTTAGTGGATTTGATGTATTTTTTTAATAATATTGTGTAGAATCCAATTAGTTGTAATTTAGGAGATGATGATTTTGAAAAGCTTTACTAATTTGAAATTTATTTACCTTATAATAATTATGACATTGTAATTTATAAGTAATTAATACAATTAAATAGATTTAATCAATTTAATAAAAATACAAGATTAAAAAAACTATCTAGATATTTTTTATCATTTAAGTTAGCTTAATAGATTTAACGTTTAAAAGCAAAGTAATAATTTATTTATAATTTATTAAAGATAACATAATACATTATAGAATTGAATAATTTATATAATAAAATTCAATCTTACATTTAGTGTCTTAATTTTTATTTCTTTTCAACTTATTTATCATAATCTTCAATAAATTTATCAAAGGCAGTTGGATCTACAACAAATAGTTTTGAAAAGCTAAAGAACCATTCATCAATATTGACCTAAATAAAGATGATATTATATTTAATTTACTCCTCTTTCAGGATTACATAAAGCAACTGATTTAATGAAATCTTTAGCATCTTTTTCAGCTTAATTATCAGTGATGTTATCATCAATATATTTATTGAATTTAACAGCTTTGGCATGATCTATATATTTAGAATTATCATAATCAATATCTTCAAAAATAGCTTAGAGTTTTTATTTTTAAGTTTGCTTTAAAACACAAAAGGCTTTACTTTCAGATGTTAGATTATTAATAAGAGTTCTAATTTCGGTGATTCCATCTCCAGGTCTAAATATAAATAGGTTACAGTTACCTTTATCCAGATTAATTCTTTAAATTTGGATCTGCTTAATTAATTACAAGTAATAAAACGATTTCTTTATTCATCTTTTCAGCTGCAAGATGTAAAGGTCCGGATCCTTATAAATTATAGACTTCAAGTGATGCATCATTTTAAATGAGAAACCTTACGATTTCTAGATGATTATTCATTATAGCCCAAAAGAGAGCAGTATTTCCTTATTGTAGAAAGGAAGAATACCTTCTCTATCTTGGTAATTGATATCAACATTTCCTTATACGATAGCTCTTTTGATCTCTTCCATAGAACCTTTTTATGCAGATGCAAGGAATTATTCATTATGAAAAGTTTCCATTATTTTAAATTATTATGTCTCAGAAAAAAGCAGATTTTGATTTCCTTGTTAAATTGTTAATCATTGGAGATAGTGGAGTAGGCAAAACTTGTTTACTTATGAGATATTGTGAGAATCTATTTACAAACAATCATTTGACCACTATTGGTATTAACATAACACATATTCTAAGGAATTGATTTTAAATTAAAGACTATAGAAGTTGGAGGAAAGAAGGTTAAAATACAAATATGGGACACTGCAGGTTAAGAAAGATTTAGAACCATAACTTAAACTTATTACAAAGGAGCATAAGGAATTATTTTAGTTTATGGAGTTGATGATAGGGTTTCATTCTAAAGGTACAATTTAAAAACAATTCTTAAGCATCGAAAATTGGATGAAGCAAATTAATACTCATGCATAAGAAGGGGTGAGCAAATTACTAGTTGCAAACAAAAGTGATTGTGCTGATAGAGTAGTTTAAACTTAAGAAGGTCAAAGATTAGCAGATCAATATTCCATCCCCTTTTTTGAAACCTCTGCTAAAAATGGTACAAATATTTATGAAATTTTCAATACTATTGCTAAAATGGTTATTGACAAATAATCCAAAGATCCACTTGATCGTCCATCTAACGTATAATTATCATAATAGCCTTAAAATGAATCTATAAAAAAATAAGGAGGATGTTGCTGATATTTTAAAATATATAATTAGAATATTCAATTGTGTTTAACTGGTTAATATTTCTTATCATCTTTCCAAAACATTTCCTCTTGACCTTCTTTTCCATATTTACTCACTGCAAATCCATGTCTTTAATTATAACTAAATTTCCCATTATAATATGAACCATCTTACCATATAAATGTTCCATTACCATGCATTTACCATGAATTCTAATGGTAAATAGCAGGTCCTTTATATCTACCTTCTTTGTAGAATATTTCTCCATTAAAATTATTTTTATCTATAAAATTTCCTATCATTTTCCAATAATTATTAGCATCCTTAGATTCTATTTCACCATACCCTTGAAACTAATTATTCTCAAATGTAGCTTTGCAATAATAAGAGTTTTCAATATAAATAGATCCTTTTCCATTCATCTTACCATTCTTCCATATTCCTTCGTATATTTATTTTGTTGACTTTTTCAATGTACCTTAACCATCTGGTTTACCTTTATCAAAAGTACCATAATAACCTTCATAATAACTTACTTTTTGTTATTCATAAATACAATATAATACTAAACCTTTTCCTTGTAAACAATTATTTTACCAAATTCCTATTTTATAATGATTACCATCTTCAGATATCCATTCACCTTTTCCTTTACGAATTTATTTTTCGGTCTCTCCTCTATAGAAACCATCTATCATTTTCTAAGATGGTTAAGATTTATCAATTTGATTATAAATAGTCTTCAATTCTTAGTCAAAATTTATAAATTATTCAATTAAGGCTCTCATTGGATCATCTAACCATCAAAATTAATATATTTACATTTTGTTTTATTATAATCGAAACTCATTATTTATTTTATTAAAAAAATACAAAATCTTAATGACTAAGTTCTTAATATCAAATATCATGTTTTACTTATTAATTTTATTATCTTTGATTTTAATTTTATTTAGTATTATGTTTTTCTAGAAATAATATTATTATATTTTAATGTAAGCCAAAAGATTAGTACTTGATCCTTTTTGTTATAGACAATTTGGAAAATAAGGAAGTCAATAAATTCTATATGATAGAGAGAAATTCGTAGAAAAAGTTAATGAATTATACAAAAAAGAAGAATTAAAAGATGGGTATAAATTATTACATTATTATAGTTATGCTCCATTTTGTAAACACATATTTATAGAAAATTTTACAGATACACCAAACTATATTTTGAGAATAACAAATGAAAATGAGCATTTAATTAGAACTGCATACAAAGCTAGAAATGAAAGAGAAGTATTTAAATATTGATTAAATTATTTAAGTTACCTGTTTTATCAAGATTTATTTAAGCAGAGTCAATATAATTATAAAAGGCTAAATATTTAGATATTATTCTTTATTCAAAGGAATAAATTACAAAAGAAAATAAATCTTAAGGTGTTGAAGATATTCATGGTGAAATTGATTATGATTTTGGAATAATATCTATAAAACCATAAGATGAAAATCAAGAAATACCAATGCTTCCAATAACATCGATGAGAAATTCTTTAGGAACTAAAGAAGGAGGATCTGGTGTAGAAATAAATAGAGAAGAATATTTAAAATCTGTAGATTTTTGGTCAAAACATGTTTTGGTTGAGTGATATTTATTTAGACATATTCATAACATTTAATCTAAAGCCTTTATAGCTTATTTGCGTTTAAGTGGAGCATTATATGGATTTAAGTCAAGTTCTTATTTACGTTCTTTTTATTTATTCTTTCCTAATTGTTTCTAAAATTAATCTTCATCAAATTGATATTGATATTTTCTTTTTTCCTCTTTTAATTACTTTTCAGTTAATTCCTTCTTTTATTTTTAAACCTTTTCATTCTTAAAAATAACTGGAGCATATAATAAAGTATTTAATGAACAATTATTAGATTATGGTTGTATTAATGAAGATATCGATAATTAACATCTTTATCTTAAATTATTCTGTTCATCTATTTCTTATGAGTTATATTTTTCTTTATACACTGACTCCATAATTTAAGTAAGTAATCTATTTAATGATAAATCACTATTGTTATTATTCTTTTTGAAATGTTACAACATAGAAGTACAAGTTATACTCAATTAATCTAATGCCAATAAAACATGAAAAATATCACCTTCTTATCTACCTTATAATTCATATAATCTTCTTGAATTTGAACCCACTTTTCTAATTACTTATTATATATTATTATTTAAATACTTTTTATGAAAAATTCAACCAGAAGATTAATTCCCTGTTCTTAACAACTACTTACACCTGAATTTAAAAGCATTTATGCAACATAAATTTTCATCTAAATATTATGTTTAAATTAAATACCAATTTACCAAGTGATTATTCTTTTGATCTGCTCTATTTAATCATTTTTTAATAAATATTTATAATGAATCAATAATCATTATCTTAATTACAAATATTCAAACAGATTTCTTAAACTTTTGAAAAACATTCTAAAAAAGGTGATGAAGTGACTAAATTGAAATAATAGGTTGCTCATTAACAAAAATAAATAGAATCTAAAAAATAGAACAAATCTTTTTTCATCAAAATTCAAAATTACCTATGCACTCTCTATATAAATTATTAAGGTACTTTAATTAAATTCAACAAACTGATAATGTTACAAAAAAAGGAGTTTAAGTTGAATCATTCAACATTCAATTATACTTATAAAATTATATTTAAAATTTAAAGCAATCTCCTTTAGTAAAATAATGTGAAGAAATCATTTTTGATTTTCATAAAGATTATGAGAATAAAGCATATTAAGCTTTATAATATAAAGAATTATATGGAAAATAATATGAATAATATAAATCTCAACATATAAGTTGCAATGAGAAGATTATTAAATTATAAATTGATATTAACTTTTTGAAAGATACATCAAATCAGTTTAAATTACTAGATACATTAGTCTTAGATACACAAAATGTAAAGATTTTTATTAAAATCCTTTTAGATTTTTTGCTTTTTGTCATAGTGTTTGTTCTAGATGCTAAATACGAAAAGATTCTATTTATTTTAGAAATAATAAATTAAATCTTTTAATTAAGATATATCATAAAATTAAGGATATTCATTAAAAAAGATGATAGATATAATATATATATATAAATTGTTCAAGATTTAGTTCTTTTTTCGTCTTTTAATGCTTAGATTCTCCAACTTTCAGAGAATTCATTTAATTTTTACATAAATTCTTAATGAAAACCAACATTATCTGAATGTTCTGGAAGTTTAAGTTTTTGCATTTATTTTTATTGCAATTATTGAATTTATTATTTTTAAATTTATTATTTCTAATTTGCTTAAGTTGATGTATTTTTTTTTTAAATATTTGATAAATCTAGTTTTAATTTGACATTAGATTTAGTATCGAGATTGTTGGCATTTTTATATTCAAATCTTCTAACACTTTCAACAATTGATTCATTATCAAATCTATTTAGGAAACAAAAACTAGATTCATCAGAATCATTAATAACAGAATTATCAGCATCATGAACACTACGTTCATATGGTTAATGTTTAAAAACAATAGATTTTTCTGTTTATTCAGCAATACTATCATCATTTAAAACTTCTTCATTATAAATTTTTTCAATATCAACTCCACTTTTTTTAATTGCTAAAACAAGTTTAATTAATTTAGCTTCTTTTTCACTCATTTCTTAAATTTTCTATTACATAACATCTTACATTTCTCTTAATTAAATTGTATCCATACTATCAATATTATTAGTTTATGGATTTTTGGTATTTAATATTTATTTAGGTGATTTAAGTTATTTAACTGTTTCAAGTAAAATATCTCTTTCTTATTCAATTTATTTATAATTATTTAACCATAGATCTTTTTCTCTACGTATTTAATCAATCATTTCATAAAACTTTTCTTCTTATTCACATAAAACTTAAATACTAATAGAGTTGAATAATTCAAGTAAATTATTGATAATTTATTATTAAACATCACTAAAATCATTTAAAGAGATGAATTGTTATTTATATGATTAAATATTTTTTTGTTATTTTTGTAGATGTTCTTTATGAAATTCTAATCTAGAAAACTATTTTTAAGCAATTAAGCAAGTTTGTATTTAAGTGTTAAGATTCCAAAGTTCTTAATTCTTTTTAATAGGTTTTCTATGTCCAGGACTTTAAGAATCACTGGTGAGGTTGCTAGTTAGATTCTATTTGGATCTATATAATAAAGTGTACACATACAGTTGTTAAAGAATATTTGATGACAATAAATGAGTATCTCCAATAATTTTTTTAAGTTTGAGTCCATTTTATGATCCATAAAGTGAATCATCTTCAACTTACATGGTGGCGAATGCAGAAACGCGACTTTTAGAACTGCTGTTAGTACGATTGTTGTTATTTTCCGAGATATTGTTTTTGTTTTGTTTATAACGCTTCTCTTCTATAGATTTGGATGTTGGCACAGTTTATTTAATGGTCAAACGCTATTGTTAAAACTTTGGAGGGATATGGAAGAAGTTATTATGTTCTGGACAAATGTTTGGCTGAGATGTTTATTTCGGAATCACTACCCTTGCCATGGCTTCTTTCACCGTGTTGGGGGCTACTCGTTGCATTTCAGATAATTTAATTTTATATATAATAATCATCATTTCAATCAATTCAATTACATTATTAGTTTATCTATCAAATACTAATTATAATATATTTATAGTTATATAAATTCTCATCCTTATTCTTATCATTTTATTATTTCAAAAATACTTTTTATTATATTTTCTTATTTTTTACATTCTTTTTTTTTATTTTAAATAAGTAGAACTATCTATATTTATTATATACATACTTATCATAATTCAAATCTATTTTATCTATTTACAATTCTAATTAATATCAAAAGAAATTCCCTTTTCACTTTTTTATTTTAAATAATAATTCAATCTTTTATATAATTTTCTAATCATTTTTTTAGATCTTCAACAAAAACTAAACTTATTTCAAATTTTGATATCTCTAATTAACATTTTCTATCCAATTTATAATATTACCTAAAGCATCTATTATTTCTTAATTTAAGTTATATTAATATAGTATATATATTATTATTATTAAAATTATTTAAATTCAAAAATATGAATGCATTTCAAGAAAACAAATTATTTGTTTAACAAATTAAATAAAAACAAGATGAATTTAAAGTATTGATTTATCAGTTAAATAGAAAACAATTTAATTTCCATTTAAGAAAGAACCTCTTCTTTTATAACAGCATAATTTTAATTAAATCACATCACCAAATTAAAGAAGAGAATAGACTCCAAATTAAAGAAAGGGAAAAATAGAAAGTATAACAATATTTTATAAAAATATTTAGATGATAATTCATGTTCACCAACTCTTTTTCGTACTCCTTAAATTAGTTTACATTATGAATAAAATAGAAAATAAAATCAATTAAGTCATAATAGAAGTAGGAATGAGAATGTATCAAATTATAAAGAAAGAAGAGAATAAAATAATGATTCAGCAACTAGAGATTATTCAAAAGTATTAGAAGAAGTAATGAAAAAATATAGATAACTTAAATCTGAATTATTGACAAAAGAAAAGGAAGTTTAAAAAACTAGACTTTATAAGGAAGAATGGTTAAAAGAAAAGGTTTATATATTAGAATATAATTTAATAGAAACGTAATGACTAATTATAAGAAAGAAACAAAATCTTAAAAACGAAAATGTTAAAAATTATTGAATTAGTTTAATAAGATCAATTAATATAGAATGATGATTCGGAGGTAGTATCATTTTATTCAAATATTAGTCAATAGGGTATAATAGCTACTCTCTCAACAGAAAATAAGTATTTACGTCAAATGTTACATTTATATGATGTTACAGATATCTCAAGTTAATTGGAATAACTTGATGGAGAATAAGATTAAGAAGTTGTTTGCATTGATAATATTTTAAATGTTTTTCTTGGAGATTTAAAAACTATTTAAAAAAATAAAAGAGAAAAAAAGGATAATTAATAATTAGGTACATTTAACTATATATTTTGAAGGTTAATTTAATTCATTGTCATTAACAGTTTTGAACAAAGAGTCAAGCTTTGTTGATTTATCAGAAGATAAGCTATTAATGGAATAATCATGATTTAATTAAAAATTATATAATTATAAATTGTGTGCAACATTTTTTAATATATTATTTCTAATTGAGATTTTTTTATAATTGAAATATTTATTTTATCATATTAAATTAATAATGTAAAATAGAAATGAAATGATAAAACAGTTATAGAATATACAAGATCCATATATATTGCAACGTCAAAGAAAGATAACATGATGCAAAAAGGAAATATGAATAATTATTGGCTGATGTTAATTTGATTTATGATGAAGATGGAAAAGAACGTCAATATTCAGTTGATTTTCAGAGATTAATTCATTTCTATAAATTCCTGGCTCGTCGACCTGATAGTGAATAATCAAACTAATCAGTGATAAATAGATTATAATTATGGGTACCTGATACAATAATGCTAAATGATAGAGAAATGCCAAATTATTGGTTATATTCAAATTCAAGAGGTTTTGTATTTAGAACAGATACATTTACATAAAAAAATGTAATAAGCAAATTAGTTAATTATACATCTCCAGATGAACTTGTAGCAGTTGTTAAGAAATAATAGTTTCGTAACATGGAATTAGTAGGTAATAAAATAAAATTAATTTGTTGCAGAGATTTATAATCTTAAATAAATGCAAATTTTTAAATAGAATAGATTTGTGTGTAATTTAGAAGTTTATAAAGAGTAATGGACCAAAGGCATTTATATGTAGAACGATTTGGAGAAAAGATAAGAAACCTTATTGTTATATAATAACAAATAAAGAAGATTTCTTTGCTTAGACAAGAAATACAAAAAGTGAGATGACAAAATATGTTACAAATGCGAGTTAATAAAATTCATGTACAATAGTAAATAATTGTCGTCGTAAATATATAGATGAAACAGTTCCATATGTTAAGAATATTCTTAATTATATATATTCATTTGAATATAACATTTAAAGAGTTTTCAGCAGATTTTATAAAAGATGAGAAGGAATTTGGTGGTTTATAAATGTTAAGGGATTTATTATAGAGAAAAGTCCAGATAAAATAATGTGGAAATGTATAACTCATTATGGGGAAGAGATAAATGAGGAAGGATAAGCAATAATTTAAGAGAAGATTTAAACACCAAAAACAAAAGTCGCAGATATGAGTTAAAAGTAAAAGACTTGTAAATATTGTGAATAATAATATCCAGAACATCATTTATAATATAAGACGACACTAAAAATGATAATTTAAACTGATAAACATTTATATTGGAGAGGTAAGACATTCAATTGGATTGACAGATCAGATATATCTAATCTTGAAGTTAGTAATTTATATCATGAGCATAAAGTATGTAAACAATGTTACACACTATATAAAGAAACTTAATAATTAATTGAATTATAACTTTAATTTAATAAACAATTAGGATTACCAAGTGGTCAAGATACAATGAATTAAATGTTGACACTCAAAGCTAATTAAGTAAACAATGAAACTGTTAAGAATGGAGTAGATGATTCTAAATAAGTATTTAATATTTCTACTACTAAATAATTAATACTTAATAATTAATCTGTTCCTATGATTCATAATACTGTTATAAAAACATTGAATAGATTTAGATTTATGATTTTGATTCATTCCATAAGGGATGTTCCATAAAATGTCGATTTATCTAAACATTATTATATAGAATGTAATATTTTTGATTGGAAATTTAAAATCAAATTAGATTTAATCTAAGGTTAATTATTTGATAAAGGGTATTTCTTAACATTAAATCGTATGAGACCCTACTATTTCTTTAGTGATTAACGTAGAGGATGGATAGAATATGTTAATTATTTAAAGTAAATATTAATATATTTTCTATTCTTTTATTAAATTATGTTGATTACATTATTTAAATTAAATACTATTTAAATACAACTATTTAAGTTCTACCTATGTATTTATATTAAGATAATACAAAAATTGGTGTTTTAGAACTTTAAGATCTACTTTCTGAAAGAGTTATTGGGAGAGAATTCCTTAAAGTATTTAGTGTAAAGGATTGCTATCCAATATTGAGTTGGTCATTAAATGTATCAATGTTCAATACTCTTAGTTAACACTAGGACTTGTTGATTCTGGATCTGTAAATTTTACAAGAATTAAATTATTAGATCATTTTGGTATCTAATTACCTAATTCTGATTATTGTACTTGTGAACCTTTACCTGCTGAATGGATGACTATATTAAATTAAAAAAAAGATGTTGAATTTAATAAATTTGAAAGATAAATTACTACTTAAACATTAAAGAGAGTTTCAACTGCTCATGCTAAATTATAAAAAAGTAAATTTGAAGGATCTTCACTCTAACAAGAAATGATGGAATCTTTCAATGGTTCAACTAAAGAATTATTAGTTAATTGAATATTTAAAAAGAAATTTAATTATATCAAGTAGATGAAGAACTACGTAAAACAAAGAAAAAAAGATAATTTTAATAATATGATTTATGATATAGTATTTTTCGTTAATATCATAATGTTATAATCAAACCTAATTTCTTAAAATCATTTATTTTCTATTTCACATTCCTAGCATTTATTTTATTCTAAGATACAATAATATTCTTCAAATGAACACCAATCAATCCATTTTAATATAACTAAAATAAAGTATCAATACTTTTATCACTTAAAGAATTCTGTGATAAATTCACACTCTAAATATTATCATTTTATGATAAAGCTAAATTCATTATATATATTTAAATTATACCCTTAAACAATAACAATAATTAATCATCAGATAATTTTGATTTCATAATTTTTACACTTTTAACTTTCCAATATTTAATTTCATTCCCAATTATTCCTAAAAGTTCTTTCTCTAAATTATTGAATTCTGCAACATCTATCTTACCCTTTCTTAATTCATCCATATACGATTATAATTTTATAGGAACTTAAGATTTCTTTCTATAAATTGAAGTTCTATTACTTTCCTACTATTTTTAATTACTAATTACAATTGTTGATAAAGATGGTTCACAATTCTCTGTATTCAATTAATTATTTGGAGTAGCACTTCTATAAACTCTCTTTATTTTATTAACAGATTCAGATTCATTTGCAAAGGTACCACTAACATCATTTAATAAATCAGTTTCTTCTATTGATTATTACATTTTAAAAGAACTCAATAAATATGGAGATTATTAAGATTCATTTGTAGCATTTGTAATCTATTCTGAACCATCGATTATTTTACAAAAATCTTCAACTCTTAATGCATTCCAATTAAATTTTACACCAATTTCATAACCTATTAATTAATCTTTCTTTTCAATTATCTATTATTAATGTCTCTTAATTTCTCTTTATTTAATTAAATAAATACTCTTACTATTAAAGTTAAAGTCCATTAATTCTTAAATTATCTGTAAGATTAAGCAATTCCCAATATTTAACTTATTCTGTAAATTACTCAAAAACATTTTATACTAATTTTATCCAAGATTAACATTCCTTTTCTATATGAATAGTATTATTCCACCAATCATTAAATTTATTGATATTATTTTATGTAGCAATCATTATTTAAGACACTAACTAAAATTAGAAAAATTAAACACTTACAATTTTTTCTTTTTAATCAATTTTATCTCTTAATTCTCCAAATTCTTTTTTTAATTTATCAACAGCAATCTTTTGCATTTCTAAAACTTATTTTTATAAATCCTATTCATGTTTACATCTACAAATAGACGATGATTCTTTATGAATTCTCTCAATCATTTCTGTTAATTCTTATGCTTTCATTTCTAAAAGTGTAATAATATCTTCTTCACTATAAATATAATGTCCTTTATGATTTCCAAATAAAGCACAATTTGTACAAATCATAATTTAACATTATAAACAAACAACTTCTAGTTGTCTGCGATGAGTTTAACACATTTTACCTGAATTATAAGAATAATTTAGAGAACCAAAACTATCGTCTTCGTCTCTAAATCGTTTTAAATTCAACTTTTAAGGTTTCTTTACTTAAGTAGCCAATTCATCCAGAAAATTACTATCAATACTTGTTTCATTTGATGGCCATTCTTCAAATGTTTAAGTATTAATTTTAGATTCTAAATTTATTGAACGAAGATTCTTTTATTTTTATAATTAAAGAATTCTTAATAAGCTCTAATTGAGAGGAAAGTCATCCAACTTCAATTAATTTTATTTAATTTGTTATAACTAATTTTAAAAAGAAAAACACTACTTAAGTTAGATCATTTTATAAATGTATAATCTTATCAGGCTCAATGGTGTAATCTACAATTTTTTATACACATTATTAACAAATTGTATCTCCTGTATTAGGAATTAAGCGAGGCCATCTTATACAAATATCTAAATCTTATCCACAAATTGAACATAAGAGTTCCATAACGATTTAATTTTAAATTTTATAGAATATTTTATTTAATAATAATTTTTTTTATTTTATAATACTCTGGTTGATTTTAATGTAAATATTAAGAGTTTATATGTATTTTTATTGTATGATTATGAAATGATGATAATATATTACTATATACTTGCATTAAGACTTTGAGTTAAAATATCTCAATTTGATATATTCGATTTTCAGTGATAAGGAATTTAAATTTTATTTTTCTAATGTAAGACGATCGAGTTAGATACATGTATGATTTTTGTTTGATAAAAGGAATTCTGTATATTCAGAACATAGAAAGGATCTTTCTAAAAACATGGATGTTGTATGTTTTGCAATGGCAGTTGAATTAGATAGATTGGTGCAAGAAAACAATTTACTAAAAGAAGAAGTGAAGGAAATCTCTAATCTCAGAGTGGATCGATTAAATTATGAAAAACAAATAGGAGATCTGATGAATAGACTATAATAACTTATAAGTGAAAATGACATGTTAAAACGGGATAATGATAAATTTAGAGCTCAACTCAATTAGGCTAATTTAAGAGCCTAATAACTTGAGGGACAAGTATAGGACTATTAATAAGAAATACAAATAGTCTCTAGTAGATTAGAAGACATTACTGGAGGAGATGGTGGTATATAAGATAGTATTAATAATAATTTTAGATTTTGACATTGAAGCATTAAAATAGAAAGCAGAACTATTAGATAATTTAGCTAAAGATGGATAATCAATGGAAGATCTATCTGATTTATTAGATTCTCTTAGAGAGAAAGCTGATAAATATGATCACCATTTAGAGTTATTAAATGGAAGAGAATTAGAAGATGTTTTAAATGATCTTGATGAATTGGAGAAACTTAGAAAATTAGTTAAAGAACTTTAAGCAAAATTAGGTGAATTATAAAAAGAATCAGATTTATTAAGAAAAAAATCTAAAGAATTAGATGATATGAAAAAGAAATTGGGAGATGATCCTACGAAAGAAGTGGATAAATTAAAAAAATAATAAAAAGAATAAGATGATTTAAAAAAGAAACTTGCTGATGCTTTAAAAGAGATTGAATAATTAAAAAAATTATTAAATGATAAAAGTGCAGAATGCAATAGATTAACATAATAGGTTGCTTAACTTACATAAGATAATTAAATTAAAGATTAAAGAATATAGGAATTAGAAAGATATGCTTAATAATATTAGGAATTACAAATAAAAGTAAATAAATTAGAATAGGAATTTGATAATATATAAAGATAGTTAAAAGATAAAACATAATAATTAGATGATAAAACAAAATTAATAGATAACTTAAATAGAGAGATATAATAATTAAAAGCTGAAATATAAAGATTAAAAGATTTAATTGCTAATTTAGAGAGAGAGAAGTAACAATTATTATAATAATTATAACAAATATAAAATTAACTTACTTAATTGTAAGATTAATTAAGAAATTCTTAATCACAATTATAATAATTGAATTCAATGGCTAATTAAAATAATGATGAAAAGGAGTAGTATTAATAAGAAATAGATGAATTAAAAAATGAAATTGATTCATTAAGAGAATAAATAGAAGAATTAAATGATGAGATAGCAAGATTGAAAAGAAAAATATCAGAACAGGATGATTAGATAGATTCCTAAACTAAAACTATATCTAATAAAATATCAAGAATTAAGGAATTAGAAGATTTATTGAATTAAAAAGAAAAAGCATTTAAAGAATAAGAATAAAAAATTAAAAAATTACCTGGTTAAAGTGTTATAGTAGGTGGTGGAAAAGGAGGATAAGGAGGATAAGCAGGATTAGGTGGATAAGGTGGTTCTGATGTTATTAATAAAACTTTATATAATTAATAATAAGGAGGAACAGGATAAGCTGGTAGTAATTTAGGATTAAAAAATGGATTAGGAGGTTTCGGAGATAATTCATAAAGCACAGTTATGTTAAGTTAATATTAAGATGTTTTATTGGCTTATTTATTAATTGCAGCTGAGAATGAAAGAATTAGTGAAGCTTTAAAACATACAGTTCATGATTATGAATAAGTTTTAGTAGATTTGAGAAATGCTGAAGGAGAGATATCATATTTAAAGAAATCTATTTCAGATTTATAGACATAAATTAATGATGTATATTATTAATTTTAATTAAGCTACGTTTCTAATTAGATGAAGCTAGAAGAAAGGCCATGAATAATGAAGAATTAGAGAGATTAAAAAGATAATTAACAGAATATGAAAATAAATTAGCATTATTATCAATGGAATTATAGAGATAGAGAACAGTTTCAGGTTCAGGTATTTAAATGGGTTCATAATAAATGATTTCCTAATCATAATAGAATACTTATTAATAATAGAATAATACTTTTGGATATGAAGATAAATAGATCAATTTTGATTAATAATATAGATCACCTAAAGGATCATAAAGAAATTTGAATATCAATAATAATGAAGATGAATCTTGGAGATTAAAGAAAATAATTGAAGATTAATTATGTTTAATTGTTCTTATGTCAGCTGAACTTGAAACCTTAAGATCTTATTCAGATTCATTAAGATTGAGTTCATCAGGTATTCAAAATTAAAGATCAACAATCTAAACTAGTTAAGTTTAGGTAGGATATGGTAAAAGTACAATATATTGAATAATCAGATATTAAAACATCAATAAGTTATAAGTTTTTAAGTTGTATTTATATTTCATTATATATTATTGTACATCATTTCTTCGATGACGTATAGAGGCTCTGTGAAGGTTGTCTTTAATAAAAGGGATATAATCTATCTGCGCTTGATAAACTATTAAATTAATTATTCAATTCTTCCTGTCTTTTATTCAAATCTAAAAATGATTATTTTAAAGATTATTATGATTTCTCTTCCTTCATAAATTAATAATCAGGTAGAGTCTTTGTTGAAACATGTTCTGTCTTTAATTTCTCATAATTATATGGTGAAGCCTTCTCTGATAATTATTTTGGTTATTTTAAAATCTCCAAATGAGATAAATACATATGTTAAGGTGCTTATTTCTTATAATCTAATTATATCTATTAAACTTATTATTATTGTTTCTATTAATTTGTTTAATAGCGATCATAAAACGACTATTTTTGCTATTAAATCTGAGGTTTTTCAACATAGTCATTTAAATCCTACTCGTATAAAACTAATAGTTTGATAATATTTTACTTTTTTACTTTACCTCCTTATATTCTAAATTCTATTAAATATAGTTTCGTATAGACTTAAGTTCTATAGAAGCATCCTCTTAACAAGCTTTTCTTAATTTATCTAAAGCTTCTGACAAATTCAAGATTTCCTTACAAATTAAAGAAAACTTCTAAAATTGAGCGGCTTCCATCTTTTATAACTATCCTTAAATATCACTTATATCTAATTCTTTGACTAACGAGTCTATTGTTGATGAATTATAGTATTTTTTTGATATGTTTGTTATGTGTTCAATAGTCCTATTGAATGGATTGTAATTCTTTTTGACTTTGTCTTTCAATTCTGCACATCTCTTCTTCAGTATTTACATAATATCAGTTTAAGCTATTTATACTAATTAATCAAGGGTATTGTTGATTCCTTCGGCATTATACACATCTTAGATTCTTTAGACTAATGAGTCACTAAAATTAAGAACACATTATCACTTTGTAATCATGGTTTCGAATTCGTTAATTTAAAGAACTTTTAAATTGTGTTGCTTGTGATCCCAAGCACAGGACTTGCATATTAATCTCCTATCTGTACATTCCTTTGAAGTACATACGAATTCTATGGGGTTTCTGTATTTGCAAACGCATAATCGATGATTCATTAATATATGAAAAAGAAATAAGTCAAATCAAAATCTCCAACGCCTGTTAAATAACATTCAGCTATAGACACACCCAGATTCAAAGAAAAAGCCTCTTAATAATCTCAAATACCTATATCTCCTAAAGTTTAAATAGACTCAGAGTACTTCTCTTTTGGTGGAATGGAGCCGATTAAGAAGTAATCTAAATCTGTTCATGAATTCAACGACAAAGAAAAAAAACTCAATAATAGTTTCACAAATGATAAACAAGCTTCAGAATCTAAACCTTAGAAAGTTCAGATCTTTAATAATAACTACTAAATTATTAACATCAATCAAATAGAGAAGAAAGAATCAATCCGTTCCCTCCAAAGATAATTTCAATAAATATTAGAGAATCAACCACCAAAAAAATCGACTACACCTATTAAATCCAATTAATCTAACAGTCCTATTCAAATTAGTACTACTAAAGCTTCTGCTTATCCTTCAGCCAACAATTACTTTTAAAGAATCAAAAAACAAGGTTAATCCACTTTGTTAAGGAAAAAGTTTTGATTAATAAATATATATGAATTAAACAAGCCTCTCTCCAAAAGTGCAAAACATTAAATTTGATCAATATTCTTTAAATTTGAAAAGTGTCTCTCGATGTAAAACTGAAATAGGAATAGTTCATTAAAAACCAATGATCAACTTAAAATAAATTCTTAAGGATCACAAATCATTTAGTAACCATACTTAAATTGATACAATTCGAACTTATATTAAGGCTACAGATTCATAAAAAAGATTTCTAATCTAAAAAAGAGGATCTCGAGTTGTTACATCAAAACCAAGATATTCTGAAGAATTAGAGAAAATAAAATAAAAATTTATTAAAGTAGCAGAAAGTTGGCATCAAAAAGAAGAAAATTATATAAAAGAATAAACTCTTTTGAAATAAGAAATTGCAAGATTGCATGTGATTATTTAGCATCTTACAAAAAAATGAATATCTTCCTATCTATTTATTAATTTACTAACCTTTAATTTCAATTTTATAATCCATATATTATTATTTTACATTTTAATGGTTGAATAGAGGAGTTAAATAATAGAAATGCATGTTTTTTATACAACACTATATAATTATAATTATTATGCATCAAAATTATATTATAATTTCAATTATTTAATGTATGTAATCTTTATTTAGCTACAAACTAAAGAGATGAAAGTTTATATCGATCAACAATAACTTTTCTTCCAGATTTATTTACATCAAATATTGGTTCATCACCTTCAACACTTAAAACTCTTTTTTTTAATAAGATATCATTAAGAGTTTTGCATTATGTAGTATTACTTTTTTGCTAAAAATAATTATTTTTTCAATACTTTAATTTACCATAATAAACCAGCAATATATTTTTTTTGATCTTCTACTTATTCTCCTAAAATATTTATAGTTTTAGTTTATTTTTCTTTATCAATTGTTGTAGTTAAATCATGTCTTATCAATTTCTTTTTTAATTCTTTCATTTCTTGACTGATTTCTTCATTTTTTTCAGATAATTTTTTATATTGTTCTTCCCAAATATTTAATTATTAAATACTTATTATTTTATAATATTTTAGAAATGTTTCTCTGATTATTACAACTAATTTAATAAATCTTAATTATTTGGTAATTTTGGTTTAAACAATTAATCGCATGAACATTCATCTGAGACAGCAAAACTAGCAAATTCTTTCTCATAAAACTTAAACTCGGTAAAAAATGTTAATAATTTAGTCAGTTTAAGATGAAGTCTTAAATTCTTCATTTTTAAATCATCAATTTATTTTTGCAACTAGGCTATAAATCTCTATTCATCAATATCTTAATAAGCTTATTATTAAGGCATTTATTAATGCTCTTTTAATTGACATTAAAGTTGATTAATAGTAGCAGCATAGCCACGAATAATAATTTCTTATTCTATTATTATTTTATCTTTTTCATCATTTTTTTTTTCTAATATTGCAATTTTAACATTAGAATTAATTAAATTTTGATGATCCTATTGAATTTATTCTTTAAGTGTTTCTTATTTTATTTACATTTATTTCTCGATTTAATCTAAAAATTCTGCTTTTTATCTTATGAATTTATGCTCTAATTCAATTTTTATGGATTTTCTCAATCTATTAGTCTCCATAAATTTTATTTATAATTTAATATTTTTTAAAATAGAAAGGTTTAAAAAATTCTTATTTGAATTATTCGATTGATATTAAAATTACTTTATTTTTTTTAGACTAAGATTTAGAATTATGAATTTGAATAGAATTAGAATAAATAAAATAAATATTTAAATATTATGTCTAAAATTGATTGGGAATAAAAGCTTAAATAATATCATGCTTTAAAAGATAGAAAATCAATAACAAACATGCTTTAGATAAAAACTAAAAATATAAGATTATCGCCATCATTAGGATCAACAAGAGTTGGAACAGAAATAAATTCTTTTAGACATAGGAGATTAAAGACTCCAATAGATGATGGAATATAATAAATAAAGACTAGTAGATCTTAATAAGTATGTAAAGATAATTGAGGAGGTATCTCCATTAAAAGATGTATGTCCTTGGAATACATAGACACCATTATAAAGATTGATGAAAATAAATAAAGCAACAGAAAAAGAGAAAAGGGTTTTGTAACATTTCATATGCAACAAATGGTTAAAAGAAGTCATATTAAAGAAAAGCATACATGTAGCTATACCGAAAGAATCAGAAGAAGAAAAGAGAATTAGAATATAAGAATTTGAGACATCAGAGCATCATAGATAATTAAGAATATAGTAATCTTTGACTCCAAATATGAGTAAAATGGAGAAGGTTTTTTGCAAAATAAAAATCTTTTGTAAATTAGCAAGTTAAAGAGGAATAAATTTAACGGATTAAATTAGAATAAATAATGATTATCGTAGATTAGTATTTTTTGTGCATTTTCGAAATGAAGATTACAAGATTTGTGATTAAATGATCAATTCAGATAGTCATATAAAAAATGCAATTGATATGGTATTATTTAATTAAATTTAAGTAAGGTGATAGACCTTTACATATAGCAGTTAGAAGAAATAATTTGAGATAATTAATGTATATATTGAATAAGTAACCTGATTTAGAAGCAGTAAATTTTTATGAATAGACTGCATTAAATTTAGCCATATTATTAAAACATTATGAAATGTAAAAGGTATTTTTTTATATAAAAATTGATTCTTTTAGTTAATGGATGTAGTCCTTGGAAGATATTCAAACCAAATAAATTAGTGAAAACAACTATTTTATATAGAATGAGAATGATATGTGAACATACTTAATTATTTGATGAATTAGCCTATTGTTTGAGTATAATTAATTGATATTTATATTATTTTAATGGATAGGTTTGAGAAGCGTCTTAATCAAGTTAATATGGGTACTCCAAAAAATCCAGTTAATTAATAATCTACTCTTAAGTAAACTGAGGGTGCAAAGAGTTATGCTTCTTTTAATGATTTTAATAAGTTTGGAGAATAATTAGATAATGAAGCTATAAATTTGAGATCATAAGTTTAAATTTTAGAAGGCAAACTATAATTTTATGAAAGAGAATTTTAAATCAAAGTAAAAATAATATTGATACAAATTTAAGTAAGCATCTCTAGAAAAAAGAATATAATAATTGATATCTACATCGTCCCAACTAACTTAATAAAATACTTAATTAAAATTATAATAATCAGCCTTATTGAATGAATATCAAATTCTTCAAGACAAATTAATATCATAAGAGTAAGGATAAAAAGAGTATGAAGAGAAAGTTAGATCTTAAATTGATGATTTTAATAAATTTCATATTGAAAAAGAATAATTGATATAATATGCAAACAAATGTAGAGAGAGATCAAAATAAAGAAAAATTAAAGTTAAAGATTTGACAGCTAAAGTATAAGAATTATAAGAATAAGTTAAATAATATGAATTATAATGTGATTAAGCCAATATTGAAAAATAATCAATTTATGATTAACTTCACTAATAAATTGTATAATTGTCTGAATAAAATGAAGAATGGTAAATGAAATATGAAACTATAGTGGAAAATTTTAAGAATCATTTGGCAAATTAAACTGATGACAATTAAGATGAATAATTGTTAACTACTCATACTATTTTAGATTAAAGAGAAGCTTAAACTGTTTAGTAACAATTAGAGAATCTAAGTTTATTAAATAAGGAATTAAACTAATTATTAAATCAATTAAAGAATCCTAATCAGATTAACCCTTAAATATTTGAAATGCCTTAAATATAAGAAATAGCAGATATTTTTGTTAGAATGATAGAAAAGTTGATGGAATTATAATAAAAAAAGAGTTAATTAAAAGAGTAATTAAAAGTATATTATATTCTAAAATAAAATTTATAGTAAAATCAATTTAATTTGTAGTAGTAGGCTTCAATAAAATCTAGTTCTGGGAATTAAAGTCCAAATATTAATGATGAGAGAACTAAAATGCTCTTTGAATAAAGAATACTTGAATTAGAGCAGTATGAATGATTTAATGCTAGATTCTATTAGAGGGATAAGACATAAGAAAAAGTTAGATCCATCACTTAACCAAAATACAATGATCGAAAATAAAAATAAGTAATTTCACTCATAAATTAAATGTTGGAAGAATTTCTTAGATAACAAAAACATCTATCACTTTTGAATCTTCGTTTAAATGAAATGTAATATGATCCAAACTTAAAACTGAATAAAAGATTATTTAAAATTGTTGCTTGGGTAATAATAGGTATAACTCGTATTAAGAAAATAAAGAATTCTTCTTATTATTAATAAGTTGTATAATATAAGAAATTGAATATAGAGATGCCAATATTGGATTCGTTCAATTAAATATTAGAGCTCATTAATAGTCAATAATCTTTAATTGACACATTGTAGAGAGCAATTTAATAAAAAGGATCTGATGGAGGATTTTAAGAGTAAGAAATATAGTAGATGGTGGATTAAGAATTAAGATAATAATTGATGGCTTTATAGATTGAACTTGATAATAATAATAAAAAGATGTTGGAGTATAAAATAAAATCAGAATAAGATATAGAAGAAAGGGATCAAATTATTCATGATTTGTAATAATAACTTTCAGAAGTTCCAAATGATTACAATTAAGAATTATTGGAACATTTAGAAGAACAAACCAATAGAGTTAAAAATATTGAAGATGAATTCAATTTATTGTAAGATCTTGTAAATTCGTTAATGTGATTTATTTTAAAACCAATTTCATTTATTGTTTATTTTTGATTTTACCATAATAGAAGGTAAATTTAATTAAAGAAAAAAGAGAATATTATTATATTATGGATTATTTTATAAGATATAAAAAATACAAATATTATGAAAAATAAGATTCAATTTTCTAATCTATCCTAATCATTTAAATTAGATTCTTATGGTTATTGTTGATCTTAATTTTCGACTCTACGTTTTTTGTTGTATTGGTTAATGTAACAATTTTAGCATAATCCACCTAATTATGATTCTTTAAATCTTACAAGCATACAATTTTTTATGAGAACAAAGCCATGGTTGTTTGTTTCTACCTACACGATGATAACAATTATTGCACATTCCTTTTGCATAATGTTCCTTATCTGGATGACCACAAGTATTTATTTTTTTACTTCTAATTTAGAATATTTAAACGGTTTACATCTTCTTGTTGGTTGTTTTGGGAATCTCTTTTTCATTTTGCAATCCATCAAATTATGTAACTCTTGCACTTGTATCAACCAAGTGACGTTATAATATTTCCTATTACGTCATTTAATATATAGGAGGAATAATTGATTCGTTTTCCTCAACTTTGATTGAAGGATTCATGAGATTAAGTTTAGTCTGATTAAGATCACCACTAAGGTTGAAACGCATAACTTAAAAAGTTGATTAAGGATAAATTCTTACATTGAAGACTTTAGAGTAATGGGTGAAAGAAATTCATTTTTATATTTTATTAATTAATAATATATTTTAAAATTTAACGATCATGAATACATCTTTTCCAAAAATGTCAACTTCTTCGTTAAGTCAAATTCCCTCTTAAACAAATTTCTATGAATCAAGTCCATTGTCATCATATTCAATAAAATAGTAAAGTTCAAATGAGAATTTTAAAGTGGTTGTAAGGGTTCGACCTCCTCTTTAAAGAGAAGTAATAGATGGAAGATTTATATCTACGATTTAAGTTTCACCAGATCATAAAAAAATTTGTTTATACGAATATTACAATATTGATTTGGTGGAACCTGAGCATTTAGAGGATTATCTAAATAATCCAAATAGTTATACAATGCACACTTTTTCATTTGATTATGTTTATGATTAAGATAATACATAAGAAGAAGTTTATGAAAATACAGCAAGAAATGCAGTATAATCAACACTATAAGGTTTTAATGCAACAATAATGGCTTATGGATAGACAGGAACTGGTAAGACTTATACAATGGAAGGATTTAAATATAATTGTATTGATCCATAAAGAGGAATAATTCCAAGAGCAATAGAGGAAATATTTAAACATATATCAAATGGATCAAATGAATCAACTACTTTTATGGTTAGAGTTAGTTATTTATAAATTTATAATGAAGTTATAAGTGATTTATTGAGGAGCGATAGATAAAATTTGCTTATAAGAGAAGATAAAAAAAGAGGAGTATTTGTAGAAGGATTATCAGAATGGGCTGTTCGTAATCCTAATGAAATATACTCATTAATTTAAAAGGGAGCATCATCAAGAGCAACAGCTAGTACTAAAATGAATGATGTTAGTAGTAGATCACATGCTGTGTTTATAATTATTGTAGAATAAATGACAGAAATAGATGGTCATAAATCAATTAAAGTAGGAAAATTAAATTTAGTAGATTTAGCAGGTAGTGAAAGAGTAAGAGTAACAGGAGCTACAGGAAGAAGATTAGAAGAATCTAAAAAAATTAATTAATCTTTAAGTTGTTTAGGTAATGTTATTTCTGCATTAATTGAATAAAAAACACATATTCCTTATAGAGATTCTAAAATTACTCGTTTATTAGAAGATTCATTAGGTGGTAATTGTAAAACTACTATGATGGGAATGATTTCACCAGCTATTGATGCATTTCTTGAAACTTTAAGTTCAGTTAAATTTGCTAATAGAGCTAAAAATATTAAAAATAAAGCTACTATTAATGAAGATGTTGATTAAAAAGCACTTTTAAGAAAATATGAATGTGAATTATAAAGATTAAGAAAAGAACTTTTAGAAAAAAATAAAACTCTTGTTGATTCAACTAAATTAAGTTAATTAGAAGAAGATAAAAAAAAGGCTGAATAAGATAAAAATGCTGCTATGGCTGCACTTGAAGCTAGAAGCAAATAATTTTTTATTGAAAGAGAAGAAAAAAAAAAATTAGAAGAAAAAATTAGATAAATTAATAGCCAAATGTTAATTGGTGGTTGTAATATAGAAAATAGTCCTATTTTTAGAAATGCTATTGAAGAATAATAAAAACTTATTAGAGCATAATATGAGAAAAAAATTAGTGATTTAGAAAAAGAAAGATCTTAGATGGAAGAAGATAAAGTTTAAGTTGATAGATATAAATAATTAACTTTAAAATAAAGAGATATCATGATTGCTTTAACTACTAGATTAAATGAAAGAGATGAAACTATTGTACAATTATAAGATGAATTAGATGCATATGATAGAATTCATAGAGAAACTGAAACCATGTTAGATTAGAAGATATAAAGAATTATGTAATTAGAGGATCATATAAATTAAATGGGTTAAAATGTTCCAAACATTTAGTAGGTGTAAAAAATGAAATAGAGTAAAATTAAAGATTGTGTAACTTAGGATGGGTATGATACATACAATATTACAAAAGAGAATTTACAAGATTATGAATGCTAGATTGAATAGTTAAGTTTAATAAATCAAGAATAAGAAGAAGAAATTATTAGATTAAAGAATTAGATTGAGAGTTTAAGTAATTCAAACACGATGGATTATGTAAGATGTAATTTATAATATATGATAATAAGGTTCTGTTGATAACATTATAGAGGCATTGTCTTAGCCAAATGATGGATTTAAATTGCAGAATGTTGCTAAAGATTTGATTACCCTTTAGAAAATACTTTCAAATGATCAACAAACTAATGGGATAGCGTTTTCAAATATATAGAATACAGTATATTCAAGGAAAGAGTCACCATAACCAAGTTATAAATCTAAGAAATCAATAAATAATTGTTAAAATTAAGATGAAGGTGATGAACCTCCATAGTTAAAAAATTTCTATACATTTTCCAAGTACATAATTAATAAAAATTAGTAAATCATAATCATCATCGATGAAGAAACAAAAAGATCTATCTTTACCGAAACCTCAGATAAATGTTTAAGAAATCATAAAAATGAGAGAAGTAAAGAGAAACCTCTATTCTTGATTAATTTTATATTTAATATTGGAATGAGTAATGAAGAGTATATAATCGATAACTTAATTACAGAAGCACGATTCTTTATTGATCATAGAGATGATAATGAGACCTTCCTTAGTCAAAGTTAAGATTGTATAGATAAAATAAATCAGATTCTAAAAAAAAATATCAGGTATGAATGTAAATAATAGTCAGGTCTTCATTTCTTGATATATCCTAGGAAGTGATAATAAAATATTGTGAAGCTTGTTTGGTTGTACCTGATAAGGCTCATATAGCATAATAATACATAGATTTGTATTTTTAAAGAAACACCTCTTAAGGGCAGTTTTACATTCGTGCATTATTTATAAAAGCTCGTTTAATATCGATGAATGGACATGATCGTCTTTTAAAAGCAGAGGATATGATAAAGAATCTAAAATTGTCTCTCACATATGTATAATAAGGATTAGATATCATATCTAAACCTGAGAATAAATAAAAATATGGTTTTCTAATTTATAATGCTTCAATTTGTGTATATAACATAATACGTCCAATGTTAAAACCTTAATGGTAATTATCGTTTGTAGATATTTTGGATAAGATAGATAAAATGTTTGAGGAAGTGGATGAGGCTGATTATGATTGGAGATGTCGTTTTACTTGGCTTCTTTTTTATTGTTTATATGATGATAGAAAAGCAGATGCTTTTAAATTGTTAGATAAGTTATGGGAAACAACAAAAAAAAAAGGAGATTGTGATTTTTAAAATTCATTATTAAGATTGAGAATTCATATTGGTAAAGAATATAAATAAGCATTGGATTCTGCATTTAAAGAATCTGAATCTGCTCCTTCTGAAAAAGCTTGGAAATCTTTGTTTATGTTATAGAAGATGAGAAGTGGTTTAATTCCTGAAGCTTAAGTGGAAAAAGAGTTGATAAATTTGATTAATTCAATTTCAAGTGCTGTATTGCCAGGAAATGAAGTAGCAGCAACTAATAAATTAGCACCTGTATTTTAAGAAAGATTGGCAGAATCAGGGAGAGTTGCATTACAATATAATTTAGTTAATATTGCAGATTCTATTACAGCATTTTTAAGTAGAGTAAGATAACTTCATTAAAAGGCATATATTTTACATGAATATAATAAGGCTGAATTATTTATTAAAAAAGCAGGTCCACTTATTGATAATAAAACTGGAATGAGATTAAATTCACTTTAAATTAAGATGTAAGAAGTTGAAAGAAGGATTGAAGCATTAAAAACAATGGAAAAAGTAATGGTTACCAATAAAAAATTAAATGATCCTGATCTAATATTTGAAGGAGCTGTTTTAATATGGAATATTTCATTACCATTTTTAAATGCTTAATATCGAATTCATGTTTATAAAGCTTTTTCTATGGCTTGTTAATTATTAGAACAATTGCAATGTGTAGATCATGCTTTAAGAGTTAATTTTCATATTGAATTAGCTAAAAGTGATTTATAAGAAGATTTAGCAGTTAAAGCAGAGTAACACATTAAAAAGGCTCTATAATTAGATTACAGTGTTCCTTTAGGGAAAGTTTAATTTAAATTTGATGAAGGTGAAGATTTAGGTTTGTATTAAAGACCTTATGATAAATATTTACGTAATTTAGAAGAAAAAATTAGATTGAAATTAAATATTTATTAGGAACCAAAAAATGATATTGAAAGAGTTATCACTTAATTAGAGAATGTTTAAGCAGCAAAATCTGAAAATTTAAGGATTGACATTTTATAAAAGTGTTTAGGAACTATAGTTAATTTATAAGAATAAGAATATTGGTATGATACAAAATTAGATCTTGTAGAAGAGGAATAAAATAGAGAAAAAGTGTTAAAAAAATAGGAAAATTTATATTAATTTAAATAGAAGAAATTATTAGCATCTGAAATTGCAAGATTAGCATTTGAATGGGAATTCAATGATTTAGCATTTAAAGCTTGTGAATTTGTATGTAATGATACATGGGATGTTAAGAATGCTTCAGAAATGATTTTAGCATAAGTTGAATGTCAATATAGAATGGCATAAATGATTATTGATAATTTGATTAAAGATAATTTTGAAATTCCTTTTGCAGATCCAATAAGAGTAGAAGAAAATGAAAATGTTGAAGAATTAAGCTAAGAAAAGAAAGATTAAGTATTATCTTTAAAAAGAAAAATGTGTTCTAATTTTGTAAAAGGATTGAAGTTAGCAGATTCAATTAAATAAACTTGGTTAGTATTTAATGGAGCTATTTATATTTGGAATAATTTCTTAACAATATTTCGCAATCCTATTAATGATAGTAAATTATTACCAGAAATCACAAATTTATTGAAAGAGTTTTTTGAAATAATGAAGAATTCTCTAAAAGAAATAGAAAAGAAATTAATAAATGATTATGATATTGATACAAAGATATAAGTATTAGCTAATATAGGTTTAGTTTATGCAAGATTGATGGAAGGTAAAGCTTAGTATGATGAAGTAATGAGAGTATGTGAAGCACTTTTATTAACACCATTATCTCCTCATACTCGTAAATTGATAAATTCAATTAAAGCAAGAGTTTCAGGAACAGCAAAAACTAGTGCAGCTAAACCAGGAGCATAATAAGATAAAAAAGGATCTAAATAACCATAATAATCATCTTCAGATAGTGTTATTTTTGATGTTGTTTCACAATTAGAAATTATTTAAAATTCCACTAATAAAGCTTAAACATAAGATTTAATTAAAAAATGTTTTGAAACACTTGTTGGATGGACAGCTAAAGAAAATGATGAAACTGAACTTGAATTACATGCTGAATTATGGGCAAGATTAGCAAGATTGTCATTAAATGAAGAAACTATATTAATGTATAAGTATTCACTTAGATGTGTTTAATATTCATTGTAATTATTAACATCTGATTTATCAACAATTCCAGCTTCCCGTTTAAGATGGTATTCTTTAGCTGAATATATATATAGTGAAAATTTATTGAGAATGCTTAATACAGAAACATAAGAAACTGAATCTTAAGAATCTTTATTATTTTCAAGTTTATTTCATGCTATTGAAGCTGCGAATAAAGGATTGAAAGCTGGTATCAATAGTTTAGTACTAGATGCTTCTAAATAAGTTTGGAATTTATGTGCCAGATTAGAAGAAAGTGCTTAAAATAGAAAACATTTAATTAAACCAGTATATTCTTGCTTAAATTATTTAAAAGAATGCAAAGAAAAAAGTGAACCTGATTTAGTTTTATTGTTAGCTTAATTACTCTTTAAAAGTGCTTTAGAAAATGAAGATTATAAATTAGGAGAAATGGCTGCTGATATGGTATTTGAATTAGTACCTAAAAATATGGCTAAACCTATTTGGGAA